TTTAAGTGCGACAACTAAAAATTACCAGCGGAATCAGAAGTGGTGAAGAAAGAATCTGAATGTCTTGCATGACTGAAAGATGATGCTCTTGGAGATAAAAACTCTGCTCCTGCCTTAAAGTCACTCATCTACACCCCCAGAAACAATTAAGTTTTGAAATAAACATCATCAGAAAGCTAGATTATCTGTATTTGTGTGTGTGTTAAAAACATTGTTTGATCTTAATAATTCAAGTAAACTTTAGAGTTCATATTCATAACATACTTCTATATTGTGGCTTGAAGAGTAAAATAAGGAATAAGATAAAAATATTTTAAGAGTATTTAGATAAAGAGAGAGCTTACCCAACTAGGAGCACTGCCAGAGGAGCCCTCCCAACCAATATGGGCCACATGTTTTACTTCTGTTGGGTGCCCAATTTCCAAATCTCTTTCTTTCGAACCTGTTGACCAAAACAATTTGTTTTTGAAAAATTTCATCATATAATAGCTGTTCTTGTACATAAAACTTTTTTAAGGTAATTGACTGCTCCCATGGATCAATAACATGGACTATAGTGGCAAATAATGGACCGAAGGTTTGTTTTGTGGGGGTATACTTGAACTTAGGTTGAGGGAGAGCAATAAAAGCGTCGTGCTGCTAGACGACATTTACACTTATAAATCATACTATTAAATTCGTATAATGTTACGTTATTTCATGTTTAGAACTTACAATATTTGTATAAAGTTGCGAGAATGTTTGATAGATCATATAATGGAGTTTAATCAGCTTAGAAGCAGCTAAAAATATGGTAAAAATTATACCAAAAATATGAGAGATGGACTTGAAACTTTTGTAGATGCCCTTCATCTTCATTGCCATTGTTGAATGTTGATATAGAAGATCACAAGCCAACTCCAAAACGTTTATGAAAGTTTTATAATTGTAAGAGGCTCAACACAAGCAGTATTCCTTATCTATTACAAAATTAAGAGCAAAACAAATATATATATATACACACACACAAATCATTAGTTAAAAAATATAAGAAAAAGTAGGAAACATAAGTGGAAGGAATGAGAGAGAAGTACCTGAAGATTCTCGCTTGTTGGTTTTAATCCGAGGAGCTCTTCTTTCATTTGATGGAGAAGCCTCTAGATGAATTCTCTATTAACAAAGCATTTGCGTATAAAGTTGTCGCTAAGCAAACATATAATTTACCATATAAAATACACAAGATAAAAGATCAAGATATATATAGCCAAGGTTAGAGAATGGTGATGGTGAAGAAGAATGGAGGAAGAAGAAGTATGACTTAATCGGGCAAGAGAGAAGAGAGTGGGGAACCATGACACTACTTGTAGTATACAATGTATGTTAATTATTTTTTTCCCAACAAAATAACTAATTTATTAGTTTATTTTAAGAATGTTTCGCAAAATAGATAAACATTACCTAGTAGTAGTACCCTTGTTTGAAAAATCGCTAGGCGCTAGTCGGGCGTTAGGTATGGGCCTAGCGATTAATCGGAAAATCGGATTAAAATCGGAGATTAATCGGGGATTAGTTTTAGGATTATTTTAATATTTTTAAAACATATTAATCAAATATTGTTTTCAAAATTGCAGTAAACACCTAAAACTGTATTTTTGAGATAAATTTTTGTGATTTTTATTACAAATTTATGTTTTTATTAAAATTTGAACATAAGTTATTGTAAAACATCACAAACTCCCAATTTAAATGATTGAATAACAAAAATAAAAAGTTTTTTATACTTGCAATCTCGAGATATGTAAAATTAGGCGGGGAGTAATCGGATTAGGCGGAAAGTAATCGGATTAGGCGGAGAGTAATCGGATAACTGATTTTTTAGGGGATTAGTCATTAATCGAGGCGGATAGGGTGGGCCTAGCGATTAAGCAGGGAGTAATCGGGCCTAGGCGGAGATTTTTAGAACAAGGAGTAGTACCATATATAGAACACTGTATTACGTGAAATTACTTAATGATTTGTGAGTTTCAAATTTTATCATTCATATGATTTTACTGGAATCATGATTTATTATGTTCAATAACTCTACCATTCCACGATTTACAAAAAAAAAAAAAATCCCTTTGTTTCCATTGCATTCCTCGTTTTCTCAATTATTATAGTTCATTTTTATTTTATGATCGGACAGTTTTAGTTTCATTTTAGTGTTATCAACTAGAGTCATAATTTTTTTGAATTTAATGTTAAGTTATATTCAAAGAAAAAATAAACGTTGCTACATTTTAATGCAAAACTTTTTTTAATTTCTATAAACTTTTAACTAGAGTCATAATTAATATAGATAATAAAAACAATAATACGTCATCATTGTTTCAAACTTTCAGCCTACAAATGAGATATATAATGGTAAAAATGAGATACTTAAGAAATTATTTGTTTTTCCAACTAGTAGTGTATTATATCAATCTAGCTACTCCTAAGATTAACCGTAAGTTTTAAATTTTATAGAGAGTCTAGGATTTGCAGCACTAAAGTAATCAATTGTAGACAACTGTCTAATTAATGCATGCATATTGGAACTATACTAATTGCATATTGAATTAAACAATGCAACTTTCACAGATTTGTTCAACCCACGCGTTTTGTATTTTACGTTTCTTCAATTCATCGACAATTCTAATTTTTGTTAGCTGTATCCCATGTTCTAAAAATCCCCGCCTAGACCCGATTACTCCCCGCTTAATCGCTAGGCCCACTCTATCCGCATCGATTAATGACTAATCCCCAAAAAAAATCAGTTACCCGATTACTCTCCGCCTAATCCGATTACTTCCCGCCTAATCCGATTACTTCCCGCCTAATCCGATTACTCCCCGCCTAATTTTACATATCTCGATTATTTTTAGATTGCAAGTATAAAAAACTTTTTATTTTTTTTATTCAATCATTTAAATTGAGAGTTTGTGATGTTTTACAATAACTTATGTTCAAATTTTAATAAAAATCATAAATTTGTAATAAAAATCATAAAAATTTATCTCAAAAATACAGTTTTATGTGTTTACTGCAATTTTGAAAACATTATTTGATTAATATGTTTTAAAAATATTAAAATAATCCTAAAAATAGGCCCATACCTAGCGCCCGACTAGCGCCTAGCGATTTTTCAAACAAGGGCTGTATCTCATAATGATACTATGAGTGTAATATAATATTTATATTAAAAGAAAGCCTCTATTTTAGAAATTTATTTTATTAGTTATATAAGAGTATAGAAGCGATATATATGTAAGTCCTTGAGAGATAAATACAGATGCAAGAGGCTGCTACTGAATTTATCTTTTCTATGTATTGTAAGATGAAGTGGTGATATGTCCGACTGTTCTAAAACGACAGAACAATTCTAGTGAAACGGTCCATGTGGTTGACTTGAATTCATTAGCTTTTGTTCCAAAAGAATATGAATATATTAATATGAGTTATTCTTTTTTTCTTGCAAAAGCTAACCATTTGTAGTAGATAGGAATGTTGTGAAGCTTTTGTTGTTGTTTAATGGAATGTTGTTAACTTGTGATAGGGTAATCTGACCCGGTCCTAATTAGGTCTACTCAATTATCTCCAAATTTATTGCAAGGTATATAGTTTATTTTTAAGCAAGTAGTTTATTTTTATGAGATTAATCTAAAAATCTTTTGATCTTGGTGACAATTATTAAGTTTTCGCTTCTTTTACTTTTCTTTCCATGAGCTATTCAACTTCTATAAGAACTAAAATAAGTTTGTTTTGAATAAATTTACAGAATTAGCTAGCGACTCAAAAGCATTTTATGATAAAATATTCATGAAAAGAAACCTTTAGTGTTTAATCGTAATTTAAATAGTAGTTACAAAATCAAGGGGATACCACATGATTCTATAACAACGAACAATGGACAGACAATAAGATAAGTAATTTGACTGGAAAAATAATCTGATCGGATATTTGGGTCCCATTGTTAGGAGAAAATATTATAACTGGCGCATCTAATTAATTTAATGCTGCCATCTAATCAAATAGTATTTGGATCATTTTAGCGTAATTTTAAGGCTTCACTTATTATACACTTAGGAGAAAAGAAAAGTCATTCTTCAACTACTTTGGGCGTTTGTTTATTTTTTTCTGTCTATGTGACAATGCAATATATGGTTCATAAGCTAGCAATGGATTAGTGTGATTGATTGTTCTGAATGCGATATAAAAATCTTGAGACTCAATCACTCCTCTAATTGGGAAACCTTAATCGTCAGGCAGATGCCTTGGCTAAAGAGGCCCTTTGTGCTTGTAATGAAGCCTAATTCGTAATCTAATGAATTTCTTTGCTCAAAAAAAAAAAATGAAAAAGTTTGTCATGACTTATCAATGACCACATAAGTTTAGCAATAAAAAAAAAAGTTTTTCATCAGAACTTTTTTTGGACAGCAGAACTTTCCATCAATTATAATGTTATTTTTTTGGCACGAAGCTTCCATTTCGATAAGTTATTTAAATGAACAGACATTAATGTACTATAAAGTATAACCCTTCTTCGTCATTTTTAATTATTTTATTTTTCCTAACACATTTTCGAAGCTTCACAGGTCCTAATAACCACAAATGATACTCCATCCGTTTCAGTTTAGTTGTCGTTTTATGATTAAAATTTTGTTTCATAATAGTTATCGTTTTAGGTTTTCAATACAAATGTTTGGTGAAAATTCATGTTTTGTCATTAATGTTTTAATGTTTTGACCAATGAAAAAATTATAAAATATATTAATAAAGGGTAAAAGAAAATATTTAATGATTTTCTTAATTTGTGTGCGAAAACCTTAAACGACAACTAAAACGAAACGGAGGGAGTAATATTTTTTTTTTCCTTGTCTTTTTGCAACAATAATTAGAGTATAAATAATATGTGGGTGTAACAATGCTCTTATAAGCCTCTAGCGCAACAAAACATAAAAGTCGTCGAAATAAAGCAAAGTGCTACAATATATTAAAATGAAATAAAAACAATTAATTTATACAAAGTAAAGATCAGTTGAAAATTATATAATGAAAGATTACATTTAAAATTTTAAATCTAAGAATAATAATAATCAAAATCGAATTTCTTTTGAATCGTTACCGGTGGGTGAGTTCGAATGATTATGTTTCCGATACCTAAAGAAATAAATCAAAGTAAAAACCACCAGAAGCGCAACGCCGGAGACGCCGCAGATGATACTCGCCGCAAGAAACACGTGCCTCATCACGTGATCACGTCTGTAACCAGCTCCGTCTCGCCACCAAGAATCATCGTCTCCGCCGTCTGCCGCCGTAGCTTTAGGGAGGAGCTGAGAGTGAGAAGGAGGTGGAGAAGAATGAGAATCTCCGAAGAAGGACTTCATTTTTCCCGGAGGTGAGTGAGATTCAGTCGGTGGTGAGCTGAATTGATACTGTAAGCCATGATCGGAAGGACGTAGTTCTCCGGCGAGTGAGTTTCCGGTGAAGAGAACAAGGAATGTTATAGTGAATGGGAAGATCGACGAAGAGGAAGATCTAACGCGGTTTAAGAGATGAGCCATGAGAGAGAGAGAATCTTGATTTTTTCTTTTTCTTGTTCTTGTTTAACTTAAGTAAAGTGTAGCTTTATGTGATGTGATTAAGTTTGAACGACACCGTTTTGACACGAGGTTGTTTTTAATGGTTTTGTGGGGGTCCATAGACCATTGTGTGTGTTTCAATTTTTCATCACGGAGTCTCACCGATGTTGATAGGTGAAAAAGTGCTGACAAAAAGAGAGAAAACAAAACTTTAGTTGGGGAAAAAAATTGTAAAATAAGTCACCAACTCTTAATCATGAAGAAATTACTTGGGTTTGAAGGGGAAAATTTCCTTTTCGTCAAGAACTATCCTCGATTTTTTAAGTGATGCAAATACTCTTGTCTAATCCTCAGGTCTAAATCTAAGGCAAGTTTTTACAAATTAGCCACTATAATACTCAAAAAACATCAAGTGGCTTCGGTTTTTTAGTAGTAGGGTAAAATCCATCCCAAAAATTGGGAAATTTAGGTTTACAGGGCTTCAGCCGTACAACTTCCTGATTAATAATAATAACTAAAAAAATCAAATACCCTTAAGAAATCATATAGTTACTAAGTTAAAGACTTAAGTCTCATCTATTTTGACATCTTAAAAGGAATTTTATAATCTAGTGCGAACAAAATAATCTCGGTAACGCAATATATGAGTCCTTTCCTTACTACAATGTCATTACATATGAGTCTAAAAATAATGAACTGAAACTTCAGATGTAAGTTCCTGAAGACAATCCAGAAATGAGTGATGTCGAGTTTCTCCTTCCTGGTGTAGACTGGCTCTTCAGACCTGCCATCTCTTTGAGCTGCCATCTCCATAAGAAGGTAAAGCTGCTTAATTGGAATCTGAAAAAGATGTAATAAACCCATGTGGCAAAATGTTTAGAAACAGCGATATAAAACTCTTTTGTTTATCAGTTGTAGTTGGTAGTAATCAAGACTTAAGGAGATCGAGCACATACACCATCAAGGGCTTTGGAAACTTCTTCGATATCATTTTCTGAGAACACGTTTAGTTGCTTCAGCACCTGAATCATGGAACATATTAGAAACAAAGGTTGTGGTGACCCGGTTTGAGCCAGGCCGATTTAAGCTAAGAAACCATATTACCTTATTTGCATCCTCTGAACTCAATAATGGAACAGGGTACATAGCAGCGAATGCTTTACACAAACCAACAGATTTTAAGAACGTTACTTCACTTGTTGTACCAAGTACAAGAAGTTTGCTTCCCTATCAAAAAAAAAAAATTTGCAAGTTAGTGAGAGATGTTATGTAATTTCTACCGTAATAACATAAATTTTGCAACCATACGCAATGATAAAAAATCACATACCCTAGGAGACTTTTTGAGACAAGTCAACAATGTTTGAAGAATTTCGTCTGAAAATCGCGGTCCAATTGCCGTGTACCCCAACAACCTACAATGTTATAGACATTCAGCTGAGCTCCCTAATAAAAAAAAATCGTGAAGTATGCAAAAAAAAAAAAGAACGTTGAAATTTATAGTATGATTGACCTTTCAATATCATCAAGGATAACTATGCTCAGTGGTGATTTGTATGCATCTTCAAAAACCTATTCTCATTTCACACATACAAACACATGTACACAATGTTAATGAGCACAAAATGTAAAAAATATAAAGCTTTTGAAAAGCTAGGGACCTTGGTAATGTGTGCGCATTTTTTGCTCTCATGAAGGCCATTCATAGCCTCTGCAGAGACCTTGCCAAAGTAATGAAACAAAATATTAAACAAATTAAAAATATGTGAATTTAGTAACGCTCAAAATAAAATAACTAACTTGACACTCACTATTTTGACATATGGGAAGTCACTGTCGATAGCAATGGTCGCAGCCAACGCTGTTTTCCCACTGCACAAGAAGCTTGAAAATCAGCAAACGCTGGAAACAAAACGCTAAAACTTTGGATATGACAAACATAAGTTTCTCCTTCCATTTGCGTTTGTACATTACTAAATTCTTTTATAAAACCAAAATAAATTAGTTACCTTCCATTAGGTCCATGAAGAAGGCAAGTGAGCGGACTTCTTTTGTTGACTTTAACTTGCTTGACAAGAAACATGACTCTTTCGTAGATGAGCTTTTGCCGATCACCACAGTCCACAAATCCCGTAGGTCTAATATACATGTTTGTAAAATATTGAAAATAATCAGCACTATAAGCAGATCAAAATCCACAGATAATGCAATCTTTTGGGTTGATTGGACGAAATAAAAACAATAGAGCAATAAATTACCTGCAGAGATCAAGGTCTTTTGAAGCGGATCCAAATGCAGGCTTAACTTCAAGTAATGCTTGAAGAAAATCATCCATAGTAATTTTAATATTTTCTTCATCCACTGCCTTTGTTAAATCTTCCAAGCTCAATTGTCTATTCAAAGCATATGATGTTCCACTTTTAACAACACCTTCAAGCTCAGCACCACTGTAGTTCTTTGTCCTAGCAGCTTTAAAATTGGATAAATCATGTCAATTAACTGTCATATTTTAACATTAATACAATGAAAGAGACATACCAAGTTCTTGGAGATTGACATCAGGAGAAAGAAATGAATTATCCTTCATTTTCTTTGTATGAATCTGAAGAATTTGTAAACGACCAACTTCATCGGGAAGGCTAATCTCAATATGAACCTCTAGTCTTCCAGGCCTGTAGGCACAATTAAAAAAACATAGAAAAAGAATTTTAAGCCAAAAAATTATATACATTTGTACTTTTAGACATAATTGGAAGATAAAATGAAATGGATGCAAAGACCTTAAAAGAGCTTCATCAAGCATATCTTTTCTATTTGTCATTCCAATTAGTAAAACATTGTTCAAAGCCTCGACACCATCTATCTGAACAATAGACACAAAGTGTTAGACATATTTGAAAAGAAAAACAAAAAAAAAAAAGACAGAAAAAATTAGCCAATAGCTTAATGGTTGACCTTTGTCAGGAGCTGGTTTACAATACCATCATGGACACCTGTCCCATCCCTGGTTGACCCTCTTGACTGAAATTTAGCCAAGCATACAATTAACTAACTAACTAGCTTTACTCAGAAACAAACGAGTGTTCTAAGTCAAAATTAATAGTATTTTGAAATGAAGCCATTGTACCTTACAAATAGCATCAATTTCATCGAAAATAATGACATGTAGCTCACTAGCATCACCTGAAAATTAAGAATCCCAAAATATTAGCACAACATCAAACTATAAGTACAAGTCAGGGTAAAAAAAATTATTGTTCCGCACCAAGTGTTCTCTGGTCATTTTCAGCATCAGCAAACAAGTCTCTTACATTCTTTTCTGTCTCGCCGACATACTTGCTTAGCACTTCAGGACCATTCACGATCTATTATGTCAAGAGAATAAAAGTTAAAGGCATTATATACTAACACAATGTCTAGATATTTCACACATTTTAAGGGGAAAAATAGTGAAATTTTAGATACCAACTAATAGAGGCGTTATAAGTTCTCATATTTGTTTTTGCCGGGAGAGTTAACAAAAAAAGGATAAGAGATAAATAAAACCTTTGGCTCCTTTCCATTGAGCATTTTTCCAATTTGGCGTGCCATCAAGGTCTTGCCAGTACCGGGAGGTCCAAAAAGAAGCATCCCTTTAACGTGTTTTGTCCCAAGTCTGCAAGATCAAAAGAATAAACTTACAAGGAAAAAAATACATATAGAAAAGCAAGAATTGGCATTTTGAAACAGTTGATGAATATAAATCAGAGAACCTGTTCACGACATCGCGAGGAAGTAAACGAGAAGTAAAAGCTCTTCGAAATATAGCAATAAACTCTGCACCTAAACCACCTATCCCCAACGACAGAAGGTTAAACTCCTTTTCTTTAAATATCTTGCTTGTAGCAGATTCTCGTTGGTTCACAATCTGTATATACAAAGTTAGGAAACTCAACTTTTAACACAACGAAATCGGAATTTTAGCAAGTAACATCACAACATACATATTTGTTGTTATTGTATATGCTATCTATTGTTATCAATTAATTGGTATTAACATAATTAACTAACTAAATAACACAAGATACTATAAGATAAGTTAATCAAAACCAAACCTTTATGCCACTTGCATTTGATGCTTCAAACACGAAATATGTATCGTTACCGATCATCCCTCTTTCGATACCATTAGTTTGGTTCTCATCAGCCTCAATAACTGCTCGATTGACCGTGAGAATGTAATTAGTTCCATGATACTCAAATGTAACTTTCTGGCTTACTGTCAAGACCTGCATAAGTTGGCAAAAATTTGTTCATATAATCAGAAAATATGACATCGCATAGTCTGGAAATAACCACACAATATTACAAGTCGCAAAAACATTCACTCATTGAGAACCAATTAGTGCATGATGGCAAAGACAAGAATCTTCAACTATGATCCACAATTATCACACTAATTATAATTCAAGATTCTACCTGATTAATGAATTTCTTCTTCAGTTGGGTTGAGAGGAGAGTAGCATCAATCTGTTCGTTTTTAGTCCCTTTTCTTACAAATTCTAAGTCAACTGTCAGAACAGTCAAGTCAAAGTTTTCAGGAGGAATAAATCTGCAAGAACAAATCGGTCTTCAGAGCCAATGAAAAAAAAAAAAGCCACCACAGAGGTATAACAAACAAGCTTTTGTGACAATTTACCTTGTTACATAAACATTGTCACCAGCAGAAACTCTAGCATGTCGTCGTTGAATAGAATTCAGAGCAATACTTCCATCAGAAATACTCTCATGTCCAGTATATACCAGTTAAGATTAACAAAAAATAAAAATTGAGATTCATGACGTGTAACACAATTATGAGTATATAAGATGTGTTATTTTAGAGAATCGAATTCTAAGGTAATGAAAGTGTTAAAACTTAAAACGATCAAAATCGTAGGTGAGTGAAAAAGGATATGAGAATGATAAAACGAAGACTTCCCCGACAATAGCTAGGAAGAGATCGGTGCTTCCGGGAACGGCGAAGCTATGGAGATCAGACGGAGAACAATATGCGAGGTTTGTGAAAGCTAAATCTGACGCCGGCATGGTCTTCACTGTCATCTTCATGACGGACGAATCAGCCATGATTCTTTTTTGGCTTCCTTCGTTAACAAGAAATGGAAAATTGAAGAGGTTTGAGAAAAAATATCCGTTACAAAGATTTTTTGTTGAACTACGAGAGCAAGTAAACCAGAATTGTATTCATAGTTTTATACTAAGTTTTGACGAGAAAATATTTCCGACAACTGAAAAAAGGAAACAAGTCATCTGACAAATACTATTGCGACACGTACACAAATTTTATGACAAGTAAAATCCATAAATTATCATTACAGAAATTGGAAAATTTCCTAGTAATCAGCGGAAAGGAATGTTTGTGGCTTTGTGTGTGCTACGACTCTTTTTCTTCTCATTGGCTAGACTCTTTGTCACTCTATATTATTGGGAAATTATGTGCCGTTCTAATATTATTGGATTTATTGAAAGGAAATTCTACATATAAAGAAACAGAAAAAATATTTTTAGAAAACCACAAAACTACATTAATTTTAAAGAATACGATTTTTTTTTTAATGTAGAGAAGTTTGGTTAAGGGTTTATAGTTTAACTGGTTAAGTGGTGATGTAGGAGTTACTATTAGGATTTAGGAACTTGAGCTGTTTGGTGATGTTCTAAGTTCATTAATATGCCTTAGGGACCAAAAAGGGTCAATCCACGGACGAGTCCCACTAATATACTCTCCAAACTCCATTACAAAACTATCAAGAAAATGGATTATGGACCAGTTGGCTACTCTGAACATTAATACTCCCTAGATACCAAAAATTGAGGAGTTTAAAGTGTTAGCCTTTGATGGGGGATGTGAAATGTCAAGCGGAAGTTGCAGGAACATCCTCAGTAGGAGGCTGCTTTGGTTTTTGAGACTGTGGTGGTGGTGGTGGTGGTTGTGGCTTTGGCGGTGGTGGTGGAGGTCTCTTTGGTTTCACATTATTGACTATCTCACCTTCAACATCAAACTGCATTATGACACAAATAGCCACTAAGCGTTTCAAAGAAGAAGAGTATTTGACAAACACATCAAATTAAGGTTGACGCACAAGGAAACAAACCTTGTAACCACAGCCTGCTACACATGCGTGAAAGCATTCCTGAATTTAAAAACATAGTAAAATGTATAACAATTAGATAAGGTTCAGTCTATTACTCTTTATTGAAGAAAAAGGTTTAGATTAAGAAGAGTGTGAGAATACCTCAGAGTATTTGGCATCTCCAGGAGAACGATCTATAACTGCAGTCCATGGTCTGTCTTTTAGCACAGGATCTTTGTAGCATATTTCACTGCAGTCTCCTACACCTATAGAGAGTACACTACTATTACACCAATTCATTAACTTGGAAACTTAAACCTGAAAAGCAGAAGATATCTTCATGAACATATGTAATGTAGGAGACAAGTTTGGTTCTTCTAATGTTCCACAGTGAGGACATATCTAACTGCTCCACAATTCATTAACAGTTTCGTCACTGATTACAAAGAATTTAAAAGAAATGCTTACAATCTTCCCAAGAGTCACTATCGGCATCACATCCCTTTTTGCAGAACACTCTCCCTGCACAGATTCAGGAATTATCATTAGTGCCTGAACTGATGCTAAAGCTGAAAAAAAACCTGGATTGCTATGGAAAGAATGTTATTACAACAACATGATGGATAAACATAAATTCAGCTAGCTTTTGTGACCATGATTGAAATTGAGAGATCAGAGAATGAAAATCTTTCATCAGAAACAACCAAACCACGCCCTTTCACCAGCCAAACCAAAGATCCATGTCTATAGTTCACAGAAGCAATATCGATGCAGAAGCATCTTTGATAACGTTACTTGAGTCTTTCCCTTTAAATTTCTCTAGTTCTTAAACTACAACTTCTTACTATCTTCCTCTTTCTCCTACAACTCTGCATAATCCCCCTTATAATCAGTAGATGTTCCATATTATTTACGTTACATTATTCAATCAAGAAGCAAGAAAGTGTTCTTAAATACTTGCAACTACGACTATGAGTTGTCTCTAGACCAATCTAACCAAAGAAGTGATTCTTTACCAAATTGATCAGTAAATCAGTGTTAAAGAAGAATGCACCAACAACCAATTAGGGTTTATGAATCAAGAAATCAATCAACAATTCAATTTACAGATCCCAATTTCAATTCCAAACAAAAAAGAAACCGTCAGAAGACTAATGGGGACTTCTGAATCAAGAAATCAATCAACAATCCAAATCAAAACACAATCTATCAGCTCCAACAAGAGATTCTTATCATCATCGAGAACTCAAACATCAAAAAACAACGAACCAAGAACATGAAACTGACTGAGCCAAACGAATCCAAATTCACATAAATTAAGAACCGAGAGATAACATACATGGAAGCTGCGTAAAAGCTGAGTACTTATGCGTGCATTTGCTCCCACACGGCGGCGTCCATTGCTGCGGTATCATCTCCGCCTCTCTCTCCGCCTTCACTCTCCGTCTCTCTTCTTCCGAAAATATCGCTGACGCCACAAAAATGTAGCCGGAGACTTTTCTTTATATAGTAAGGGTATTTCCGTCATTTAACAATCCAAGCGCTCTAACAAGCAAACCGATTCGTTTTCTATCCCAATTAAATGAAACCGGTTATTAAATCAAATCGGTTATTAAATTAAACCGGTTATTTCCATAATTTAAGCCGACTTCTCTCTCTCAGGCCTTTTATAAACTCACAAACTCACGAGCCGTCTCATTCTTTGCGTCTCTCTCTCTTTGTTCTCAGAGAGCTCGAGTAGTGTTTTGCTCTGCTCCGATCTTAAGTGAGTGAGAAAAAATGGAGTACAACGAATACGAACCTGAACCTCAATATGTAGAAGACGATGATGATGAGGAGATTACCCAGGAGGACGCGTGGGCTGTTATATCTGCTTATTTCGAAGAGAAAGGTCTCGTTCGTCAGCAGCTCGATTCGTTTGATGAGTTTATTCAGAATACTATGCAAGAAATCGTTGATGAGTCTGCTGATATAGAGATCCGACCTGAATCTCAGCACAATCCTGGCCATCAGTCCGATTTTGCGGAGGTTGTTTTTCTAGGGTTTCTATGGGAATTCGAAATTATGTGCGGGTTTATCGTGTTTGTGGCGGTTTTTAAGTGTTTCGATTTGAGCTTCTACCGTTTGGGTGTGCAATTAGGGTTTGCCTTTCGAGTAGCGAATCTCATTGATGTCCCGAAACTGTCTTGTTATTCAATCAATGCTTGAGCTATATGACTTTCAATAGTCAAAAAATGATTCTGGCTATTGGTTGAAGCTCAAATCAGTTTTAGCTGATCTCATGAATGTCCCGAGATTATCTTTGTATTAATGCTTGAGCTCTTCTCTTTTTAAGGAGGATTTACAGTGATTTTGAATATTGGTTGAAACTCAAATCAGTTTTGGCACTAGAAAAATGAGTTTTGTATCTCTTTTACTGTCCCTCTGGTCTGTTTTCTTGTAGACAGTCTATGTTAGCCCTTCTCTGAGTAGCTTATCTCATTGATTTCCCATGATTATCTTTTTATTCGATGCTTGAGCTCTTTGCTTTTTCTAGGTGTATTTTCAGTGGTTTTGAATATTGGTTAGAGCTCAAATCAGTTTTGGCACTTGAAAAATGTGTCTGGTATCTAGTTTTCTGTACCTCTGGTATGACTATTTACCTAGAGACGATCTATTTTAGCTTGAACAATTTTGTTGCAATTAGGGTCTGCCTTTGTCAAGTAATCTCATTGATTTCCCGAGATTATCTTTCTATTTAGTGCTTGAGCTCTTCGCTTTTTCAAGGTGTCCTTTGAGTGGTTTTTATTATCGGTTGAAGCTCAAATCTTTTTTGGCTTTGGGGGAACTGAGATATAGCTGTTTTGGTATCTGTTTTTCTGTATGTCTGATATAGCTGTTTTCCTGCAGACAATCTACAAGATTAGCTTTGGACAGATTTATCTGAGTAAACCTATGATGACAGAGTCTGATGGAGAGACTGCCACCCTGTTCCCTAAGGCTGCGAGGTTGAGAAACCTCACATATTCTGCTCCTTTGTATGTCGATGTTACTAAGAGAGTTATAAAGAAAGGGCATGATGGTGAAGAAGTTACAGAGACCCAGGATTTTACTAAAGTTTTCATTGGAAAGGTGCCCACACTCAGTTCATTACCTAAAATTTATTTAGGTGCATCCATCTATTATACAGTTCTGATAGTAGAAATGTTTTCTTGTTTGATTTTTTGCTAGGTTCCCATCATGCTCCGGTCTAGTTACTGTACCTTGTTTCAGAACTCGGAGAAAGACCTGACAGAGCTTGGAGAATGTCCTTATGATCAGGGTGGATACTTCATTATTAATGGCAGTGAAAAGGTTCTTATTGCTCAGGAGAAGATGAGTACGAATCATGTTTATGTGTTCAAGAAGAGACAGCCAAATAAGTATGCTTATGTTGGTGAAGTCCGTTCTATGGCTGAAAACCAAAATAGGCCTCCAAGCACAATGTTTGTGCGTATGCTTGCTCGTGCTAGTGCAAAAGGGGTAAGACAAAGCTAATAGTCTTACCTCTACCATTTCCTTCCTCAATATTTATTCTTTAAATTCTAGAAAATGGTAAATAAATTACATTCTATGTTGCAAATGGATGCAGGGTTCATCTGGACAGTATATTCGATGTACTCTTCCATACATCAGAACAGAAATTCCTATTATCATAGTATTTCGTGCACTGGGATTTGTTGCCGATAAGGACATATTGGAACACATCTGCTATGATTTTGCCGATACCCAGATGATGGAGTTGCTCAGGCCTTCCTTGGAAGAAGCTTTCGTTATTCAAAATCAGCTGGTATCCACTATCCTTTCACTTGGTTAATTACATTTTATTATGCTTGAGGAATTGATCTTGCAATCACTTGATAACTTTCATATTACTTCAGGTTGCACTTGACTATATTGGAAAACGTGGTGCAACTGTTGGTGTAACCAAAGAGAAAAGGATAAAGTATGTGATAATCTAAACCAATTAAGTTGGGCATTATGATCTAAGATGTCAACTATTGAGATGTTCACACTGGAGGTTTGCGATTGCAATATTATCATTGCAGGTATGCGAAAGATATCCTTCAGAAAGAAATGCTTCCTCATGTAGGAATTGGGGAATATTGCGAGACGAAGAAAGCTTATTATTTTGGGTAGGTACTTAGCTCACTTGTATTTTTTAGATTTAACATGTTTCCGTTTTGCTCATATTATGCTATAATCCTTAGGTATATCATACACCGGCTGCTGCTTTGTGCACTGGGCCGAAGGCCAGAAGATGATAGGGATCATTATGGTAACAAAAGGCTGGATCTTGCTGGTCCATTACTTGGAGGGCTGTTTAGAATGGTTTGTTACCGGCACACAATTATACATTACTGGGGATTTTTGGTTATCAGTTTTTTTTCTCTCTTACTGACCTAACATCTTCTTTACATGTAGCTTTTCCGAAAGTTAACAAGGGATGTGAGATCTTATGTTCAAAAGGTCTCTTACATAGTTACTCTTTCTCGAGCCAGACTTTAGTTATATAAGTTGTTATTCTGTCTTTGTAAGTCTGACTCATCTTGTTTTGACAGTGCGTTGACAATGGCAAAGAAGTCAATCTTCAATTTGCCATCAAGGCTAAAACAATTACCTCTGGCCTGAAATATTCTCTTGCTACTGGGAACTGGGGCCAGGCAAACGCTGCTGGCACAAGAGCTGGAGTTTCTCAGGTTAGGATTTTTCAATGTTTATTCTGTTATTGAGCTCAAATAGTTTTTTTATGTTATCAGGTTTACTGTTTTGGTTTATTATGGTTTATTGCATGATTTATATGACTCTAAAGTCTTAACTAACAACAGGTTCTTAATCGGTTGACGTATGCTTCAACTTTGTCACATCTGAGGCGTCTCAATTCTCCAATAGGACGTGAAGGTAAAGCCTCATACTTTTACTGCACTTCTATTTTTTCTCAGTGTATCTGTTCGTACAGTTGGCGTATTTTAGTCATGGTGTTCTTTATTATCCACATCCTTGCCAGTTAGATTGGCTTGTACTTTTGTTTATCACACCTGAATCTTAATTGAGTCTGTTATGCCAGGAAAATTGGCAAAGCCAAGACAACTGCACAACTCACAGTGGGGAATGATGTGCCCTGCTGAAACACCTGAAGGACAGGTATATTTGTAACATTTATAGAATAAGGGTGTTTCGGATTTTATAGTTCCACTGCTCATTGTGGCTTTACTGTGCCAGGCTTGTGGTCTAGTGAAAAACTTGGCTCTCATGGTCTACATAACAGTTGGGTCCGCTGCTTATCCTATATTGGAATTTTTGGAAGAATGGGGTACTGAGAATTTTGAGGTCTGTAGCATTTCAACTTTCAATTTCGTACCCAATTTCTGCCTCTTAGTTCTTGTGGTTTTCTGAAGGTCTTAACTTGAATACAGGAAATATCTCCATCTGTTATACCCCAAGCCACAAAAATCTTTGTCAATGGAATGTGGGTTGGAGTTCATAGAGATCCTGACATGTTGGTGAAAACGTTGAGACGTTTGAGACGAAGGGTAAGCAAGCAGTTTCTTTCACGTTTCCCAATATATTAGTGAATAAATTACAATTTTTAGTAGAAGTGACATATTACTTTTTCCTCTTGCAGGTTGATGTCAACACTGAAGTTGGCGTAGTTAGAGATATACGTCTTAAAGAGCTCCGAATATACACTGATTATGGCCGTTGTAGCCGTCCGTTGTTTATTGTAGATAATCAGAGGCTCTTAATAAAGAAGAGAGATATTTATGCTCTGCAACAAAGGGTAAAATTCTAATTTACCTGTTACCAAAGTACCTTTTGTTAGAAGTCCATTGTATCAATATTTGTTTTCATAATCCAGGAAAGTGCGGAAGAAGATGGTTGGCATCATCTGGTTGCTAAGGGCTTTATAGAATACATAGACACAGAGGAAGAGGAAACGACCATGATTTCCATGACTATCAGTGTGAGTAATGGAATGAAGATGTGATTAAATGAGTTCGGGTTGCACTAATTTCTGCAGTAATCTCACTCCTAAGTTTGTTGTAGGATCTGGTTCAAGCTAGACTCCGCCCAGAGGAGGCTTATACTGAAAACTACACACATTGTGAGATTCACCCATCTCTGATATTGGGGGTCTGTGCTTCAATCATACCATTTCCTGACCATAATCAGGTATCTCTCTCGTAATGACTTTTCTGTCAGAAGCAATTTCATTATGTAATTCAGTTTCATGCTAACTAACTCTTTACTTTTTCTGCCCTTTTACGTTTTGATGTATTAGTCACCTCGTAATACATATCAATCTGCCATGGGGAAGCAAGCAATGGGAATTTATGTCACCAACTACCAATTTCGCATGGTATGTTCTAGACTCTTAATTTGTGGTCTCTCCTGTCACTACATGCTTCAATGATAATATTATTATTGTTCTGTCAACCAGGATACCTTAGCCTATGTTCTCTATTACCCGCAAAAGCCTCTGGTTACTACAAGAGCTATGGAGCATCTTCACTTTAGGCAACTTCCAGCAGGAATTGTGAGTTATTTTTGCTAGAAGTCTTTCAGAATTCAGCTTTACTCGTCTATCAAATCTATCAAATGATGTTTTTTTCTTCTTGTGCAGAATGCTATTGTTGCCATTTCTTGCTATTCTGGATATAATCAAGAAGATTCTGTCATCATGAATCAGTCTTCAATAGATCGTGGTTTCTTTCGATCCTTGTTCTTTCGGTCTTACAGGTGAGTATGCTATACTTGTGGACGTTTGCTTTCGCTCTTTCCATTTATTTATACTGCAATCACGTTTGCTGACAGAGATGAGGAGAAAAAAATGGGGACTCTTGTCAAAGAAGACTTTGGGCGCCCAGACAGAGGAAGCACAATGGTAAGAAAATAATTTGACTGGTATTGTTCATACTTCAGTAGTGCATTTTGTAAGTGGAGTTTAACACTTGAATTTCTGCTGCAGGGTATGCGACATGGTTCTTACGATAAACTGGATGATGATGGTCTTGCACCTCCTGTAAGTATATAACTTATTGTTCCTTAAATGCTTATATCTGATATGATTAGTGTTAAGAAAGCATATCATACAATCTTTTCTTTCTGGTATAGGGTACTAGAGTTTCAGGTGAAGATGTTATCATTGGGAAAACCACTCCAATATCTCAAGATGAGGCTCAAGGACAGTCATCACGATACACTAGACGCGACCATAGTATAAGCTTGCGACATAGTGAAACTGGAATGGTGGATCAGGTAACTTTGTTTTTTTCTTGCAGTTAAGAGTTTAGAAAGCTTCAGGATTGAACTATTAAACTGATCGAATCTTGTTTAACGTAAATCTGGGATTCTGAAAGTTCTTTTCTTATAACTTCTGAACTTCCTGTAGGTGTTATTGACTACAAATGCAGATGGTTTGAGGTTTGTGAAAGTGAGGGTCAGATCTGTTCGGATTCCTCAAATTGGAGACAAATTTAGTAGTAGACATGGTCAGAAGGGAACTGTTGGGATGACCTACACGCAGGAGGACATGCCATGGACGATTGAAGGCGTCACTCCGGACATTATTGTGAATCCACATGCTATTCCGTCTCGAATGACAATTGGACAGCTAATTGAGTGCATCATGGGAAAAGTGGCAGCTCACATGGGAAAAGAAGGAGATGCGACTCCTTTTACAGATGTCACGGTAACTTGCAATTTCCTTAGCTGCTTGGTTAGCATTGGCTTATTATAAGCTTGACCAATGTTGTGTCTTTAGGTGGATAATATAAGCAAAGCTCTTCATAAGTGTGGGTACCAAATGCGTGGATTTGAGAGAATGTACAATGGTCACACGGGCAGACCACTCACAGCTATGATATTCCTTGGGCCAACGTATTACCAAAGATTGAAGCATATGGTTGATGACAAGATTCACTCCCGTGGACGAGGTCCTGTGCAAATCTTAACAAGACAACCAGCTGAAGGGCGATCCCGTGATGGTGGTCTCCGTTTTGGAGAAATGGAACGCGATTGCATGATTGCTCATGGTGCTGCACACTTTTTGAAAGAGAGGCTGTTTGATCAGAGTGATGCGTATAGGGTACATGTGTGTGAAGTCTGTGGGCTCATCGCCATTGCAAATCTGAAGAAGAATTCTTTTGAATGCAGAGGTTGCAAGAACAAAACAGATATTGTTCAGGTAAGTTTCCAACACAAACTGTTGTGTAAGTGGTTCGTATTCTTCTTTCTTTCTTTCATGCTCATTTGTCTGATGGCATTTCATCTAAATCTTCCCAGGTATACATTCCATATGCATGCAAATTGCTCTTTCAAGAGCTTATGTCAATGGCTATTGCGCCAAGGATGCTTACCAAACACCTGAAATCGGCTAAAGGCAGACAGTGAGGAGCTTTGTGCTCTGATTTTGTAGAAACTTAAACCTTCGTTCTCTTTTGGTCAGAGCTTTGTAACAAAACTAAATTTACAAAATTGTGTAATGTTTCTGTACTAATTCTGAAAACTAGAAAGGTACCTTATAAGATATATTTTCAAATGAATTCTGTAGTAAATTTTCCGGCTCCTTAACTACATGACTTTTAGTAATTATTCTCATGTTGGCATCAACAAAAATTAACCTATGACAGTTTGGTGGAGTAAAAGTTACACTGTATGAATTTGGTGGTGAATCTGAGCAAAAAGGTGAGGGTAAATTCTCTGCTCGGTCTTAATCTGACCTAAACATAATGACTTCAACAAGAAAGAATGTTATTTTCTCTAACTTGTGAAAGATGATGAGAAAGTCTTTCAAGTGCTGCAATAGAGAAGAGATTCTCACTTGTCAACGAATCCATGACTTCACCAAACCTCTTTCTACCATCACCATTTCCTCTTAAACACGCTAAGCATGAATTCAACAATTCTCCCTGAGCCTCAAGTCTCTGTTCGGTCTCTATCTGCGTTGAAACTGCACGCTCAATGGCTTCTGTTGCCTTGGAAATTTCATCACCCTCAAGATAAATATTTGCTAAGCAAATATACGCATCCATAGGTGGACTCACTCTGTTTCCTTCTGCTTTCTTTAAGAGTAGCTCGGCTTTCTCGGTAAGACCCTTTTCGCAGTAGAACTTGATCAACAGATTAGGAATCCGGAAATCATAAGATAGCTTCTCGGATTCCCACTGGTTAAAAACCTTCTCCACTAATTCAATGTCGCCGAATTTCAAAGCCGAGCTTATCATTATCTTGTATCCACTGTTGAAAACTTTTCTCTCTTCTTTAAAACGGAGCCAGACTCGGGAAAGGTCTTCCTTTCTTCCAGTTTCTCCATACAGTTTCAGGAGCGTGTGAAATGCTTCATTTCCGCTATCTTCATTCACAAATTCCTCACACTTCTTAAGCATCATTGTTGCCTCATCGATGAGCTCAACTTTGAGGAATGCATTCGCTGCAGCGCTATAAATGGTCCAGTCAATAGCTGTTTCAGACACTGATGATATCTTTTCTATGGTTTTCTCTATTCCTTCAATATTAGAAGCTGCGGCATATGCGCTGAGACGAATACTAAGAGTAAACTGGTCAAAAGAGACTCCATTCTGTTCCATCTCAAGCATCAAATCATCTAGTTTTCCATGCACATTCATCTGATAGTACATATTCATCATAAGGTTGTAACAACGTGTGTCCATGGAAACACCCGCTTCCTTCATGGCTTCCACAAGCTTCTCAGCTTTCTCGGCAGACTTTTCACGTGCATAGCAGCTAAGAAGACTAGAGAAGACCGCAATACCTTTCATATCTTTGGGAATGTTTTCAAAGAAAACCTCTGCTTCTCCAAGGCCACAGACTCTTGATATCAAGTTTATGCGTGTACCAAAATCAGTCAGAGAGAGAGGAAAAAACATTCTATCAGACATCCACCGCGATACCTAACAGATATATTAAACAAACACAAGAAATCAGACAAAAAGGGCTAAACATTAAGGTAAAAGATCAGTCATTGCATTTGAAAGTCTAAAGCTTTAAAAAGCCTAGACAACCTTTAAATTCATTCTAACAAGCACCAATAAGCTGAATCAAAATCCACTACAGCCTGATAAAACATTCCTGAGAGAGATAAGCTGTATCAAAAACCTATAGAGAGACTAAAGAACTTCATTGACTGCTGATCAAGGACTATATAACATTCTTCAGTAGTAAGCAAAACAAACTCAAAGAAAGTGACTTGTTGGATCACAGCAACACATTAGATGTGTCACAGAGTTTCCCAGATTAGCTTATGCTTCTATAAAATTTTCTAACGAAAAAATGGTAATTGAGAGATGAAGAAATGAGAAAGAAAAAAAACCTCAAGAGCATGAACGAATCTCTTGTACTTAATCAACTCTTTAATCATTCCACGAAGCTCTTCTTTGCTTGTGTAGTTTCCTTCTCCACGCCATTGGTCAAGAACAGGAAAAATTGAAATCTTAGGATCTCCCAATGGCGAAATCCTTTTGTAAAGACCAAATCTTCCCATAGAAGATCCATATTCACGAGAAAGCGTTATCCTTTGTAGACAAAACAGGAGATTGACTCCATTGTTGAGTCTGTTGCAGACTGAGAAGAACCACATCAAGTATGCACTCAACGGAGAAGAAGAAGACTACAGGGTTTTGACTTTTGAGAGTTAAAATGTTCAATAGAAAGTATCAGGTCTAAATTAAATATTAATCAAAGTTTCAGGCTTAATTTGCAATTACCATAGACTTTCATTCTTTATTTTGTAAAGTCTCAATCTTTCACTATCTTCTTCGCCGGGATCGATGAATGTACTGAAGCGATTTCCGGCGAATTTGATTGCGAGCAGATATTACTACACTAACAGAGTTAAAAAGACGACACTTTACTCCAAAATCAGTCCTTTAGGAGACCCAAAATCAAGTGTTTACCCAGAACTCCAAAACTGGGTTCAATGCGGTAAAAAAGTCTCTGTTGCTGAGCTTGTTCGCATAGTTCATGACCTTCGTAGACGCAAACGCTTCCTCCATGCTCTTGAGGTAAGTGATTTTATACAAATCAAGTGTCTTTCTCTCTTAATCTCCCAGAAAAATCTGAACTTTAGGGTTTTTGTTAAGGTTTCGAAATGGATGAACGAGACTGGTGTATGTGTGTTCTCTCCGACAGAACACGCGGTTCATCTTGATCTTATTGGTAGAGTTTATGGATTCGTTACTGCAGAAGAGTATTTCGAAAACCTTAAGGAACAATATAAGAACGATAAGACTTATGGAGCGCTTTTGAATTGTTACGTTAGGCAACAGAACGTTGAGAAGTCTCTGTTACATTTTCAGAAGATGAAGGAAATGGGTTTTGTTTCTTCGTCTCTTACTTACAACAATATTATGTGTCTTTACACAAATATCGGTCAGCACGAGAAAGTTCCGAGGGTTTTGGATGAGATGAAGGAAGAGAATGTTGCTCTGGATAATTATAGCTTTAGGATTTGTATTAATGCTTTTGGTGCTATGTCTGATCTTGAGAGGATTGGTGGGATCTTGCGTGATATGGAGAGACGGCCGGATATTACTATGGATTGGAATACTTATGCGGTTGCTGCGAAGTTTTATATTGATGGTGGTGATTGTGATAGAGCGGTTGAGCTTCTGAAAATGTCGGAGTATAGATTGGAGAAGAAAGATGGTGAAGGTTACAATCATCTCATTACGCTTTATGCTAGGTTAGGGAATAAGATAGAGGTATTAAGGTTATGGGAATTGGAGAAAGAAGCTTGTAAAAGACGAATAAATCAGGACTATCTTACTGTGTTGCAGTCGCTTGTGAAGATTGATGCTCTAAAAGAAGCTGAGGAAGTACTTACAGAATGGGAATCATCGGGAAACTGTTACTGATTTTCGAGTGCCTAACACTGTGATTCGTGGATACACTGGAAAAAGTATGGAGGAGAAGGCAGAAGCTATGCTTGAGGATCTAGCAAGGAGAGGGAAAGCTACTACACCAGAATCTTGGGGCCTTGTGGCTACTGCTTATGCAGAAAAAGGTGCTTTAGAGAATGCTTTCAAGTGTATGAAAACTGCCTTAGGTATAGAAGTAGGGTAACAGAAAATGGAGACCTGGATTGAAGCTGGTTACAAGTGTTTTGAGTTGGCTAGGGGATGAAGGAAGTTTGAAAGAAGTAGAAAGCTTCATTGCATCTCTTAGGAATTGTATCGGTGTGAACAAACAGATGTATCATGCTCTTGTCAAGGCTGATATAAGAGAAGGGGGAAGTAACATTGATACTCTGTTGCAGCGGATGAAAGACGACAAAATTGAACCCGATGAAGAAACCACAGTGATTCTCAGCACAAGAAGTCCATGCTAAAAGTTTCTTCTTCTTCCTTGATGTGATGATACCAAAGATGTCTTATGAATGTGATTTCTCAAGGGATGAGTCTTGCTTCAACAATAATATTTGATACCACATGTACCAGAATCTATATTGTTTAGAACATTCTCTAGACTCTGTTTTCATAGCATCTATAGAACAATCTACAAGAGAATCCTCTGTTCTTTTTCAAATGCAGTGTACTCTCATATTGAATCAGCAGAAGGCAAAGTTAGAGCTTTGGCAATTTGGTTCCATTTTTATTGAAGTTTCTATTCACTCTGTAACAATTTGTTTTCCCACAAAAACTGTAGAGATTACAGCCTAAAAAAGTTGAAAAGACAAGATATTGAATTGTATGACAACGAAAACTGTATCTGTATATATGGTCAAGAATCATTGGTATTGTGTTGCTCACCAGCTTGTTGAAGCTCTACAACTTTCTCATATCCCACATTTACTCGGAATCTCTTTGGATGAAACAACGACCACCGAATGTCTGCTGCAAGAAAATCAGAAACACGAAGAGGAAACCGATGCAGAGGATAACTAATATCCCATGCCGTAGAGTAATAATCCATTTTGTGGTTTGCATAAATGAATGACCAATCAAGACTCTTCCCGTAGCTGCGACTTCTGTACAGATCATAAGCATGAGGAAGCAATCGAACGAAGCTGTTTCCACCGTAAAACGAAGCAGCAAGAGGCTTTAAGTCTGAGTTGCTGAATCCGTTGAAGAGTATTTGAGGAAGGAGGAATGCGTCAAGCATCAAACCTCCATAAGATTTCAGATCTTTCCACAAAGGAGGACGTTGAAATGAGCGTTTCAGGTTCACCGGACGGTACAAGAGATTCCGTGCGTGCGGTTTTCCTATGTATACTATTCTTTTAGGAGTTCTATTATGGTTCACTAACCAAGCAAGCAATCCACCGGTGATGTAGAGAGGTAAACACACATATGAAACCTTCTTCTCTGCATTCCACACACTTTCACGGTGATGATGGTCTTCAGTTTTTCTAGCAGTCCAAGCTAGTTGGAGAAGACGGCACTCGAGTAAGAAAGCTATCAGTGTCACTATCCGCACCACAATCTCCTTGGCTTCCAGCCATCTGTCGTTCTCAAAGAACAAGTTTTGCTGGTTATGGCTGTTTTTAAAGAGTTCTTCAAAGTTTAACAGCAGAGGAATTATGTGACCTAATGTGAGAAGTATCAGCATTGCAATGGAGATGAATGGAAGGGCTTCTTGGTGTTTTTTCATATGGTAGAGTTGCATCCCTAAAAATAGACATGAAAGAGTATTGGATAGTAAAATCATAACAACCTCCATATCCATTCTCCAAACAGATTCTTTGGCTTGATGAACATAGATTGACCTCGACAAAACCTCCATACGTCCAACATAAAGCGGATCTGTCTTTTCCCGTGTGCTTTCGATGGTTCCCTTTAAACGGTCATCGCTTCTCGAATCAATTGGAGAAAACTTGATCTTGATTGCAAGACTGCAATCCACAGTCTTGTTTTGCATCGCCACTGTGCTCTTTAGCCTAACAGATTGACATCCTATCATACACAGCTCACCTGTATCCCTATCATATGTTCCCTCAGCATAGATATCTCCACGAGATTCAGAATTTGGATTCAGATCAAAAACGGATTCTATAAGTGATATTTGTGAAGCTTTTTGGTGACACTGTTGACATTCATAGGGATTCCAGTTAGCCCAACCCCTTGCCCACGAACCAAAAGATCGCGATACAATCGATCTCCCACAAAGTAAGGGCTTGCACGAGCAGATCTCAACACATTACCTTCTCCAGAATATTTTACTGACATGACAAATCTCATGTCTGAAGTTTGAGCATCAGGGTAATGATTTCCCTTGCTTTTGGGGCGACGCTTGCCAGCCCCGCATAACTTACCCACTCTCTCGCTTTCTGTATACTCATATCTCAGACTCGGGAAACGCCAGAGTACATCGTTTAGGCTTGAGAACTCGATTCTTCTGAAATAGCTTGGATCACTCTCTGTTTTAGCACTCCAAATCTCCCCAACTACCGGAGCCATGCTTTTAATCGACAAGATAGCAGGAAATCTCAAACTTAACCTCAGGGAACAATCATCAACCACAGCATTACTCAAAGAATCCGAGAAATTCAAGATCCTACACGCAACACCACAGAACCTATTCCTCTCTACATCCCAAGTTCCCTCAGCAACCAAACTGGTTCTCGGATCAAATGGAAACAACCTGCTATAACTGCTTATGTTACTAAATGACAAAAGCATTCGCATCCTCTCTCCGTCACACAGAAACGATAACAGAGTCATAAAACCCGGTGTGTACTCTACATCACTTACAAAAGGACTACAACTATGGTTAATCCCACAATCAGTTCTATACATCAAACCAAACACATGACTATTACCTTCAAAAACCTTACACATTCCTCCCAAAACATTCTCTAACGACAAACTCTCTCCACTGTTTACCCCGCAATCCGATTTCGATTGCTCTAACAACTTGTACTCATAGTTCAAAGGAGTGTTTCTTGCACCAAGAATCGAAATCGTTTTAAAATCACTTTGGCTATTCACGCTCTCTAACACTCCCTTAACCAAACTTCCATAGATATTAGACTCATTGGAATAGTTAAGCATAAGACGAGCATCAAAGGTACTTCAAATCAGTACCTTCCACAGATAAAACTTGAGTTGATCCAACCATACAAACTTGTCCTGTAGATTCCGACCAAAACCCAGAAAAATCGAAACTTGCTCCTCCCCAAGAGCTACGTCCGTCGATCTGCGTTACCTGAAGCTTTTTCTGGCCAAAATCGCCGCCGTAATAAGAAGAAGAAGCTGAGGTTTTTGAGATTTGTAAAGTCAATTTCGCTTCAACCTTGTAAATCTTCCCATCACCCAGCGTTTTGCGGATTGACATGGGTCTGAATCTAGCTGATTTAACATCACCATTCTGTGATTGATACCGACTGAAAAAAGAGTCGCCGCCGGAGAAGAAGCTGACATCGAAAGCAAGCGACGCACGGCTGAATACGGCGGAGGGAGATGGGTCGATCGAAGACTCTGGAACTATGTGGTTGCAGTGATCGAAGTAAGGGATTCGTGAGGCTATGTAAGGAGTGAGGATTCACTAAGGATGCAACGGTGAGTGAAGTTGCAGAGGTGGTCAGAAAGAGGAGGAAAAAGAGAGAAGGGTATGATTGTAAATAAAGGAGTATTGAAGGGTAGTTTGAAGATGAAGAAGGCGGCCAAAAAGTCGCCATTGTTACGGAGCAAGTGAAGAACTTTTACATGCTCTGTTTCTTCCCTCTTTCCGCGATTTCTAGATCCGCTTGCTTCAAAGCTAACATAACTTTTTTCAATTAGTTTTTTTTTTGTTTTTTTTGGTCAAGAAGTAACTGTATAGTTATTAATTTAAACTTTTTTGTCAAATCATTTAAAAACATTAATGAATCAAATTTAAAGGGTTAATATTACCATATAAATTTGATTATGTATAAAAAAAAATTAATTTAATTCCATGTGTCAATTAAATGATTTTTTTTTTTGTATGAATGTTCGATTATTCGATTTCGTTCCGAAAAATCAAACCAAAAACAACAAACTCTAATTGAACCAAAAAAAAAAAAACGCTTCAACATTTAATGCAGAAATTTGACATAAACTAGGAAATCAAAAATACACTTGTAAATGCAACGACGCAAATTTAAACAATAACCAAAGTATGAAGACGTTAATTAAAATTTTATTTCAGCAACGGAACAAATTCAAGGCTTTGTTAAAGTGCGTTGCTTTAGCTGCAAGGTACTCTTCCCATACCAAACGACGGTATATAGGAGGATGGTTCTTGTCGCTGGTCAATGGTCCAATCTGAAGGTTCTTGGGTGGGCCGGCGAAATAAGCGGCTGAGACGCGGTGGTGCGTCTTGTTCACCACCGCACGGTGCATCGTACTTCTGAACTGTCCATTGGATATGATATGAGATAAATCTCCCATTATAACAACGAGACTACCTTCTATTGGCTCTACTCCAATCCATCTCGACCCTTCTTCTTGTGGACTTTCAATCTCTAGACCTGACCAATGCAATGCATGCAACATAATTTATGTGATATCCACGACCCATTCAACATAATTACCTAATATTTTTTTAATATATCACAAAAAATATGTGTGTCATTTGTAAATTCTAAATTTAATATACATCAGTAATTTTTTTGCTTTCCTCTATTTCTTGTTCATTTAATTGAAATGTAACTAGTTTATTAGTCCCGGTTCTAGATCTAGATTTACTTAATTTTCGTTCTTAACTTTATTCCTTCAGACTGGCAACCAATTTAGGAACTCATTATAAGTATTAATGTGTGGTTGTTGTAAAAACTATTGATTAATCGAAAAAATTGATAAAAGATTGAAGAAATGGTATATATCCTAATAATATCTCTAACCTGGAATATTGCCTTGGTAGAGAATGGTGAGTAGGGAGGAGTCGGTGTGAGGGGCTAAGCCCATGGCTAGATGAGGGTCAGGGCAAACCGGGTAGGAGTTCAACTGCAGAAAAGATTGGATCGAGTCGGTTCCTGAACCAGTTTTGTCCGGTACAAGCCATCCCAAATTTTCATGTGTTAGCCCTAACGAGCCCATCAACATGCTTATTAGTCTATGACTCAAATCATCCATTGCCTTCTGATACTCTTCCATCACATTGCTGCATTTGCCAAAAAAACGTTTATTTTTATATTTTTTAGTTATATTATATTAGCTATCATATTTTTATTCATTTATTTCATATTATATAGAATTTAGATTTGGGTAAGACGATGTTCAATATATGGTTACATATTCACCTAAAATGTACAAAAAGAGTCATGTTTAGTTTCTTCCAAATAAATTTATAGGTAATGAGCATTATTTAAAGGCAATGATAATCATTATCGTTTATATTTGGAGACAACATTAATTAAATATCATAAATCTTTGATATTACCAGAACTCGGCATGATCATTGGGCCATAAGAGTGTAGCGTGACGTCGAAGAGAGGAACCCATGACGGAGAATCCTTCAGACCACATGAGCTTATCATAGAACATGGAGATCCGAACCACACCGTAACCAGTGGACTCGTCGGGAGATCGGACGGCTAGGATCTTACGATGCATGGGTAAAGAGAAAAGCCTCTTCATTTGGCACTCAACCTTATGAAGTAACGAGTGTGAGACCCCATGGTCTGTGATATGAAACACACCCCATTCCTCACAGGCTTGTCGGAGTAGCCCATGTTCCGGGTTAGACAAGCTGATGACGGGAATGTGTCCGATCGTGGTTTCGGGTTCGGGTTTGGACCAGACGTGAGAGTCGGGTAGGGTTTTGGTGTTGGTGAAGTCTAGTGGGATGATCCGGTCACGGTTCACGGGGTTGTTCTTGAATAGCTGTGAGACGGAGCTCATAGGTTATAGTTAGAGGATTTACTTTTGTTTTCTTTCTTTCTTTCGAGGCTTTTGATGGAGAGAAACATTGTAGCTTTAGCACTATATATATATAGAGTCGAGTAACAAGTACACATGTGGATTTATGTGGAGAAAAGCTGCTATTTTGATTTTGACTCTTTTTCTTTCTCTGTGTATCATAAATATGATTAAGATGTAAAAAATAAAAAGATAGATATTTGTCGTTTGGGGAAAGTACATATCATCAGGCATTAAATGTATATGGATCCTGTAGATTAATTTTTTTTGTTGTTGCTAAAATGTATTTCTCCTATCTCAATATAAATATTTAAGATACTTAAACACATATTTTAAGTACTCATAGTATATATTTAGTTAGTTTAATCACATATTTTCGAAGGGCATCATAGTATATATTTAGTTAGTTTCTTACTTTATATGCAAAATGTAAAAACGTTACTTATTTTATTGGTCAAAACGTTACTTTTTTTGGGTCAAAACGTTACTTATAAGAGTAGCTTTTTTACAAGGATAATAAACTAGATATCACATATTTGTTTTCTTAAGATCCGTTTAGGATTTCATTTATAAAGTGATGTTAATTGTTTTAGATATGCTTTGATAGTCAAATAAAGTTTTCTTAGATATTCATATTAATATCTTTATTACTATTCAAAATTGTGGGTATTATTGTATTACAAAACTTAACAATAACATATTATGCATACATCATATGCATTGTGGGTTTTTTCGAAATTGTGGGTTTTTTTTTCATACTCGCTTGTATTTGAGTGTTTTGTGAAACAAGTGCATTGATCAGACTGTCACAACTCTTCTCTGTTAAGATTCAGCATCATTTCTTTTGTCTATGTCTATAAATCAAAGAGTCTTGATCGTGTTTTATATGACTTTCACATGAATCGGATTCAGAAGATTCATGTCATCAGAAAAGAAGAAAGTGTTTTATATGACTTTCACATGAATCGGATTCAGAAGATTCATGTCATCAGAAAAGAAGAAAATGTGATTCCCCTAGTTTACAATATCACATGAAAAAACACAAACAAACTGCTACAATTTCACAGTTTTAAAAAATTCCAAACTTGCCTAAGAAATGTGTCTCAGCTCTTGAACATAATCGACTTTGGCTTTCTTGTGAGAGGTCGCTCATTTCGAGCCTCCTAGAGTGAGACAATTGAGGCTGCTATCATCTTTGTATTGGAAGAGGTACATGTTCCATGGAAGTTTTGAATTTTGTAGCTTAATAGTTGTGAGTTTCACCTCTTCCATGGAACCTTCAGCTTCAACATCCTCACTGGCTGAGCTTTCCATTTGATATCCTCATTCTGAAATGTTTTGTTTATTTTGGGAGGTGGATGAAAGAAGATCCAAGCGCAAGGTGTGATACGAGTTTGGAAGACATCTTGCATCAATAGAGCTATGGTGAAGATCTCTTGAACATGAAGAAAAGGAACGTCCACATCCAAACCAGATTCTCAAATCAGTAAGATCATTAAAACCACCAAAGCAGTGATGAGATAAAAGAGAATAACAAATAAAACTCGTTTGCCCAAAATTTGTTCTAAAACTGACATTCATAAATTTACTATGATGATTAGTAATCTCAATCTTTGTAAACTATATATATTAATAGTCTCTTATATTATTTAAGTGAAAAATAATTAGAGCGTCTAAAACTATTTACTATTGTTTGGACAATTTGAAAACAACATAACACTATAAAATGTGTAATGGAGTAAAAAACAATTAGAGAAATAATGTAACGATATAAAAAAAGGCAAACAACATTAGTATCATATATCAATCTCTTTTTGACAGATATATATATTTATCAATAAGTGATCTTAACTATTTGTATAAATTTAATACTTATTTATTTATGCTATCATTTGAACCATATATTTTATACAACATTTTATTATTATATCGAGTATCTTAATTTTTATAAAGGCGGAACCCAAATTTTTTTAAGAAAATTATGGTTAATTTATAATGTTAAATAATTTATGGAGGTTTTATGCTTTATTGTGTTTTAATGATTTCTCTGAATAACAGGAGAAGTAATATCTGCCGACCTTTTTGGACCCCTTATACCAATGGTAAATCAAGAAAACATAAATTATTAAATTATTAAATATCTGCCTAGCTTAGATAATTGATACTTGATAGATTAGGACGACCAAAGCTATCAAGACTCTAAATATGATACCAAAACCCAAGAGGGATAAGATACCAAAACCTAAAAGTCATAGAAAAAAGCTTTTGTAACCCTCGTGTTAGCAGGCTTCCTTATCGTTAGCTAGCAACTAAAGATCCCAAATTCTTCGAAAATTTCCTGATCATTTTCATGAAATTGGCCACAAATAATGTCTAGATGGAATTGCGTTATTTATACATCAGTTATCCCAAAACCAATCATCGGACAGTTTCAACTTTCACATTGATTTACTTGAAAAAAACTAACATTAAATTTCTAAAACTAATAATAGCTAGTGGAATTTTTTAATCGCAATTCACAACACATTTATTAGAGAAGCTATGTTAGCATTGTTTAGGTGCATCATGCATGCGAAGTTGACTTTTGAAGTGCAATGAAAATATACGTATTGAGAAAGAAGATTGTCCATAATTCTTTGGTTTTAAGAAGGTGTTCATAATGAATGATAAAAGAGAGCATTAAAAGTTGTTCTCTCCATGAGTCTTGTCTAAACAGCTCAGGTGCTTTCTTTACCATTCAACCATACACAACTCTAACATACACGTGTGCCTTTCTGTTGTCCTCTTCTCTTAATTCTCTTTTTTGTCGTATTTTGGTCTATTTCCATCTGCGCCATGCATGTACCATTTCCAATTTATGACAGTGTTATGAAAAAACAAAGACAGGTCTATCAAGGTTTAGTATTTGTTCGAAAAAGCAATTAATTAGACAGGTCTATCAAGATTTAGTATATGACATGATTGCTTTAGGCAGGGAACGGACTAGATGTTGTCGATACGGGATTCGCTGGTCTAGGCTTTAGCCTCTAGCCATCCTGTTTAAAAAATATGCTTGTGTAGTCGACTAGTCGTGTTCTCTTTCACGTTGGATTCATGAACTGAAAACCTTTTGTTTTATTCAATCCTTGCGAGTTTTTTTTTTTTAAGTTGTATAAAAACAACATTAGTATTTTAGTACGAAAAAAAACGTTACAAAAATCAATATGAAAAATAATGTTTGCAAAAGATTCAATAAAACTTGGTTCACTGAAATATATAATTATTCTTTCTTTTTTTTGTTGTGCATGGGCTTATAATAAAAACGGTTTAGGTGTTGGAGAATTGATATCTCAGAACCCTTCTTTAGATCGCTTTTAATTTCAGTAGTATTTGATTTTCTTTAAGATGAAACAATTATTTGAAATCTTACTTTTTTGTACATGGGCCTCAAATTAATGGGCTTATAATAAAAACGGTTAAGGTCTTTGAGAATTGATACCTCAAAATCCATCTTTAGATCACTTATTTTAATTTGTCTTATTCAATAGTATATGATTTTATTTAAGATGATACAAGTATTTGAAATTTATGCTTTTCGCAACCATCGGTGATCGACAGAAAACGTCATCGTTTCTACATTTTTGGTGAGCGTATGTATGCGGCTGGACTACTAAAGAACAAACTTAACTCAATTTCTCGTATGCTTGGGATCCGAAGCTCAAAAATACTCCTAACACAATAATGTGGTTATGTTAGTTTCCGACACTCAAGTTAGAATCAGACCGCAAAATTTGGAGGAGAGTTGAGAAACTAAAAAAGAGAGAAAGATATGGTTTGAGATTGGACTACAAGCTGGACGTGATCATTAGCCCCATCCGATATTTAGGTGAACTTAGAAAGTTATTTCACAAGATAATTTTTTATTCCACTCATATATATGAAAGTTTTTTTTGGGTTTAACGTTTCTGTTTGCATAATTGCAATTACATAATTTACATTTTGTAAAAAGCGTTTGAAAAAAATCAAAAACATTATCTGATTTTTCCAAAAGCAACATGTACGTTTGAAACAATTACGACCTAAATAACATATATAAAATTCGAAGAGATTGATTCATGTAAATAGTGGAAAATGATAATACTAATAAAACAAATAGCAACTTGCTTACGCCGAGATAAAAAACAAACCAAAGTATGATAAGATAGATGATTCGTCTAGATACTTCATTGTGCTTATAATATGAGTTACATATAGACATTTTTTGTCGTGTCTCGATTTAGAAAGTTATCAGATGTATAAGTCATCGTCTCCCTCGATATGTAGTCTAATAAATTCATTCACCGAACAAAGGTAACATGGAAGTCAAAATTCTAACCTCAGCCATTTTTTGTCATTTAATTAATTCTTCTTCTTCTTATCCATTTTTTTGTCAACTCTTCTTCTTATCCTTTTAAATGTAATAAATTATAAGTTATGACTTCAGAAACTACAGATCAAAAAAGAAAACTAGATACATATATGTGTGTTTAAACTTTAAAAAATGTGCAAGTGATTGTTTTTAAGTTACGTGGATCAAGATGCATGAGGTGGACGATTATAAGCTCCCATGTTGATGATAAGCACAAGGACGTTGATTTCGTGTAACATAAGCTCTGCCTCTACCCATATGATATTTACATATATTCATTCCAGCTAATCTCCTAGTTGCTCAAAATTTAATTATCACTTTCATCTTTCTTTTTGTAGATGTAGAAATTTAGAACTTGTAGCTTTTAAACAAAACTTATGAAATAATTTCTTTCATTATTCTCTGTCCGGACAATTTTAGATTATTTACTTTACATATGTTACACTTAGTAAACTCGTAAATATATAAAAATCTTACACTTAATGAATTTTGATCATGGAATCTGGTTTGTACTAGTATCGTCGACTCGTCGTTGTGTTATTAATATCTGAATTCAAATTTGATAAAATGCATCGTTTAATAAAAAAACAATCACTAATATAAAGAAAACTTAGTTTTGTTCTGTAGATTTTAGAATTTGACCTAGTTTCGACCCGCCATATTATATTCACCGAATGAAAACAACAATTAATGAAGTCGAGACGTCAGCCATTTTTTTCATTTATCTCTTCTTTTTATTTTAAATTTACAAAACAATAATTGTTTATTGACTTTATAAACTACAAAAAGATAACATATATATCTACGTGTTAGTTTAAATATAGAGCAAGTGGTTATTTCTTAATTTGTAGCTCCAATTAGTATTGATAACCACAACAACGTCGTCTTCTTGTTTGATATAAGACCATCCGCAGTGGTGTAAGTGTGAGGGGGGTGTAAGATTTTTTTTATTATTATAATTTAAAGTGAGAGAGAAAAGAGAGAGAGAAAGAAAGAGAGAGACAGAGAGAGTGTCTTACACCCGAGTGTGAAGAAAGAGACAATTTTTTTCTTTTTTAATACCTACACCCGACGACTAACACCCGAACGTTTGCCCCACTGCGGATGGCCTAAGCTCTCCCCGATATCATTTGATTTTATATCCATTCATCTAATAATCTCCAAGTTGCTGGGAACAAAGGACTTCATGTTTAATTATATTAAATCTGTCCACAACACATGAGCAAGTTCGTATATTAAAAAAGAAAAGGTTCGTATACTAATCCAAATGACAGCTTGTAGCTCTTTCACAGCCCCATGATATTACATTATTACTTACTCTTTTAAATTACTCTTGTGTAAAAAATTTCAAGAACAAAACGTGTTTATTATGTAGGCTCTTTAAACCACGTCGTTTAGTTTTACAAAATCATCATTTAATGTTACTTTTTCTTACAAAACCACGTCGTTATATTATTGTAGTCTTACGCTCTAATCATATGTAAAGTATGGCAAATCTTTATACATATGATTAGCGCATTATAATTTCAAACTGATAAAATAGTAGACAAAACTTCTTCATAACAAGTGGTCTTATTAAAATTCTTATCATATACCTCAAGTATATATATAGTCATGGCTTACCTAAGATCGGAAGGATATTCTAAGCAGCACTTAATGTCACTAGAGTCATCTCTAACTACAAAATATTCAAACAATGTGGAAAACAAATTTCCATATATTCAATAAGAAAGTTAATTAATAAAAATAACTGAGAAGCAACTTGGTTTGCTTGACAGCTTGAAGCAAATTGGGTTTATATATTATGATAAAGTTGATAAGCGATATATATAAAAACAGGATAGATAATTGGAAGCGCTTATAATATATTGACCATAAGAGCTTGTCTTAATCCCGTGGTTTAATAACTAATCATACATTATTTACTTATTTTAAAAAGCTGTTAGCCGAAATTCCAAATTGCAGCAGATGCAAGCAAAGTTTGAGTTGTGGAATCAAAAGTCAAAAGCTGCTACTTTTGTTCTTATCGTTCTAGCAGTTTCCACGTAGTAGCCGATCACTAAGTACAAAAGATATTTTTTCTTCTAAAGATCGACCAAAATCGTAGTTGGTAACAAATATATAAATATGACGCCAGAAAAAACTATACAATATACATGGGAACTAACGTTGTACCATATCAATGTGATATTTCTTCTGAGAGTGTATACATTAATAGCAGAACTTATCGCATACTGGTTTAGACTAATAATGTCAATTGCATTCTATTCAGAATCAAATTTGCATGTTATTTTATTGTATTTATAAAAAAAGGTTTACATTAAAAATGAAAACCATATTAACACAAAATAAAAACTAAGCCTATTATTAGCTTAACTTTTTAGCCACAACATTAGTCAATTAAAGATTACTTTTTTTGCAAAAAAGGTTAGTCTACAGAAGTTTGATTTTTGAAGGTCGTTTTCGTTGGAAGACATAAAGCTTCTTGGTTGGGTGAATTTAAAAAATATTCAACGTATTTTTGGAGAACAGCTTGCAGACGACAACATCCTTCAAGTTGCCACTTGAATCCTCAAATTGGCTGCTTAATTAGCATACCTCAAAATATATATAATTAAAAAAAAGGCGTCACTTGTTAGTCTTTTTCACAAAAAAAATATATTATATTTTTGTCGTTATATATAAGTTGGTGGTTGGCATTTTGTCTTATGGTCCACGTTAATTTCGTGAGAAACCTTTAGCGTGTTTCTTTTGAGTTTTTTCTTTTATTTGCCTGCTCAAAACAGGCGGAAATTAAATCAAATCATTATTACGTGTTCCTTAATATCGTGTTTTGTTTGTTTACAAGATATCGTATATGTGAATATGATGACTTATCCGTTATTCGTCTTGCTAACTTGTAATAATCTGCTCTACTTATATCACCCACTTTAAATCATTGCATTGGATTAATGGTGAAGATGTGTTACACGAACTTATGGTATAGGATTATTTAATTTCCGGTATCTAACTTACAATTTTTTACCATTTTGAATAATCTAGTGATGTGTGGTGGGCAAAAAGTTTACGAGTCGGATTGGTTGGATCCGTGTTGGATTATATTACTTATATCATATTCACTGTTTTTTTTTAATTAATTTAAATGCATGAGAAAATAAGACAATACAAAGCTCAGCTAAAGCTTTAGTGTTAGGCGTAACTAATTAATTTATTATACATGTTATAATCGCATAATCAAATGGTATAGTCCAAATAGACCACAACCATTTACTCTGTTCACATACAAGTATGCACATCACATATTTTACGTGATGATTTTGATTCCTTATAATTAGTTTGATTTTAAGTTCAAAAAACACGATAAACCAAATAATTATATTACACCATTGGGAGATGTAAAATTTCGTGAACTAACTAATCATGAGAGTAAATAGATTTTATACTGAAAGTCTAGTGAGAAAATAAGTTGTCTATAAGATTGTAGTCTATAAAAATAAACTTTTTAAAAAGTTTCTATAAGAGTAAACTTAAATGGAATATATAAATAACTTATCAAAGTCAAATGTTTTTTTTTTCTATAACTCCAAATCATATCCTCTCTCGAATCCGGAATTTATAATAACTCTTATTTGACTCCTATTAAAGTGTTGGATTTTGATACTCTCTATTCCATAAAAATCAATGTTGTGGTTTTTCTTTTTCTTGTTTTACAAAGATTAATGTTTTGTATCAGCATCATTATTACTTTGATTTGTGATCAATAGAGAGAAAAGCGAAAATAGAATTAAATATTATTAAACTAATAAAATAAAATAAAAAAAAACTTAAATTTTTTTAATATGAAAAACCCAAAACATCAATCTTAATCTATGGAACAGAGGGAATATATATTTTATTTGTTGATATGATTGGATTTTGATTTATGCAACACAACTATATATGAAGAGAACTTTAAATTAACACAATTTGTATTGCTTAGTAAATTGTCGTGGACAAATTGGATTTTAATCAGCTGATATTAACACTTCAACTGCCGATCATCCGTCAAAACCTAAATCAAGGTATGTCCGTTCAAAACTACTACTTGTTCTACATTTAGTATTCAAACCTAAACCTGTTCTTAACCAAGATGTACGTATAGTATCTTTTGAATGGTTAATTAACTTTATTTAGTAGGACGTAATAACAAAGTTATAGGACATTACTAGAACATAGGTTTTTTTTTTTTCCTTTGGTTATTTCACCATTTGCAATGTAAAACCTAGATAGCTCACGTGATCATTAAAATTTCAAGACAATTTTTTGACAGAATGTGTATTAATTTAGATAGTTAGACTCGGATTTAGATCTAATTTCTTATGTAAAAAAGCTGGAATTTGTAAATATTTCTAAGCTTCAATGAATCTAGACATTATTTCGACAAATAAGATTTGCGTAAAATACTAGAGAAGATTTAGATGTATTTCGTATTTTTACTTATCTAGTTTCATAAATAACCAAAGCGAATTAGTATAAAAGTTTTGATTTCCAATACCAAACTTGTTTTGTGTTTATCCATCCATATATGAAATTAATAGTATAATTCTATGTTTGATAGATAAATAAACACATCTGTTGAAGAAAAAAGAAAGAAAGAAAAAACATATAATGCGAGACACAAAAAAAAGGATCTAACATAACAAAAAGAGAATTACCAAAACATCTCAAAGATTAGACTTAAATTAGGGCTTAAACTTGGATTAAGAATATGACCAATTAAAATATAAGTTACGAGTAAGAAGAGTCGTAATCGAAGACAGCTACACACGAGCGTAGCGTGCTTGAAAGAGACACCAAATCCTGTTTTAGTGGGGAACGAACTTTACTTTCACTTTTTCCCCTCCTTTTTTTTTTCTTAAATAAAAATTTATTTGTAGTTTTTGTTTTTGGTTTTTACTCATTTACTTATTTATTTGGTCTCATGTTTTTTGATTTTTTCAGTCTCTTCCAGCAGCCCTCCAGGTGTAACTGGTCACACTTTAGCTTGGCTTACCTTTAACCAGGTGTTTTTTTTTCTTCATAGATTTTAGGAAAAAAATTATTTTTTTGTAAGTTGTAATTTCCTATACCGTAATTTATGGGTTTATTCGCATATAATAGGGGTATTATTTGTTTGTTCATAAATTATTTTTTAATTTCGTTTAAAACCTAAATTTTACATAATTATTTTCTTGCATAAAAAATAATATTTTTGGTTAAAAACTATCATTTTGGATTTATCTTTTCACTATATTAATGTATTATAAATTTCTAACTAGTTAAAATAGCAAAATTAATTTTTCAAAATAGCATGATTAATTTAACTTTATCAAAAGATTAATTCAAAATTCTGTTGAGAAAATCCACCGAACATATATTTTGGCAGCCCCTTTTATTTTCTTAAGAAATTATAAATGATTTAAATTAAAACCATAGAAAGAAAGAGACGTCAAAGAAAGGATCTCTTCTGAGTTCTCTGACTCAATTTCTGAGCTCTCTATATATATAAACTCTCTTCTTCACACTTTCAATGCAACTCTTAAAAACCTCAAATAAATATTTCTCTTCTTCACTTTCCTCGATTCTTGTGTTTTCGTTTTCTTTATCTCCTCCTCGTTGATTCAGAGGTCACTCCTTTCTTCTCGGTTTATTCTTTAACCGGACTCAGCATATCCTCAAATCTTTAGGATCATCAAGATAAGGAATCTTTTTGAATATCTCTCTACACGAAATCGAATCGATGGATCAAAAAGTTAGACAATTTGAGGTTTGCACTCAAGACGGTAGCGTTGATCGTCACGGCAATCCAGCTATCCGAGCCAATACCGGAAAATGGCTCACTGCTATTCTCATTCTAGGTAATAAATCTATATATATATACACACTGTTCTTTGTCATAAAGTGTTATGTTTTGGATTCTCAAGAATTGGGTTTTTGGTCTATATAGTGAATCAAGGACTAGCTACGCTTGCGTTCTTCGGTGTTGGAGTGAATTTGGTTCTGTTTCTGACGAGAGTGATGGGACAAGACAATGCAGAAGCGGCCAATAATGTTAGTAAATGGACTGGAACTGTTTATATCTTCTCTTTGCTTGGTGCTTTCCTCAGTGACTCTTATTGGGGACGTTACAAGACTTGTGCTATCTTTCAAGCAAGTTTCGTTGCAGTAAGTGTCTTCAACACTACTCTGTTTTTCTCTAGGGTTTGTTTCTTGAGTCATAAGTTAACATGTTTTAATGGGTTATAGGGATTGGTGATGTTATCTTTATCTACTGGTGCGTTATTGCTTGAACCAAGTGGTTGTGGAGTTGAAGAGTCACCGTGTAAGCCTCACTCGACGTTTAAGACGGTTCTGTTTTATCTCTCGGTGTATCTAATCGCCTTAGGGTATGGTGGTTATCAGCCGAACATAGCTACGTTTGGAGCTGATCAATTTGATGCAGAGGATTCCGTTGAAGGACACTCGAAAATAGCATTTTTCAGTTACTTTTACTTAGCTCTGAATCTTGGATCGCTCTTCTCGAATACTGTCTTGGGTTACTTTGAGGACCAAGGGGAATGGCCGCTTGGGTTTTGGGCGTCCGCGGGCTCTGCTTTTGCGGGCTTAGTACTTTTCTTGACTGGCACGCCAAAGTACCGACACTTTACGCCTAGAGAGAGTCCTTGGTCTAGATTCTGCCAAGTATTGGTTGCTGCAACAAGAAAGGCTAAGATTGATGTGGACCATGAGGACTTGAATCTTTATGATTCTGAGACTCAACGAACTGGAGATAAGAAGATTCTTCATACCAAAGGCTTTAGGTAGATAACAGCATAAAAATATTCTGTTATAATCTCAGAAACAATCATCAAGATCAGCTTTAACTCTCTAATTTTTTTTCTACAGATTCTTGGATAGAGCTGCAATTGTTACGCCTGACTGATGAGGCCGAGAAAGTTGAGAGCGGATCGAAATACGATTCATGGAGGCTTTGCTCGGTGACTCAAGTCGAAGAAGTGAAATGTGTGTTAAGACTCTTACCAATCTGGCTCTGCACCATTCTCTACTCTGTGGTTTTCACTCAAATGGCTTCACTGTTCGTTGTGCAAGGCGCGCGATGAAGACAAATATCAAAAACTTCCGGATTCCAGCTTCAAGCATGTCTAGTTTCGACATTCTCAGCGTCGCCTTCTTCATCTTTGCTTACAGGCGGTTTCTTGATCCACTCTTTGCAAGACTTAACAAAACAGAACCCAACAAAGGTCTCACTGAGCTTCAGAGGATGGGAATTGGGCTTGTGATTGCGATAATGGCGATGATTTCAGCAGGAATCGTAGAGATATATAGACTGAAAAATAAGAACCGGAAAGTTCTACCTCGGTCTCAAGCTCGAGCTCTTTGAGCATATTCTGGCAAGTACCTCAGTACATGTTGATAGGTGCATCAGAAGTATTCATGTACGTTGGTCAACTCGAGTTCTTCAACAGCCAAGCTCCAACCGGGCTAAAGAGCTTTGCAAGCGCGCTATGTATGGCTTCAATATCTCTTGGGAACTATGTAAGCAGTTTGTTAGTTTCCATTGTCATGAAGATCTCTACAACAGATGACGTGCCTGGCTGGATTCCTGAAAATCTCAACAAAGGACACTTGGAGAGATTCTACTTCCTTTTAGCTGGTCTAACCGCAGCTGATTTCGTGGTTTACCTGATTTGTGCCAAATGGTATAAGTATATCAAGTCTGAAGCAAGTTTCTCTGAGTCCGTGACTGAAGAGGAGGAAGTCTGAGTCAGAGCTAGAGAGTTTTTGTGTTTTATTTTATGCTGTGATGCTTTTTACGTAAATTGTTCAAAGCTGAGCTAGTTCTGTGATATAAACTGGTCTTGTTGTGTTTTTTTTGGGGTTACTCTTGTGCAAAGTCTTGTTAATGTTTCTCAATAAAGGATAAGTTGATTCCACTCACAGTTTTTGTAACTTTTTCTCATAAACATTGAATCAGTCAAAACCTAAAACAGTTAATATTATAAATAGCACAGTAAAAATTACAATATCAAATCAAGAACTCTTAATGTTTCAGTGAAAACAGAGACTGTGAACTGTAAAACTGCAGAATAAAGCTATATGGAGACTATTAACCAACTTTACTGATTTCTACTGAGTAACTAACAGGCCGAGAACAAGCTAATCGTTCATGCTTAGGTCTTATCTGTGTGATCACTCGAGCTGTTGCTTCAACTCTTGAGTTTTTATGATACAAAAATTGTGATCCGCCTCAACTGTTGTTACAACAATACAAGAGAGCCAACTCTCTCTGTCTTGATCATCGTTTGGCGAAGAAAGGAACTTGACAAAGAATTCGTTTTGGTAGCTGTTTTTACCAAGAGAATGGAATTGATGTAGAATCAAGAATGTGCTTTGTTCTTCACATGGTTTTATTTTTAAGAGTATCTTCCTGAAGATGGCATCCGTTGCAGAGACCGTTGAAAGTCTGGCTTTAAACGCTTGTTTGACATCCCGGCAAATGATCTAAACATCAACAAGAAAACCGGTTTTAATATATATCAACTAACACATTTATTTCGATACTCATAGATATAATCAAGAACAAACCGTGGAGATCCTTGTCGTTTATGCACAGGTTGACCAAGCATTGATCTCACACTACACAGTGCTCTCTCAGCAGCCTAAAAGTAAGAACATTAGAAAAGGGGGAAAGATGGGATCAGAATAACCCGAGGCAATAATTTAGTTGAGTTACCTGCATTCTAGCTTCGTCCCATGTCGATCCAACTCCTTCCCCTACAACACGCCCATCTATTTCAACCTGAAATTATATTACAAAGACAATCAAGAGGGGTCTGCACTGTAGATACTTCAAACCAATTGAACAGATATGGAAATTTACTTATGGCCCTGAAGAACATGTCATGAATCATTGAATCTTTCTTATTTAATAAATGCTGTCCAAAACTGAAAATTTTCTATCTTAGATTTTTTAAAAATTAACACTTCTGTGTCCAAATCTTTATGGGTGCGAACCTGAGCATGTAACTCATCTCTGTGGACCATGTCAGATGAAAGCGGACGCTGAGATTGAAAGGCCATCTCAAAACCCTCCGATGCACACTGGAATTTGGTTTAAGGTATAAATCAAAGATGAGAAAAACAATAAGCGAATGTAAGCAAGCAACTTTATCAACCAACAGTATCCAGACTAAGGAGATACATACCAATTCCCTGAGCGCAGTAATGGAGCCGGTGTGCCTCATAGAACCTTCCGATCTCGGATCTGTAGGTCTAGAAGAAACTGGCATCGCTGTTTCATCTCTGACAAATGGCTGATTATCAAGCGCACTTGCGTTTCCCATAATCATATTTCCATTGGTGAAGGGGCTAGCATCTCTGTGGCTTGGCCCTGGGTCACCATTTGCACGTATATATACATCTGCAGAAAAAGCAGTAAAAAACTCAAGAAACTGGAAACAAACAAACAAAAACCCAGTTATAAAGCCTCATCCTAAGAACAATGTCAATGAATCCAACCAATATTAAACCTGAGCTAACTGCCCAGTGCCACAAATCCAAGATAGCTCTCACCCTTTTAAAGGGAAGGGACCCACAGTTTTGTAATACATTTAAGTTCTAGCACCATCTGTTGATGTGATATCATAGCATACCGACACGCGACCGTCTGTGGTGGCAGTTCTCATCCTCATTGATATAAACCCATTTATGAGGACCGACAGGAAGCTACAATAGGTCTATTAATAACATTGACCACTCCTTTGAGTTGTTGGCGTGGGATTGTTACAGACTAAACAGATTGGTTGAAAGATTGAGATCTACACCCTAGAATAGCTACCAACAATGTGAAGGAGGTTTAGAAACGTCAAACAAATAACATTCACCCGATCTTGCAGATTCAAACAATATATCTCAAATAGTATCTCTGCAGACAAAGATTAAAACACGAGTAAATTATTAGTCAGGATGTCTTACCAGCTAAGTTCTGTATAGAAGCTTCAGCAGCCTTGTGCAGGGCTTCTCGTCTCGATTTGCCAATCCCTTCACCAATTTTTTCATTAGAAAGCCAAGCCTGCAACAAAATATAGATTTAATGTACAGTGGACACAATCAACAAAGTAACTCATCTAGGGAATAGAGGATCTAAAAGAGCATAAGGTTCCACCTAAATTACTCACACCATACAATATGCAAGAGAGAAAGCTTGTAAATTGCAAACAGATAAGTCTAAGAGCTATACGTACCTCAACAGAGAACCGCAAATCTGTACTAGCAACCAAACTTGGTCTGTACTCCACCTACAATGTCATGGAATATATAACACATCAACTCACGTATGGAATTAATGGTAATCATGATGATATTCACATACCTTAGTTCCACATTTGATAGCGATTCCATGTAGAACATCAGCTGAACTCTCTGTTGCTGAGACACTTCGTTCAGGTAGGAAGTCAAGATCACTGTTCCTAGAAGAAGATTGATTCCAAGACGCATCCTCCCCTAGAGAGTCCATCCCAATTCCCAAGTCAGTAATTTATCTTCAGAACAAAATGATACAAGAATAAATAACTTTGATGGCTTACCATAGAAAGGATGAGAGCCAGGTAGATTGTTGTTTGACCGTAACTGTTCATCTCTCCGGAGCGACTGCATATATATGACAGTGAGCACTGAACAGCGTAGTGTAGCAGATAATGACCAACAAAATTGAGGATTGTAAGATTAGTGGTACCTCCTTCGGCTGCCTGCGATTCTCATGAAGCATCCTGTCAGACTGAGTTGAGTTATCAATCTTAGAAAAAAATGATGGATGACGAGGCCTGTGCTTTTCTATATGAATCATTTCAGAATCCAATGGATATTCTTTGGAGACTGCTCGACGAATTTGAGCTGGATCCATCTCCTCCTCAACAGGAAACCAACCATTTCTTGATTGCACATGCGGGGCTGGAGCTTGAACTGGAGGTCTCTGAGGAAATGAAGGTTCACTTGGAGCAGGATCCCTAGTATCTTGTCCATGCTGCAATATGAGGAGCCTCCTCCTAGTATCTGGATCTAATTCTGATTCAGGTACCTCACCTTCCTCTCTAGCAGGAGAACTCTGCAAGCTTGGTTCTGAAGGAACCAAGTGTTTTGCTACTGATGTCGGTTGTTGAGGTTGATGAAACGGATTACTTGGAAAGGCCATAGCTGATGGTTGTTGTGCTTGTTGCACGACTGGTACTGGTACTGGTACTGGAACTGAAACAGAAGAAGTAGAAGCCATGGGGTACTGAATGGGAGCAGCTATCCTTGGATCTATATTTGCCGCCGGAAGGACAACTGAAGATGCAGAAATTGCCTCCTGAATAAAAGGGAAAAATGTATTTGAATTTCATCATTGGGCAGAAAATTTAAAACAGATGACATGTTTACTGGAGTTGGTATCCTTAATGGATCACCACAGTAACTCTATAACAATCGAGCCTCAAAATGTAATTCACCTTCAGTCTTCTCTCCACTTCAGCATCAGCCATCCCGTCAAAGGAAAGTGGATCTTTGTTCCCATTTAAACCCGATGTATCGTCCTATATTGAAAAGAGAATGAGCTACTGTGAAGCAGTTTGGAGAGTGAGTAAAATGAGCTCCCAGAATGCCTGGAAGAGAACCAAAAAATTATCTGCTCGCAATCACTAACAAGTATCACGACTAACCTCCGACACCAAATAATGGCTGACATCAGGTGGAGAAGGAATATCCTCAACATTATTCTCATAATATATTTCAGCAATCCTTGGTAGCAGACTATCATCAAAATCCCTGTAACCAAGTTCAAATACCATTTCACGGTAAGTATGTACTAAGGAAACACCCTTGATCAGTAGAGATGTCAAGGTAACAAACGTCTATTATCAAATTTGACATCTTACCTGAAAAATCCACCTCTGACACCACAAGCAACGTTTCTGGCAACACATAGTACTGGTGTTGCAGCAGCCTACAAAAAAAGGAAACGAGCTATATGTAACACTATTTATTTATGAAAATTTAAGACTATCGCTTCTGGTAGAAATTGTGCCTAAATCAGGCCCACAAAGACCCTTGCATAGAACTCACCACAAAAGCTAGCTTATGGGTTAAGGTGCACTTAGGTCTTATAAGGCTTCATTTGTTCCATTCTATATGACTTTTGATTCTTTGATTAATAATATTCTTATCAAATTCACATGCTTCTGCATTTTATAACCAATTTCAACTTAGTAAAAATTATACTTACTTCAGCTTGAGGAGAATAATAGGGAGCGAATGCAGGAACCACATGCACCCTCGGCTGATCCTTCTCATCCCAAACTTTCAGTCGATCATCAATTACCAATGCCATCTTTGGATGGCACGTTCCGTCCAGAAACACATTGAACAGTGATTTTTTTAAACCTGTGGTGGTAATTACAAGCTTGTAAGAAGTGATACCATGATGAAAAATAAGCAGGTATAAGTTACCAAAAAGTATACCAGATTTCACACAAACAATGCGAGCCAGCAAATCATTTGTGTTTATCAAATTCCCTTCTGGATCAAGGAGCCTCCACATCTCTAAGGCGTAATCTCTTTCAGCCATTGTGCAAACATATACTTCAAAACGCTTGCGCCCTTTTGCTGTCAAATAGCTTCGAAGTTCCTCCCATGAAGGCCTCATTCTTACAAGAACACTTGTATCACGAATCTGTGTGTAAATATAAGGATGCAGATTCAGCCACAAGAATTCAGAAAAGTCTAGGTGCTCCGGCAAGGAGCAAATGAAAAATAAAAGGCCTCTCGAGTCATTGACACTGCACTGTATACGGGAACATTAACTAACAGAAATGAACTAATTCAAGACTTGCATACCATCGGGTTAATGCGAGTCAGGATAATATTCTTCTCTTGCAACCTTATCAGGGGACGAACAAGAGGCTGATGGTTGTCAGACAAGGCAGGAACAATTTCAGATTGCACCTTGATCACCTCCCCGTTTTCAACAACCTGGTCACTTTCAACATATTGCTTCAATAGATTTTTGTCATCTTGATATCGCTTCATCTCAGCCACCATAACGGCAAGGCGTTGAGGGTCCATCTCATTGTTTATTCTCCGCTGCAACCCGTCAATCTTATCCTCAAATGAGCGCATGGTATTCGCCACTACAAGGGTTTCATCGAGATCAAAGACAATACCCAGACATCTAATATTCAACATGACAAGACAGGAATCGTAGACTCCAGGAGCAACACTAAATGCCCAGAAACAAGGACGGTCATTCTTGATATGTTCCGAGTACATGGCAACCAAATGGAGCTCTTCTCCACCCAGGAGCATTACTGCCGTCTGCAAGAACCAAAAATCCAAAAATCACATATATGAGGACAATTTGTAACATAGCTCATAGGCAATCTTATAAAGCTGGAAACGAATTAATTCAGTCAATTACGCCTACATATTCTTAGTTAACATACATAGACATTTAAACCACACATAATTCAAACCCCCACTCTACAACCTGGGAAAAGTTTCTAAAGCCTCAAACTTGATACAACTCTGACATTAAGGAAGTAACATAATGACCCAAAATCCCAATTTTCATAAGTCTTTTTAAGATTTAGTTCATAAGATCTAAGTCTGAGTAAGAGGCTGAATAATAATGACCTTGTTGTCCCTGAGACAGGACGAGTAGAAAAGACTTAGTGGCTCCTGAGGCGAAGAAGGTGAAGCTTCTAATTTGAAACAGAGACCACAAGATGAAATTGTAGTAAGTACTGCAAGAGGAGTACACCTCTCGCCAGATTGAGAAAAGTGGTTTATTCTGATTCCCATCTTGGCTTCCTCCATTACTTCCCTCTGTTTCTTCTTCCTCTGCTTCATCACATCATCTTCTTGGTGCTGCTGCTGCAATTCCCTTGATGGGTATATCTCCATTTCTCCAATTCTTCCATCTCCATGAAACACTTCTACTCTATTATTACTATACATACTTTCTTTCTCCTTCTTCTCCTTTAAGTTTACAGATCAATGGATGTCTAATGTCTCATCTCAAAATTGGTTCATCAAAATCTTAACTTTTTGTTGTCCCTTGGCCTGATTTGATAGATTGATCACCAGTCCACACTAGTTTTTGTATTGGATCCGAGTTTTTTCTTTAGCAAGAATCAAGAAAACAAAAGAAGATTTGATAGATGGGTAATAATAAGAGAAAGAATGAGAATTTAGTGTTTGTTCTTTAGATTTTGTTCCCTTTGAATATAGATCTGTAAAATACCGATGATGAATCCACAAAAAAAAACCCTAGTTCTTCTTCCTTTGATGACGATTTTGTTTGTGTGTCTGGGAAAAGTTTCTTAGGTTTTGTGGCGTTCTAAAAATTGAGAGAAACCCTAGATCCAGATAACGAAGAGTCAAGATTGTGAATACGGCATTATGCCTTTGTTATTGGGTTTTAAAGGGAAACACGAAGGTCCCTTCATTTTTTTTTAACCATTCTTTTTATTTATTGTCTTATTTTTAAAAATTTAATTCTATTTTTAAAAATTAATAAAAGCCTTAAATAGTTTTTTTTTTTTTTTACGTATCAACTCAAACCTGTCAAAATTCTGGTTTTTCGATTCATACCGTACTTGTAATGTACTTTAAACAGTGTCAAGGTTTCATATACCACAAGATATTTATAGTTGCTCTAATTCTTTTTTTTTCCCTCTAAGAAAACTATTAAAAAAGATGATATTCTTCACATATACTAGTCTTTTGGGTTGTGAAATTTTTATATACTAAGCATGAATAATACTCTTTACAATGTTTTCATAAAGGTATTGTTTATTATATAAAACTGATTTGTTTTGTTTTTCAAGATACACAACTACGTAACGGTAATTTTTTTATATAGATAATGTTTTTTTTTCCTTATTTAAAATCTATTAAACGACTTTTTAAAATAACCGTTACAATAGCCGTTACAAAATTATTTCCTATTATATTAACAACTTTTTAAACTCAAAAAGACTGGATATGATTCCAATTATGATAAACAATATGCAATCGTTAATATACACCGAGAGTCGTACTCACATTAATAAAAACTCAGAGTGACTAAAAATTACCATAATTCATATAAAACCAAATTCTTACGATAATACCAAAGCATTTAAATTATATTAAAAAATTTCTAGTTAGTCGGAGAACAAACTACAAAATATTATATTAGATTATAAATATTAAGGAGTTTTAGAATCAATATATTTATACAATTTTTTTTAAAATGTGATTGTATACTAGTGTTTCATTTTTTTACAAATAAAACACGACCAACATTTATAGTGTAGTATAATGTTTGAATGTTCCTTTCATATATCCTTTGAAAATTTCTATTACGTTACAATCTTCAATGCTTGTTAAAAGATAAGGCTTTTGAATGGGCTACTCATTCAATTATCTAACAGGAGGACTTTACAAGAGTAAAGAGTTGTGGTTATTTCTGATTGCAAAGAGTTGTGGTTAAACCTGCAAGAGAATATTAGTCGAACCTCCTTCAAATCATCCAACCAACAACAACTATCGATAATGTATCAAGAAACAAAAACTCTCTTTTACCACCACATGAGTTTTTGACTCTATTATTTCTGATTGGCTTAATTCCTTTGTATTGGGCCTATGGGCAGATATCTCCTACTACTTGTATGGCCCAGTGGGCCTTATGGCGAGAAAAAAAACTAAACCAAACCGAAATAGATCAATCAGGGATAATTTTAGCAAAACCGATTTCCGTTCATATACATCCTCGCTTTCCTTCGTTTTCTCTATCTCTCTTTCACAACACCGATTCTGAGACTTCACCGAATATGACCGCCGATTCAACCGTCGCACACGCTAATAGCGTCGTTTCTAACGGCGATGTCTCCAACGGAAACACCACCGCTTCCTCTAAGAAATCTCGTGAGAGCGACCGTCGCCGCCGCCGACGGAAGCAGAAGAAGAACAACAAAGCATCCCAAGCCGATGTAGATGCATCGGACGTTTCTGGTGCTTCTGATTCTAAGGAGAATGCAGATCCGCAGCAACAGGTTAGCTTTGTGTTCTTTTTTCTCTCACTCGATTCATGGATTGGAAGTTTTCTAGGGTTTTTCTTTTTATTAGGGTTTGTGATTGTCTATCGTTTGATGATGATTTGCGGTTTTTGTTTCTTTTGATAGGTTTCTGAGCAGATTGTGATAGAGTATGTTCCAGAGCAGGCTGAATTTGAAGATGGTTTGGACGAGTTTAAGGAAATCTTTGAGAAGTTCAACTTTCGCGAACCTGTTACCTCTGAAGAAGATGGTAAGAAGGATGAGTCTGAGGAGAAAGAAGATGTCAAAAAGAAGGTTAACTCTGATATAGATTCAGACGACGATGAGCAGGATAACCAGAACAAAGAGAAAGGCATCTCTAATAAGAAGAAAAAGGTCTATCTCTAAGCTAATTGTTTTCCTTTAGATTCTAAGCTCTGTATACCACATTGTTTCTGATTCTAAAATTCTGAATTTCTGTTTCCTCAGCTTCAACGGAGGATGAAGATTGCTGAGCTGAAGCAGGTTTCGGCTAGGCCTGATGTCGTTGAGGTATGGATGCTTCTCTATTGTGTTAAGAGTACCAAGGTTTATCTCGTTGTGTAGATCTCTAAAGTATATTCATAAGTTCTGTTTTACAATTTTCAGGTCTGGGACGCTACTTCAGCAGATCCAAAGTTGTTGGTGTTTTTGAAGTCTTATCGGAATACAGTTCCTGTTCCAAGACATTGGTCCCAGAAGAGAAAATATTTACAGGTTTGTGATATTTCTAGTAATGGTACTGTAGTTAACTATATGTTTCTGTGATTTGTGGGTGTGGTACGGGTACATAGGGAAATTATATCATGAGGGATAGAACGTCTGTGATAACCATGTCAATTAAGTTTCCTTATACCTATATATGCTTCTTGCAGGAGAACGTCTGTGATAACCATGGAGCCTGGACTTGTAGGTGTAACCGGAGAGGACTCTTGATTATTTTTTTTGTCTATATATGAAATCTGTGTTGCTTAGTTTTTGGAGAAAAGTGTTTAATGCATCAGTTTGGGATATTCCCTTTCTGAAACTGTACTTTCTGTTTTCGTATGCGTTTTTAATGATCTTGTAGTACTCTTAGGATTGAGTCAAGCTTCTTTGTGTTATGGCTATTATATTGCTTTCTCTTTCTTTCTTAAGTTGTTGGCATCTCATCGGGGTTTCATTTTTGCAGGGAAAACGTGGTATAGAGAAGCAGCCATTTCATCTTCCTGATTTCATTGCTGCAACCGGAATTGAGAAAATTAGACAGGTATCTTGTCTTGGACCCCATGATTACTCTTCTATTGACTTGCACATTTTTATTTCAGAAGGTGTTTGGTTTTGTAGAAATATCTACTAATTAAGTATCAGGAAATATGTTATCATTAAAAGAATTTGGAAAATCTCCACATTTCACTTCGACTTTAAATGTTTCACTGATGTATATGAAACTCAAGCTTTTGTCTAGGCAATGCCATTTTCTTAACCAGCACCCGTAGTTTCTGGACGCAAATGGCCATTTCTTGTTGCTTTTGACTGATTCTCTTTCTTTTTAATTTCAGTCATACACTATAACACTGTATCTGATTTATATCTAGTCATTCTTTCTTGCTGCCATATACATTTTCAAAATTAAGTTATTCTTTATCAATGTAAGGTGCAAGTCGCTAATTCATGTGTGGTTCTTGTGCAGGCTTACATTGAGAAAGAAGATGGTAAGAAGTTGAAGCAAAAGCAACGGGAGCGAATGCAACCAAAGATGGGAAAGATGGACATTGACTACCAGGTTTCCCTTTTTTACATCTTTGTTTTGTGATGATTATTTGTTTATATTCGTTCTATAACTGATAAGTGAAAATATACCTTCCTTTCTCAGGTCCTTCATGATGCATTTTTCAAATACCAAACAAAGCCTAAGCTGTCAGCTCTAGGCGATTTGTATTTTGAAGGGAAAGAATTTGAGGTACTTCCTTGTGACATGTTTTGCATCTTTATCTATAATTTACATTACTTGGTTTTATTGGTTTGTGAACCTGAAATCTAATTACAATCATTTGGCAAATAGGTTAAACTGAGGGAAACGAAACCAGGGCTTTTATCACACGACTTAAAAGAAGCTCTTGGTATGCCTGAAGGCGCTCCTCCCCCATGGCTAATTAACATGCAGGTGAGTTTATTGTGACTTATCTTTTTAATTATTCTGATTGGAATTGAGTTGTTCACCTTTAACTCTTCTTCTTTAACAGAGATATGGTCCTCCTCCTTCTTACCCACACCTGAAAATTCCTGGTTTGAATGCTCCTATTCCACTTGGAGCTAGCTTTGGGTATCATGCTGGCGGCTGGGGGAAACCTCCAGTTGACGAAGTAAGCATTTTTATCTACATTCTTCTTTTTAATATTTTCGATGCCATCTATTAACTTTTTTTATTTGTTTCTTCTCATCGTTTGTGTTACATAGTATGGGCGTCCATTGTATGGAGATGTCTTTGGTGTTCAGCAACAAGATCAGCCTAACTATGAGGTAATTGTTTTCATCTCTCTCTGTTCTTCCCCTTAGTAATTGCATATTGAGCTACGAGGTCTGTTTTAAAATTGTACCCAGCTAAATGGGTAGTTGGTGTGGTATTAACCTAGTGGATACAAAATACGTTGAATATTTAGAGATCATCAAATTTGGCGATAGAGTATGACGGTTGTTCTTTCATCATTATCTCAGGAGGAGCCTATTGATAAGAGTAAGCACTGGGGTAGATTTAGAGGAAGAGGAAGAGGAAGAGGAGGAGGAAGAAGAGGAACAAGAAGAGGAGATGGATGAAGAGGATCTACAAGATGGTACTGAATCTGTTGATACACTGTCAAGGTATACATTCATGAGGTGTATATTTATTTATTTGCTTATCATTATAATATAAATATAAAACTGATTTGCGTTTTTCCCCTTCTTTTCAGCACTCCTACTGGTATTGAGACACCAGATGCAATTGAACTTCGTAAGGAACAGAGAAAGGAACCCGATAGGCCTCTATACCAGGTATGAATCCTAATTTTGATGATCTAACACACCTTGTAGGATTTTCTATTAGTTTGATGTCAACCGATATTTCAATGTTGCTGCTCCGTTTAATGCTGCCTTTTTTTGGTCTTGTGAAGGTACTCGAAGAAAAGGGAGAGAGTGTTGCTCCTGGAACAGTGCTGGGAACCACACACACATACGTTATTAAGACTGGTACTCAAGACAAGACGGGAGCCAAAAGGGTAAGCAGTCTGTTGTTAAATTGCAATGATGTGTATACATGCTCAGGTTTGTTGTTTAGCTTTATGACAAGTGGCTAATGTGTGCAATTGTGTCAATTTTGAGCAGGTTGATTTGCTGAGAGGGCAAAAGACAGACAGAGTGGATGTCAGTTTACAGCCAGAAGAGCTGGATGCTATGGAAAATGTGTTACCTGCCAAGTATGAGGAGGCAAGAGAAGAGGAGAAATTGCGCAATAAGCCAGAGGACTTGAGTGACATGGTCGTCGAGGTAATGACTTTCTCTATATCTATCTCTATTTTAAACTCTATTGATATAAATGCGGATAAATAATCGAACCTTTTCTTGGTGGAATGTTTAACAGCATGTGCAGCAGAATAGCAGGAAGAGGAAAATGCATGATAAGGAAGGGAAGAAGAAGAAAGATTTCAAATTCTGAGGTGTGTTATGGAAGAGACACAAACGGATTCTGGACATGAGTGGATGGAGAGAAGGAGAGAGATTCATGTTACAGAGTTTTTTTAGTCTTGAGTCAGAGATCTTGAGTTGTAGTCTTAATGCTATGGAATCCTATAACTATGTTGTTATCTGAAGGCTTAAGTAAAACTTGTTTTGGGAATTTGAGCAAATTCAAAGCCTGAAAAACACTTGGATCCACAAACTGGGAAAAAAAAAAAAAGAATGCTTTGTTTCGTAAAATTGTCCAAGTACTTTCAGCGTTTTTGGTATTTAAAAGCTTTGATCATTCGGTCTACCGATTTAACCGTGACTGTGAATCCATTTCAATATCAGTGTACCTTGTTTTGATAGTCTAGACAAAAATATATATATTTTCACGACATCGCTCCTGAAACCAAATTATGTTCAATGTTTTTTGTTATATGCATAGTGTGAACTAATTCATAGCCATGATGATCCAGGTTTATTGGGTTGTTCTATCCATGCATGTGTTTTCAATTTATATATATAGTAACGTGATGGGAAAAATTGAACATACAGTGGATTTATTCAATTATATATTTCTATTACTTTTCCAATATTAGGAGACAAATGGTTTGACGACACCTCATTCCGGGAGAGCAATAAAACGGCGACAAATGGCCAATTATGCTACTCATTGCCCTACCACCGTTTGCATGAGCATGATGACTGGTAGGGTTTCTAAATCGCCGTTGTTCACCATTCTTTCAACATTATCTCTTTTTTTCTTCTCACTGATTAATCATTATACATAGGCCCTCTATATGGGAGACAGTTTTGCAAAATAAAAACTCATTTATACCTCTTTCAACTTAAAAATACCATAAAGTCTCCAAATTGGAATGGTTATTCAGAGTTCAAGCGATGTCAGAATTGTTTTAATTAACACGTAGATAAACATTGAACTTTGCTAGAGGGCCTATGCAAAAAAAAAAAAAAAACTATCCTAGTTAAAAGAAATTTAAAATTTAAATAAATATCAGAAAGTACTTATGCTTGAAATGAGACCAATTTAGCTTTACCACATACATTAAGCCCTCACTTGTGTGAAGGCCTTAAAGGTTTTAAGCTAAAAGTGGACTCCGCTGTTACAGTGATTAATGTTTGCCATTTTGGTTCGAAATTAGTCATTGATCATTGATCCATGTCTCTTTGTATTTCAGATGTGAGATTGATAGTAGTAAATGTAATAACTAAAGTCATTGATTAATTCCCTCTAAAATATTTTGAAACTCAATTTTCTAAAAAGATTAACAAAAGTCAATAATGTATCAATTCGAACGTGCTGAAAAACGAGTCGCTTATGTTTCATCGTACTATCACCTTTGGATTCGCACTACTAAAGAGATTCAACTATCGGTGGTCTCTATTGATTTTATCTATAAAGTGTGAAATCCTATTTTTCATTCAAATCATGAGTAGGAGGGTAAAGCATCAAACCAAAACAAATTATTGATTGTAACAACAGAACCATACGAGGATTAGTTTTAGTTTGGTAAGTTTTTTCTCAAACCAACCACAAATGAATACAAAATGTACTTCAATGATAAAACCGAATATTAATTAACCGAAGAAAAACTGAAACAGTGAGTTTGACAGTTGACACTACTCTCAATTCTCAAACCGAACCAAACCAAATCCGAAATTGAATCCGAGCCAAATTTGAACCTAACCAAAAAGTTCATGAAACGTGAATTGAACGATGAATTATTTACTATATACAACAATAGAGGCTTCTATGCCACCACACACTTCTCACTTAAGAAAATGGATAACTCTTTACAAAGTTCTAAACTTGTGCTTCTACTAGCTATTGCTTTGGTCCTATTTCTAAACACAGAGCTGAAATTTCCTATAGCTGCTGGAGCCTTAAACAGTGATAGCAAAGTATGCAACTAAAAAACACATTTCTCTGTTTGCGAAATATCGCTAAGAGTTTACTGATTTTAAAATTTGTTGGTATTCTTTTTCGCGGATTTAATAGGTTTATATAGTGTATCTTGGCGAAAGAGAACACGATGATCCAGAACTTGTCACAGCTTCTCATCATCAAATGCTTGAATCACTTCTTCAAAGGTACTTTACTATAATCATCTTTAAAAAAACAAACAAATCTCTACTAATACTGGTATTGGACATTTACCTATTGAATTTGTTTATTTGTATATATCTATATATATGCTTTTAATCCTCATTAGTTAAACAAAATTATTCAGACATCTGTTAGGTTGATAATATCTATTACATACGTTTCTTGGTGACAAGAAACCAAGAAACTCATCTCGACATACTCTGTTTTCTTCACAGAACTTAGGCCCTCCTCTGTTTTTGATTTTGTTTGTTATGACTTATGAGCTCTTCTCTCACTTGTATCTGCCATGTTATATACAGCAAAGAAGACGCACGTAACTCGCTGATCTACAGCTACCAACATGGATTCTCAGGTTTCGCGGCACTTCTTACATCATCACAAGCAAAGAAAATTTCAGGTACTCAAACTCACATACGAGGAAAATTCATATCTTTGACTGTGAAGACAAAGTTTCTAAACCAGATTCTTGTAAATAAACACAGAACATCCATCAGTAATCCATGTTATACCAAACCGGATTCTGAAACTGAAAACCACAAGAACTTGGGATCATCTTGGCCTCTCTCCAATTCCAACTTCTTTTTCTTCATTATCATCTGTAAAAGGTCTTCTTCATGACACCAACTTGGGCAGCGAAGCTATTATCGGTGTCATCGATTCAGGTCTCTCACTCTCTCCCTCTCTGGCTCTCTAACTCTAACTCCCTCCCTCTTTCCTTGGCTCACATCATGTATATATGTATTATGCAGGAATATGGCCAGAGTCAAAGGCACTCAACGATCAAGGGCTTGGACCAATACCTAAGCGTTGGAGAGGAAAATGTGAACCAGGAGAACAGTTTAACGCCACAATACATTGCAACAACAAGCTAATAGGAGCTAAGTACTATCTAAACGGTGTAGTCGCTGCAATTGGAGGAAAATTCAACAGAACAATCATCCAAGATTTCAAATCCACCAGAGATACAAACGGTCACGGCACACATACAGCCACAATAGCTGGTGGCTCATTCGTTCCCAACGTGAGCTTCTATGGTCTAGCCCGAGGTACTGATATATAGAAGATGTGTCCAAACCAATCCCACAGAAGTTAGCTTAAGAGGGAAGGTACCGGTTTTATAAGGCGATAATTTTGTCTCCTTTCTAACCAATGTGTGATTCTTATCAGGTTTGGTCCGAGGTGGTGCTCCTCGGGCCCGCATAGCCTCGTACAAGGCGTGTTGGAACGTAATGGGAGATGAAGGAGGAGGAACTGATGGAAGATGCACAACTGCTGATATGTGGAAGGCTTTTGATGATGCTATACATGATGGGGTTGATGTTTTGTCGGTTTCTATTGGGGGAGGTATTCCCGAGGATTCCGAGGTCGATAAGCTCGATTATATCGCGGCTTTTCACGCGGTGGCTAAAGGGATTACGGTTGTGGCTGCTGCGGGTAACGAAGGGCCTGGTGCTGAGACTGTTGACAATGTTGCTCCTTGGCTCTTGACTGTTGCTGCAACTACTCTTGACCGATCTTTTCCTACAAAGATCACACTTGGGAATAAACAGATCCTCTTTGTACGTTTTTATTCCCAAAAAACATAAATTAGTTTGAGAAATAGTTCAAAGTTTGGAGTTTTTTTTAACTTGTTGTTTTTTGTTGGTACGTTTTTAGGCTGAATCTCTGTTCACTGGACCGGAAATTTCAACGGGTTTAGCTTTCTTGGACTCAGACAGTGATGATAATGTTGATGTGAAGGGGAAAACAGTTCTTGTTTTCGATAGTGCCACTCCAATTGCAGGGAAAGGTGTAGCAGCATTAATCCTAGCCCAAAAGCCTGATGATCTTCTTGCTCGATGCAATGGTTTAGCATGCATTTTCGCGGATTACCAGCTTGGAACTGAGATTTTAAAATACATACGTACCACCAGGTCTCTATCTTGAAGAAAAAACACTCTCATAGATACATGCATAAGTCCATTTATATATATATACACATCATTGATCCGTCTTGCCAACAGATCTCCCACGGTGAGAATTAGTGCGGCTACGACATTAACCGGTCAGCCTGCAACGACTAAGGTTGCTGCATTCTCATGTAGAGGGCCTAATTCTGTTTCACCAGCCATTCTCAAGGTTATATAGCCATTGTGTCTCTTATCTATGTTTACTTCAAAGGGTTAAACGTTTTGTGAATAAACTTGTTAAATATCTGGTCATGTTTTACTCTATAGCCTGATATAGCAGCTCCGGGTGTGAGCATACTTGCGGCAATAAGTCCGCTTAATCCAGAAGAACAGAACGGATTTGGACTTCTTTCAGGGACATCAATGTCGACTCCTGTTGTTTCTGGAATCATAGCTCTCCTCAAATCTCTACACCCTAATTGGTCTCCTGCTGCAGTGAGATCAGCTTTGGTCACAACAGGTTCTTGCTTCTTCTTATTCTTCTTTTTCATAAACAAACCGTTACCGACTAATGGATTTCTTTTGAAGCTTGGAGGACAAGTCCATATGGAGAACCCATATTTGCTGAAGGATCAAACAAGAAGCTTGCAGATCCATTTGACTATGGAGGAGGACTTGTAAACCCTGAAAAGGCTGCAAAACCCGGACTTGTCTACGATATGGGGATCGAAGATTACATCAATTACATGTGTTCCGCGGGTTACAACGACACCTCAATCTCTCGTGTGCTCGGTAAAAAGACCAATTGCCCAATTCCTGGGCCATCAATTCTTGATATCAACTTACCTTCAATCACAATTCCAAATCTTGAGAAAGAGGTCACACTCACAAGGACTGTAACCAATGTTGGACCCATCAAGTCAGTCTATAAAGCTGTGGTCGAGTCTCCTCTCGGTATAACTCTCACCGTGAACCCAACCACTCTCGTCTTTAGCCCAGCTGCTAAGAGAGTACTCACTTTCTCGGTCAAGGCTAAAACGAGTCATAAAGTCAACAGTGACTACTTCTTTGGAAGCTTAACATGGACTGATGGTGTTCATGATGTTACAATCCCTGTCTCTGTTAAGACAAAGATCATGATCAAGACTTAACAAAATTACTCAATAATGTCCAAAAAATAATGGATTCGATGTGATAAAAAAGAGCAATATATATATATGATGCTCATGGTATTAGCTCTTATGTAATATGTTGCAAATCTAAACTCAAAGTGTCAAATCAAGATTCAAGATCATCATAATAAAAGATCAAAATCACAAATAACTTGGAATCTCTTACACAACAAACATACAACCATATACATGCATATAAAAACTACTACAAATTGAATCGAGACAAAAGGATCCTCATAAATCATGATCATAATCTATAGCTATAACATTACATAACAAATATATAATCATCATAATGACTATATATTATAAATATGTGATCTTTTTATATACACATAAATGCAAGAAACCGGAATTAGTTTGCTCTCCTGTGATCCTATATTTCGGTGTAGACTCTTCTATATATATATCAAAAGTTCAGAATATAATCATTCTATACTAAATTGAGTAATTCAGTCAATCATGATCTAACAACTTCTTAATTACAGTCACCTAACTACTCAAATTAGTTAGAAATTCAAATTATTGATATCCTCTTATACTCAATTGAAATATAATTAGGTACACTATTCGTATATCTATAATAAGAAAGACATCTATAATAAGAAAGACGACAATTGTAAGAGTTAAAACTAGCCAAAAAGTTATGGTGGGATATAATATAACGTTACACAAGAGATAAAACCGGTCTGCTTCGGAATTACCATACCCAGATTAAGTCGAATAAACCAATAATTGAATCCGAACCAGATTCGAATCTAACCCAAAAGTTCATACCTAAAGACGAATTATTTATCACATATGTCTATAAAATCGCTTCTAATCCACAGAGTCACACACACTTCTCACTTCATAAAATGGAGAACTCTTTACTAAGTTCCAAACTTGTGTTTCTCTTGGCAATTGCTTTTGTCTTAGTTCTTAACACAGAGCTGAGTTTTCTTACAGCTGAACGAGCCTCAGACAGTAACAGCAAAGTATGTAACTAAAGAAAAAATTCTATTTGCGAAAATCGCTAAGAGTTTACTGATATTTCTAAACTTTTCCGATGTTTTTTGGCGGATTTATTAGGTTTATATAGTGTATATTGGTCAAAGGGAACACGATGATCCAGAACTTGTCACAGCTTCTCATCATCAAATGCTTGAAACACTTCTTCAAAGGTACTTTACTTTAATCATCTTCAAAACAAGGTTCATTAAAATTTTAATATCTATAATTGTATCTCCATTAGATATTCAAGACATCTGATAGGTTGATATTAATGTATTACATACGTTTCTTGTCTCCCAAGAAACTCCTCTCGCCATACTCTGTTTCTTCACAGAACTTGGACCTTCCTCTGTTTTTCTTTCTTTCTTTTGTTATAAGCTCTTCTCTTACTTGTGTCTGTAATGCTATATACAGCAAGGAAGACGCACATAACTCAATGATCTACAGCTACCAACATGGATTCTCTGGTTTCGCGGCGCTTCTTACATCTTCACAAGCAAAGAAAATCTCAGGTACTTGAAAAAACTCAAACTCACATTTTCATATCTTTGAGCATTGAAGATTTTTGGTTCCTAAACCGGAATCTTGTATATAAGCAGAGCATCCAGAAGTAATCCATGTTATACCAAACCGGATTCTGAAACTGAAAACCACAAGAACTTGGGATCATCTTGGCCTCTCTCCAATTCCAACTTCTTTTTCTTCTTCATCATCTGCAAAAGGTCTACTTCATAACACCAACATGGGAAGCGAAGCTATCATCGGCGTCGTTGATACTGGTCTCTCTCTCGCTCTCTAAATCTAATCTCTCTCTCTCTCTCTCTCTCCTTGGCTTACATCATGTATATCGGTATATGCAGGGATATGGCCAGAGTCAAAGGTATTCAACGATCAAGGTCTTGGACCAATACCTAAGCGTTGGAGAGGAAAATGTGAATCAGGAGAGCAGTTTAACGCCACAATACATTGCAACAACAAGCTGATAGGAGCTAAGTACTATCTAAGTGGTCTACTTGCCACGACTGGAGGAAAATTTAACAGAACAATCATCCACGATTTCAAATCCAACAGAGATGCAATTGGTCACGGCACGCATACAGCCACAATAGCTGGTGGCTCATTCGTTCCCAACGTGAGCTTCTATGGTCTAGCCCGAGGTACTGATATAGAAGATGTGTCCAAACCAATCCCACAGAAGTTAGCTTAAGAGGGAAGGTACCGGTTTTATAAGGCAATAATTTTGTCTCCTTTCTAACCAATGTGTGATTCTTATCAGGTACGGTCCGAGGTGGCGCCCCTCGGGCCCGCATAGCCTCATACAAGGTCTGTTGGAATGTACTGGGCGGTACATGCTCAGTTGCTGATATGTGGAAGGCTTATGATGATGCTATACATGATCAGGTAGATGTTTTGTCGGCTTCTATTGGGGGCCCTATTCCCGAGGATTCTGAGGTCGATAGGGTCGACTTTATCGCGGCTTTTCATGCGGTGGCTAAAGGGATTACAGTTGTGGCTGCGGCGGGCAATGATGGGCCTGGTGCTCAGACTATTTGCAATGCTGCTCCATGGCTCTTGACTGTTGCTGCAACTACTCTTGACCGGTCTTTTCCTACAAAGATCACACTTGGGAATAACCAAACTTTCTTCGTACGTTTCATACCATTAATACTCAAATTAGTTTGAGAAAATAGTATAAAGTTTCGACCTTTTTTTTACCAAAAGCTAAAATTAACTTATTGTTTTTTGTTGGTATCTAATTAGGCTGAATCTTTGTTCACTGGACCGGAGATTTCAACGGGTTTAGCTTTCTTGGACTCAGACAGTGTTGATGTGAAGGGGAAAACAGTTCTTGTTTTCGATACTACTTATCCTACTTCATTTGCAGGGAAAGGTGTAGCAGCAGTCATCTTAGCCCAAAAGCCTGATGATGTTCTTGCTCGATACAACCCTATACCGTACATTTTCACAGATTATGAGATCGGAACTGACATTTTACAATACATACGTACTACCAGGTCTCTATCTTGACGCCAAAAAACTCTATTACATACTTAGATAAGTTCATTTACATTTCTGGAATATATACATCATTGATCCGTCAAACCAACAGATCTCCCACGGTGAGAATTAGTGCTGCTACGACACTAACCGGTCAGCCTGCAATGACTAAGGTTGCTGCATTCTCATCTAGAGGGCCTAATTCGGTTTCACCAGCCATTCTCAAGGTTATAAAGCCAGTGTGTCTCTTATTTATGTTTACTTCAAAAGGTTTAAACGTTTTTGAGTAAAGTTATATATCTTGTCATCTTTTACTTTGTAGCCTGATATAGCAGCTCCGGGTGTTACCATACTCGCGGCATTGAGTTCGCTTGATCCTTATGCGTACAACGGATTTGGACTTCTTTCAGGGACATCGATGTCGACTCCTGTTGTTTCTGGAATCATAGCTCTCCTCAAATCTCTACACCCTAATTGGTCTCCTGCTGCAATGAGATCAGCTTTGGTCACAACAGGTTCTTGCTTCTTCTTATTCTTCTTTTTCATAAACAAACTGTTACCGACTAATCTATACTTTTTGTAGCTTGAAGGACAAGTCCATCTGGAGAACCTATATTTGCTGAAGGATCAAACAAGAAGCTTGCAGATTCATTTGACTATGGAGGAGGACTTGTAAACCCTGAAAAGGCTGCAAAACCCGGACTTGTCTACGATATGGGGATCAACGATTACATCAATTATCTGTGTTCCGCAGGTTACAACGACTCTTCAATCTCTCGTGTGCTCGGTAAAAAGACTAAGTGCCCAATTCCTGAGCCATCAATGCTTGATATCAACTTACCTTCAATCACAATCCCAAATCTTGAGAAAGAGGTCACACTCACAAGAACTGTAACCAATGTTGGACCCATCAAGTCAGTCTACAAAGCCGTGATCGAGCCCAGTGGCGGATCCAGAAATTAATTTTATCCGGGGCAATAATATTAAATAAAAAAAAACTATAATTTTATTAACAAAAATGAATCTTCTAAGTAAGTTAAAGCATTTGATTAATTTTTTCAAGTTAACGAAAGTGATTTAAAGTTATTTTACCATTGAAATATGGGCTTATTTACAGAGTAATTGGGGGCATTAAACGAGTATTTAACAGGGGCATAATTAAAAACTCATGTAAATAACACCAACTTTGAAAAATTTACCCGTGGCAAGTGCCCCCCCTAATCGTAACGTACGTCCGCCCATGATCGAGCCTCCTCTCGGTATAACTCTCACCGTGAACCCGACCACACTCGTTTTCAAATCTGCTGCTAAGAGAGTACTCACTTTCTCGGTTAAGGCTAAAACGAGTCATAAAGTCAACAGTGGCTACTTCTTTGGAAGCTTAACATGGACTGATGGTGTTCATGATGTTACAATCCCTGTCTCTGTTAAGACAGAGATCACGATCAAGCCTTAACAAGAAACTCATTATTCCATGTAATAAAAAGAGCCATATGATGCTCATGGTATTTGTTCTTATGTAATATGTTGCAAATCTAAACTCAGAGTGACAAATCAAGATTCAAGATCATCATAATAAAAGATCAAATCACAAATAACTTAAAATCTCTTACACAAACATACAAATAAAGAAAACCGTAAAGTTTCCTCATTTATTCATCACAACCATATATTATGCATATAAAAACCACTACAAATCGAATCAAGACAAAAGGATCCTCATGATCATAATCTATAGCGCTATAACATTCCATAGCAAGTATATAATCATATCATAATGACTATATATTATAAAGATGTGATCTTTTATTATATCTTAACAATAAGCGATACATTTCTTCTTACAATCCATAGTACATCCTCCACCGCCACCACCACCGCCGTATCCTTTCCCGGAGCGGCTGAAAGATTTGAAACACTTAGCAGGACACCTCAGCTTCTTGCCGTAACAAGGTCCTTTCTCTTTGCAAGTCACAGTTGGTCTCACCACACCTCCTTTCCCAAATCCGCCGCTAGGACCACCAAACCCTCCGCCGTATCCTCCACCAACTCCAGTCCCCGGAAACCCGTTTCCAAACCCGGGTATATATCCGGATCCGGGTATTCCACCGAATCCTAAACCATCGTTCCCGCTCTTTTGACGAGCTGATTCAGTTGCAGAGACGAAGATGATGATAAGAAGAGAAGCCAAAAGGATAGATTTAGTGAACATTTTCGGTAATGTAGATATTTTAGTGGGTTTGGTTGAGGAGATTTAATAAAAAGTTGGATGCATGATATATAAAGATAGAGAAGAGCATTAAATTGGGAGGTATGAAAATACAGTTAAGACAATGATTCGTGGACTTTAGTGTGTAATAAGATCACTTTAATGCCCGTACTACTACTTTGCAAGAGACAGACTCTTGTGTCTCTCTCTATTACTTGCGTAACTAGTTGATAGACTGTTCAAATATATTTTTTTCTTGTAGCATTTGGCGTTGGCGACATTTAATTTAAGCATGTGTTATTCAAAGAGCGACAGATAGTTTAAATTAGATTTGATAGTGGAGGACTTTTGACAGATGTGTTCACGATAAACTAAAGGATTAATCTACCCAAAGTTGGGTGAAAACCCATATCAAATTAAATCATTTGGAAGTTGGGTGAAAATTCAATTTAGGACTTATGAGAGGTTTTTAACTTTTTATTTTATTTACTTAGTTAAGGAGTTATTTATTTATTTATTTATCAATCATATATAAAAACTATTGATAAAAATAATAATTATGTGATAATATTTGTAAATAAGTGAGATGGTGTTCATAATTTAATCTGCTCGATAAGGCCCACTCATTAATTCAACCCAACCATATCATTTTAGACTTTTAAGTCTTACGGAGTAAATCAAAATCTATGCAGGTTTGATTTAAAAGATACACTGGTTAACATATGTAAGTTTTGTCCAAGGTTTCATTAAATTTAGGGTTGATTTCATTAAATTGGTTTTGTTGACAAGTTGGTTCACCCACACACAGCTCTTGTTGGGTCTCTCGACGACCCCACCATTAATTTTATTTTATATAGTACTAGTGTAAATTCTTTACGTATATTTGGTCAAGAGTCCATGTTTTGTTTGCTATTTATACGACCTAATTATTGAAACTCATTGACAAATTCGGCCAAGTAGACTACTAGTTAATTGTCTCACCTGTGAATATGAATTTTGTTTATATGCACTGTGAGCTGTGTTTGTTTATACTGGTCCAGTACGAATATCAACTTTCTATGGATGCTCACATTTTAACGGACCACTAGAGCATAAATAAGTTAAAACAGTAAATGAAAAGTGAGCAAGTGATATCTGAAAGAATGAGAATTCAATGAGATTTATTAATGATTTAATGGTGATCATGTTTCATCTATCCTTAACATTATGACAAGTTTTTTTTTGTCATCAAACCGGTTCAAAATTGACCAAAAACTGGTTCAAGTTTAATTCTCGGCTCACCGGACATTGCTTAAACTTTTGAGTGGTCCTTGCTGCTCAGACCATGGAGGTCGTTTGTTCTCTTCCTGAAATATAACACAGTATGCATGATTCATCAGAAGATTACTTGCTCAGCTATCGAAATGTATCGACTCTTCCAATTAGGATGTGGACATGTAGCACAAAAGGATCAGTACAAGGGTTTTAGGAACCAGTGCAAGGGTTTTAAGAACTCAAACAGATCTAGCTTTTAGCTTTATTCAGCACCGAAGAAACCAAAACAAAACCATGTATACTTGCAAGAGGAATTTAAACAAAATTAGAGGTTACATACTCTGATATCTGTGATAGAATTGCAGGAGGAACATCTAACAGATGGAGCTCCATAAGGATACATCAGTAGCAGTTTGCAATTGTTGCAATTCACCTGACCAACTTGGGAAGCTGCAAACAAAGAACGATGAAACCAAAACTGATAATAGGAGAAGACTATTTTCATCAAAAATAAGGCCGAGTAATTCACAAGCTAAGAAGAACAATCTTGGTCTTAAAGATCACACAATTTCCCCAAGAGTGGTAAAAGTAAAGGATAAAGATCACAGAAATGGTCTAATGAAGGAGACATATGATGGAGTAGAGACCAAAATAGTTCACAAAAGCTTAAGAGAAGAATCCTAGCCAAATATAATTCTTAATTTCTTGTTTCAGCTAACAACCAAACTCATTTAGTCTCAGGAACCTAGAGATATCATTCACACATGCTAAGTAAAACCAGTTTTAGAGAGCATTCCCAAGATTGTCCCTTTAACAGTTTCAAGTGAGTGACTGAGACAGTATCAACACAAGTTTCAGATAATGACTAAAGAGAAAGCCATTAAAGAACCTTCAAGAACGAGATTAACAGTCTGACAAGATGAGCATTTGACGTGTTTGGATCCTCTTAGATACGAAAGCAAACGCCTGCAAGATCCACATACCATTTGCGCCTTTTCTGCAACCCCCAAAACAAAAAATTTGCAGAAAAATCTCTAATCATTCGCGGAATCTAAAATGGGTTCTCTCCAAAAGCCTACAAAATCCACTAAAAATCTCTAATTTGATCAGACTGTACCAACAAATGGAAGCAAATCGATAAACCCTAAATACCGATAATTTCGACGGTGGTGGGATTGGGGTTTACAGCGGCGGTGACGGTGGCGATTGGAGGAGGAAGAACTGCAGATTCCCATCCCGGAGGAGGTCCTTCCTCCTCTTCTTCTTCATTTTCACGGTGCTTTTGTTCTTCCTTCTTCTGCGTTTGTATCTCTTCCATCACGCCTTCCGTCTCGCTCCCGCGAAAATGTCGATATATTATTAACTCAGTTTTTTTCTTTTTAACTCGATATATTATTAACTCAGTTTTTTTCTTTTTACCTTTTAACTTTTCCATGAACGTTGACCAATAGTTGACTTTTTGTAAATAAACGAACGAAAAATTCACTAAAAAAAAGAACAAACAAATTCAATGTTGACAATTACATGACTAATATTTCATCAAATGGTAGTAACAAGAGCATGCTCTAAATGTAGCTCATCCACATTGGCTTTATATACAACATCCAACCATTCTAGTATCCCCCAAATCTCTCCATCCTTGCGTTTTTCAATCGTGATTTCCGCACACCAAATTTTAGTTTTCTTACGAGTCACAACATACGAAACTTTTTTCCACAACACCATCATTTTTCCGCCATAATCTGCCAATTTAGAATTACTAGAAAGTAGTTTAGGCAATCTTTTCAACCCCTTCAAAGTTGTCCATACTTTTTTTTCGGAGTCATACCAATCGATCATACCGTTACCATTTCTATTACAACAGTAGAACACGTTCTCTATCACACAAAAAGATGATGAGCAACTCCATCCATTATTCATCGCTAAGTCTGCCTCTATCCATCTACCTTTATGCAGCTTGTAAGTCACATTTTGATCATGAGACCTTACATAGACGGTTCCTTCATACACTATGCTCTCGTACCTATAGCCTTTGCATATCTTCTCCTCGCTAGGGAATTGCAAAAACTCCCAAGTTTGGGTTTTTGTATCAAAAACCTCCATCCATTTCGTTGAATCCAGAGTTCCGCGGCCTCCTATTACATATATTTTTCCATCAAGGACGCAAGTAGATTGGAACACACGGGCTACCTGCATTCTTGGGGCCTCACGCCATGTGTGAGTACGACAATCCATGACCATGACGCTAGACGAAGGACTATACTCATTATAATTACTGAATCCGCCAATAGCGTAGATATTAGGACCGACACCCACTACACAATCCGACCATGATGCAGATTTAGGATATGAAATTGGGGCCAAAAGTCTTTTTGAGCTATTTGGTTTACGGCAAAGAGTGAACCAACTTATTGGTGCACATGTACTCTGCCGTAAGCACACGTACAAACAACTCTCGGTGCGGCCTAAGAGAGTTTGGGTCTGGTAAAGCTCCGTTGAAGTAAGGATAGAGCGGAATCTCTTGGATACCAAAGAGAGAGATGGATAGTACAATCTTGAGATGCGGGCCAAACAGTTTAAAACCAAATCATCAGGAAGCATAAGAAAATTCACCCGTGTTCTTTTAAAAGGTGGCTCTGATCCGTTCATTGATGTCCAAGTGCATACGAGAGCCATAGTTGTGTATCGGATTTGCTTTTTTGCTCTCTTAGGGTTTACAGGTTGCTTTTCACGTAAGACACCTTTTTTTTTTTGAGCTTAATTAGGCTTTTTATGTCTCCCCACCGATGTCACACCAAGTCTTTATATAGGGTTCCTAATCTCAATAGGATATCAAACTTCTTTATGTATTTTGCTTTTTGTTAACTTTCCTTTTGAGAAGGAAAAAGAAACTAATTAACAAAATTGAAAACAAACAAAAACAAAAATGGAAAGTATTAATTAGCTTCTTCCTTTAAGTTCGTCTTCACGGTGAACAACTGAACATTGACTCTATTTCTTTTTACGTAAGAGATATATTGTTATATCCATTAGCTAGTACTGTGCTTTGTTATTGTTTGGTAAATGTTTAATGCTAAGATATATGGAAAAGAAGAATGAGAGAGACTTTTGGAGGTTCACTCAACCATTCACAGTGTTTAAAAAACACTTAAAAGAGTTGTTCTTGGATGATCCAAGTGGATTCTCTAAGATCTTTTTCTTACTTTCATAATCCAGCGAGCTTCGGTTTTGCAGAAAAGATACGGTTAAGAGTCGCTGCCAAGCGAATCCCACCTTGTGCAAGTCTCTTCTCTACAACGGGTAACCGAGATAGGAAATACTCATCTGCATAGAAAGCAGCAGATCAAGGTCGTGTCCATGATAACATAAAAAAGCTACGATCTGGTTTTAGAGTAGATAGAAACTTTGAATTCAATGCTCAGAGAGTAAGTATACCTCCTAAAGTAGTCCCTGGAGTAGCGTTCCTGTAAGCATACTTGCAGGCGAGATCAATGCTTTCAGAAGCATACCTTAACACATCAAAGAACATAGAAAATCAATAATGATATGATAACGAAAACTAGATTTCTCTGCTATTCAGCAACTTAACAGATATATAGATGCTTACAGATTTGGACAGGCCTTTTGGTGAAAGTGACATGACTTCCACGACGGAACATCATTTGACCAGCCGTTCTATATTAAGACAGCCGTAAAAACATACGCTCAGTGTGAGTTGATTTTATCTTGGATATGGCTATAACTTGCTGAAGCTGATTAGAGAAGGCAAGATTTTACCTTGAGTTTGGCTTGAAGGGCTTGAATCATGCGTGGAAGGCTTGAATTGTAGTATGTTTCTAGAGCAGACTCAATTATCATGTTATCCCAGACCTTCAAGTTAAGATCGTTTCGAGTCAGGAAAGATACTTTTTAGCATCAAGATGACCAAAAACAAAGCACTTACATGGTGCAAATTTGTTTCGTTATGGTACCAGTTGACTATTATTGTGTTACCACCTAGATCTCCAAGAAAACCAGTATGCAAGGGCTGTGAAATTCAAAATCCACATAAAGATTAGCCATACTCTGTGTTGTTACTATACACTAATCAAAGCTCCAGAGTAAATAGAGTAGCTTCAAGTGCTATCTAATTTAGACAGCATTTGGTTCTTAATCTACATGATTCATCTGAATTTACAAACGGGATTAACCTGATGAACATCTCCCATATAATGTGATAAGAACAAGAGAGCCTCTGTCAAGTTGTCTGCAAAAAGAAAAAAAAAGACTTATAAGTCGAACTATAATGCTCCATATACTCGCACACAAATTAGTAAACTGAAACATTAAAAGAAGGATCAGATTCACTTAAAATCTAACTCACAGTGGACAATATTCTGTGAGTTTTCAGAAGCAGACATTAATTGTTTTGTGTAATTGAAGATTGCTCCTGTCACGCACCAGCCTTTATGCTTATGAGTGTCATGGCAGTCCCCTTCACAGAAGACAAAAGGACATAGAGTTGAACTTAGCAGATACATATTCAATGGAAACAGAAACATGTATGAAGATGGAGGAAAAGATAACACACGACAATATTCGTAGTTGCATCTGTCTTTAGGAGTGTTAACATAGTGCAAAGCGCTAGTCCATTGCCATTGCGAGAGTTTTTTAATTTCATCAGGCCATGAGCAAAAATCAGCTAGATCACCATCAGCAGATTCAGGCAGAAGTTTCTTCACTGCAGCAATAGTGTCATCCTCAAAGTATCCCTGTGGATTTGGAAATTGAAAAACTGAAATCATCATCTTATCACAAAAGCTAATACCTTTTCAGTCTAAAGCAAGATCCAATCTCAAGAAATTCGATACAACTCCGAAAAACCACATTTTTCTCCATCCTAACAAATAAAGCTCCTAGATGATTTTTGTTTTCACAGTTCTCTAGAGCTAAATCAATCTTCAAGTATCTTATAACACTTTCAGGCATTTAAAACCAGTCAGAATCAAGCTCCTTATATCTCTAATCACAGAGTTCATATAAGAAAACTCACTTCAGCTATTTTGCAGACAGTGTAGTGACCATCCTTCCCCCAAGAGAGAGCTCCATGGAGAAGCTGTGTAAGCACGAGTACACTCACAATCCACAATCTCATTCTGAAACACAGAGCTTTCAGTTTCTTAATAATCACATAAAGTCCAGATTAAAAGAAAGAGAACAATCACGATTCAAGCAGAAATTGAAAGAAAAGTCAACGAATTACCTCAAAAAGCTTTGATCTTTGCTCTTTGCCTAGCTTCTTTGATTTTGTACTTCTACTCTCTCCATTAACCATTGTTTATTGCCACACACAGACCCACGTTTGATTTGTTTAATCAAAATCTATAAGCTGACAGTTGTACCAGTCACTTGCTAATTAAGCAAAGCTAAGATTGAGAGAGATAACATTCCAAAGATCCTTCCTTTATCAAGCTCTAAAGTACAGATAAAAGTCCCATGAAAAGGGAAGCTTTGAAGAACGAGATTTAACAGTCTGATACCACTTCACATGTTTAGAAATCGCCTGTAAATTCCACATATCGTTTGGTAGAAGAGCTCCAAATAATTCGCCGAATCGAAATTGGGTCTCTGAATGCCTTACAAAATCTAAGCCAAAATCACTGATTTTGATAAAATTAGACAAAGAAATGGAGAAAATAGATAAAAACCCCAAAACCCATTGTCAATGGTTTATCCGAGAATAGTACTTGATCAAATTTATTTCTATGTAAGGTACATACATAGTTGGTCCGAAACGGATGAAAGAAAAAAAAAAAAAAAAAGTTGGTCCGAAACTCGGACTCAGTTGGTCCGCATCAGATTTCTTATATTATTTTTTGGTGTACAACAATAAATAACAAGCGATTCACAAAAGAATTTATATGTTCTAACCATCACAACCATTTTAACCCTTTAGACTTTACCACAACGGATTATGCTATGCAAAACAAGTGTATCAAACTGATCAAGTGTATTTATACTGGATAAACGGATTATGCAAAATAAGCGGAATAAAAGTGAAATAGTTATATTTAAAAATGTGGTGTGGTTAAAATAGTTATCAAAGTTTGACTAATTTATTTTAAACGTTTTAGATGCTCAAAATAATTTTGTATAAATAGAATTGTCTATCAATAAACTCATGTAATTAAAAAAAAAAAAAAAATTCCAAAAAAATGCTAACCACATTTGATTAGCGGAAACAAATGTGAAAATGATTTTTTTTTTCTATCTATATAAGCTCTAACTACTTCTAGTTTTATATCAATCCTGGATCGTTGTCCTACAGTAAACATACTCTTACCGTTTTATGATAGCAATTATACTATGCAATATTTTTGAAATGAATTAAAGTATGAGTTGACCAAAAAGAAAAAAAAAAAAGTTGGTATCTATTTATCAAATCGGGATACGATATTTCATAATCTTATGATGTGATCCATCAGTAAATAGAATCAAAGTAAACTTTAACGCTTTAGTTAGCCTACCTGTTTTCTTTTCTTTAGCAATTCATAATAAATGAGTTTTAGTAATATAAATAAATATGTTTCCAATTATTCCAAATTTTACAAAACAAATTCTTGTTTATCCTATAGAAACATTGTTCATCTTCCCCATTTATATATGGTAAAGATTTAGCTGCTAATGCATTTTTTTGTTGAAGATCTAATTAATTAGATAGTCTTTTACTAATTTTTAGCCAAATGATTTATTTGGCAATGTGTTTATAAGAAGCTTAATATGGCATGAAACCGGTTTCTCCCAATTAATCGATTGGGAGCTATAACACAAATCGAAACTCTCTAGTAAGTAAAAAGAAGGTAATAGCTTTGGCTCACATATTCTTTTTTTTTTTTTTTTGAACAAATGGCTCACATATTCACATGTATTATTATTTAGTGCTCCCTTCACAATGTGATGAGTCTCCAAGTAATATATTCTCAACTCAAAAGGACAATCTGGAATTTTCAATTTATATTCCATTCTATCCGCAAAAATTGAAATTAGTGGCAATGTTTTAAAAAGGGCTATTTATAAAGAATCTTTTTATATTGTTTCTGCGACAATCGAGAACTTCTTTTGTTGATCAACCCCACAAGACTATGATTCCAATCCTAAGAAACATACGACACGTGGATTTTTATGTCGCAGTACAATGACTTTGGAGTACGATTACGAATAATAGTATTCACATAAAATTATAATTCGAATTTGATAATATAAGGTCAGCCATCTTTTAAAGTAATTATATTCTTCAATATACGGTTGTGGTCAAAATTCCCTTGCTTGCATGCACTAATAGTCTAAAACCATGCATGGATTATTAATTGCATATATATATTATGTAAAATTCTTTAAATTTTCAATTAAACCGTCCACACATTTCCTATTTCATATATGCCTATAAATACCTTCATCACGAGTAAAGGTTTTGACATGACAAAGAACACAAGATATAATAAGAGAGGTAGAGAAAAAATAATGATGATGATGAGTTTCTAGTTGTATCAGAGGGTCTTGCATGGAAGAGTAGAGAATGAGGTTGAGCCAAGGATGACTTGCCGGGTTTTTTTCCAATGAGTCTTAACTGATTTTGGTGTCCGGCAAGTTGACCTTGGCTCTGTTTCCTTCTCTTCTTTTCGATGTCAGACTCCGCGATATATACCGATTTCATCATCGTCATGAATCGTGATCAAACTTTCTAATTTCATTGAAATGTGCTTTTCTTTTGCAAGGGTTTGATGCATGCTAATAGCTTGGTTTAGTTCAGTTTAGTCAAATTTAAGCAGTTTGGTTTTGGTATAGTTCAGTTTGCTTTTTCAAGTCCACCTTTAATCCCAGTGCTTAGATGTTGACAGTTCGGTTTCATACTTATTATAGTTAAAACTCAGGATTCAGGAACAATAGCAAACCATAACCTTAACTACCATTACACATTACAAAAAGAGTGTTCTTGGATGTTCAAGTGATTTTATTGGAATTGGATCTTTTTCATACTCTAGCAAGTTTTGATTTTGTAGAATAGATTCTGTTAAGAGTCGCCGCCAAGCGAATCCCGCCTTGTGCAAGTCTCTTCTCTACAACGGGTAACCGAGAGACAAAATAGTAATCTGCAGAAAGTAACATGAGAGAAAAAGAACATTAAAGCATTGTTACATATTAGAAAGCTAATAAGATCTTGTTTTAGAGTGAATATTGGTCTTTTAAATTAAGCTTTAGAAACTAATTAAAAACAAATTTTCACCTGAGCTATTTTGCAGACAGCGTAATGACCATCGTCTCCCCAACAGAGAGCTCCATGAACGAGCTGTGTAAGCACTAGTATACTCACAATCCACATTCTCAGCGACAAACCCATTCTCTGAAACAGCTTCCACTTTTCTCTTTCCAAAAATAGAAAGTTTCAACACAGTAAACAAAAATGAGTGTTTTAGTGTAGAAAAATGAGAGCCGGATTCAAGCAGAGCCTTGAAACTTTTTTTTTTGATTTTCTCTACTCCATAAAGACAATACTTCCATTGATGGTACTATGTATTCATTTTGGTGGAAATAACAACAAATAATAATAGTTTTTGTTTCGTCCACGTTATATTTGTTTACTCAAAATGTATAAACATACTGTTGAGTCATTTAAAGCGAGTCTCAACCCAAACATTTCTGTAAAGAACAGTGTGATATTTACATGTTATTTGGTTGTTGGGTGATTAAAAAAAAAAGATATCAAGTAAGAAAGCATCCTTTGGAACCTGAAAAGGTGATAAAAGACTAACTAAAGGATGTATCTTAAGAGAAGATTATATCTTAAGAGAAGATTACACAAATGGTCCAATAAAGAAGCAATAACGATGGAGTTTGGTTTAGGAGAAGAATAGTTCCAGACTTTATAATAGTCAAAGATTTACCTAATTTGTTCCAAGAGTAAAAAGAAGACTAAAGGACTTCTTAGTTAAGTCTAAGCATTACTTGAGCTAATATATAGAGTTACTGCATATAGTTCTTGGGGATCTTTTTCTCTCAGTTTCATGATCCAGCATGCTTAGGTTTTGAAGAAAAGATACGGTTAAGAGTGGCCGCCAAGCGTATCCCACCTTGTGCAAGTCTCTTCTCCACAATGGGTAACCGAGAGAGGAAATAGTCATCTGCAGAACAAACACGAGAGAAAGCCAAAGATCACAGTATTGCATACAAGTCTATAACTGAGATGAACATGTATGGGTAAAGAGAGCTAAGATCTTGTTTCAGAGTGGATACTGATTGAACAAAGATAAGCTAATATGTCCTAGGAACTTTGAATTCAATGCGGAGAGAGTATACCTCCTAAAGTAGTCCCTGGGGTAGCGTTCCTATAGGCATACTTGCAGGCTACATTTATGCTTTCAGATGCATACCTGAACACATCCAGAACCGCATTGAATCAACAATGATGTAATTAGGAAAAACAATATGAAAGCTACAACCAGAATTCTCTGCTATTCATCAACTTTCTAGATCTCTTAACACCAAATATTATCCGTTTTTCTACGTTTAACACCGCTGGTCTGCTGCAAAGGACTAATTATTATACTAATCTTGATTCTTGACAGAAAATGATATATCTGTATGCTTACGGATTTGGACAGGCCGTTTGGTTAAGTTGACATGACTCCCACGACGGAACATCATTAGACCAGCCATGCTATATTCAGACAACAAAGTTTAAGCAAATAATCAATATGAGTTGATCGGTTATTACATACTGGCACCGGAGCTTCATAGAGTAAGATCGTACCGTAAGATTGGTTTGAAGTGCTTGAATGAAGAGTGGAAGACTTTTATTGTAGTATGTTTTAAGAGCAGACTCAATAATCATGTTATCCCAGACCTTCATCAATGGAAGATCATAGAACATAAACTTTAGAACGTTTCAGTTACGAGGTTCATCCAATAAGGAAAGATAAATTTTTCTTTTAGGATAGATATGATCTATAACAGACACTTACATGGTGCAAATTTGTTTTGCGACGGTACCAGCGGACTGTTATAGTGTTTCCACCTTCATCTCCCAGAAAACCAACATGCAAGGGCTGTGTAGATTACATATAATTCAGATACAGAACTTGTTCTGATATTATTCATTTAAGTGGCAAAGAGATTTACCTGATGAACATCTCCCATATAATGTGATAAGAACATGAGAGCCTCTGTCAAGTTGTCTGCAAACAAAGACTAGTCACGTCCCTAAGCTCCATAGAACTCAAAATGAAGTTTAGTATCGAATCCACTATAATCTCACTCACAGTGGACTATAGTATGCGAGTTTTCAGAAGCGGACATAAGTTGCATAGTGTAATTAAAAATCGCTCCAGTCACACACCGGTCTTGATGCTTATGAGTATCATGGCAATCCCCTGCAGAAAGACACAACATATAGATTGCATTTCGGATATGAAAACAGGAAAAAAAACAGGTAAGCAATTGGAAGAAGGAAAGAATAAACGAACGACAATACTCGTAGTTGCATCTGTAATCAGGTGTATCAACATAGTGCAAAGGGCTAGTCCATCTCCATTGCCAATGATGTTTAATCTCATCAGGCCATGAGCAAACAGATGCTAGATCTCCATCAGCTGATTCAGGTAAAAGTTTCTTCACTGCAGCTACAGTTTCTTCTTCAAAGTAGCTCTGAGGATTTGACAATGGCATTATCAGAGATATCACAAAAGGTACTATCTTGTCTGCAGAAACATTAAATCCCAATCAAAGGAATAGTTTTTCGCTAGACTCTACCATAACAGTGATCTCCTAGAGAAAGTTTGAAAGTTGTAGAGCTAAATTGATCCTCAATTTGGTAATAAAGTTCTCAAATTTCGTAAAATCAGAGAGATTTCAGCAACTTTAGGGTTCAAGCTCAGAATCTAATCAAACAAGATCCTTTCTTTTTCATACCTCGGCTATTTTGCAGACGGTGTAGTGACCTTCTTTCCCCCAACACAGAGCTCCATTGATGAGCTGTGTAAGCACGAGTACTGTAGCAAACCACAGTCGTAGCGACGAAGTCATTCTGAAACAATTACAAAGTCTCGATGTATCGAATCAAATATTATGTTCCTCGATTTTGAATTTTTTTGAAATTGGTACCGATCAAAACGAGAATCTTGGTCTTTGTAATTTCAAATCTTCTTCTTTGTCTCAAGCCTTCATTGTCTCAAGCTTCCGTGTTCAAATCTTCTTCTTTCTCTTTTTACTCTTTTCTTAAAGACTGGATATGGTTGGAGCAAACAGATGAAAAGTGTTGATCAAAAGCACCACACTTTTAACGGTCTATTTGTTCCCTTAAATTATAATTACTTTGGTTTTTTAAAAGAACAGTCTTACAGAGTCTTTTTCACCAAAATCAGAGATACATAAAGCCAACAAACAAACTCTTGTAGAGATATATATGAACACAATCGACCACATTTTATTGATTATTCACCATGATTCTTGTCTCTGAACATTTCTCCCTTTGCAGAGGATCAAGTCACAAGCAGAATCTTACCAATATGGTTGCTACTCTCCATAAGGCTATGAGCTTCTGCTGCTTGTGACAATGGTAGATACTTGTGAATCACCGGTTTTACCTTCCTCGCTTCTATCGCTGGCCACACATTCTTCTCGACTTCCGCTACAACAACCGCTTTGTTTTCTGGGCTTCTCGGTCTTAATGCAGCTCCTGTTGGAACAAAACAGATCAAGATTGTAAATAGGTTTCAGACTCTCAGTTTTGATTTTGAGATATGATTGATTGATTTAGTGTGTTAAGTACCTAAGACAGTGAGACGCTTTGGAAGCAGACTACTTAGTTTTATTTCTGCATTGGCTCCTCCCATTAAACCGATGATACATAACCTTCCATCAAAGTTTAAGCTGTCGAGGTTTTTCTGCAAATACGGTGCCCCAATGCAGTCCAAGATAACATCCACACCTTTCCCATCGGTTTCCGCTTTTACCTTTGCGACAAAGTCCTCGGTTTTGTAATTTATACAAACATCAGCCCCAAGTTCTTTGCAAGCAGCAAGCTTTTCCTCATTTCCTGTTAATTAAAAGAAAATTGGAACATAGTTCAAAAGAATAACCATTAAGGTTACAGATAACCAATCGAAGCTTAGACCAAACCTGCTGTAACAAATACTCTCACTCCTAGATGTTTAGCTATCTGAATTGCAAAAGTCCCAATCCCACTTGAACCTCCATGAACCTGAAATCTCAGCAACTATCAACATTAAGGAGGAGATAGACAAGAAGAGAGCAAAATAGCCCGCGAGAGAAGACAAAGGATTGGCTCCTAACAAACGGTCTTATACATAGAAAGAGGAGAAGTGAAATACCAAGAATGATTCGCCAGCGGAGAGACGGCCCATCATAAAGACAGTAGACCAAACAGTGCATGCCACTTCAGGGAAAGCCGTTGCATCTTTTAGAGAGATACCAGCGGGTATTGGGAAAATTTGTCCAGCAGGAACAGAGACTTTCTCTGCATAACCTCCTCCAGAAAGAAGAGCACACACCTGAGATAAAGACAGACGGTCAGAACTTTAATCCAAGACAGCAACTTTATACTTCAAAGGTAATTTACTGGCCTAATAAGCCTAAAGATAAACTAAAGCCAATCAAACACAAAACTGTAGTAAGCCACAACAGCTTATAAATGAAAACAAATTGCAACAAAACTGAAACCAAATTAATTATAATTCAAATGTTCTGAATCCTAAATCAATAAGAACATGAGTTGATCACTAAGCAGTATATTCACACAGGTCTTAATCCAAGCTCGAAGATTCCACGGAACTTAACACAGAGACACCAAACCCTAAAACCCCAAAACTGACTATAAGCATTAACCAAGATTTCCCCAATTTCCAGAAACGAAAATGACACATGAATCGAGGGTCTACCTGGTCTCCAACCTTCCATCGAGAGACGTTTTTGCCAACAGATTCAATGGTTCCAGAACACTCGAGACCAAGGTAAGGGCTTGAGCCAGGTGGTGGATTGTAAAGGCCAAGTCTTTGGAGAGTATCGGCACGATTCAAAGCAGTGGCGAGAACTTTGATGAGAACCTCATCGTCCTTGACCTCTGGATCTGCCACATCACGCAGTTGCAGAACCTCTGGCTTACCTGGCTCCGAGATCACGATCGCTTTCATTCTCAAGCTTCCGTATTCAAGTCTTCTTCTTTCTCTTTGTATTTTCTGAAGTGTTAAGAGTGTTGTTTACTGCGGAGCCATTTTTTAACCGCTAGAAAACTTTTCACCACATCGTTCTATTTGGTTAACCAAACCAATGCTCCAAGATGTTGCCTTTTTTTTTTTTTGGGCTCAACTCAAAGATACAAATCCTCCTCTATCTTTTGAGTATCTCTCAGCCATGACGTAATAAATGAAGAAAAATCAATAACAACCATCACAATCATAACATCATTTCATGAATCCTTGAAAGCAAAATCCCTAACTACCCAAAATTTTATATGGGATTCATTTTCCATTAAACTTTTGGACCATATCATATCATACCATACCGACGTCTGGTTAGTTGTTTAAAAGACTTATCTTTTATCAACAAATCCGACAAAACCGTGTGGACGAATCAGAGTCTCACATGTAGACCAATGCCGACTTGGTTATGCAATCGTAGCGTCTCACTCACGTGGTAAACGCGTCGCCATTTTAATAATCTCCCAAATAATATTTGATTAATACGACCACGTTTGTGGCTCCATTAATGGCGGTCTCGTGATCCCTCACTTATTCATGATCTACAAAGAGATCTGATTCAAATCACACTCTCTGAGTCTCATCTTTGCTTCTTCCCTAGTTCTTCTCTGGTTAGGTCCTCTCTCTCTCTCTCTCTCTCTCTCTGGTTAGCTCTTATGTTTTTGCTTTGCTCAGATTTACAGAGATTTTGCTTATTTAGCTTTGAATTAGTCTTGGAATATAGAAAAATCAAAATGGGTTTGGTCGGGTTTAGCGAGTTCATCGATTCTTGATTCATTTGTTTTTGTAATCAACTAAAAGTTTTGACTTTTTTTTTGATAGAAAAAGTTTGAGTTTTTATTCGGCTAAATACTGTTTTGATACGGAGATATCTAGTTACTCCAAGCATTTAGCTTTCTAGATCTCATGAAATCTTTGCTTTTCATTGTACAAAATAAATTGATTTTGCAGCAAATATTATGAATTTTGATGCTATTTAGCTGAAAATTAACGATTGTGAAGATTCAGATGTATGATTGATTAGAATTCTTGTGCAAACTCGTGTTTTTTTTATGCTAAAAGAGTGTGTGTGTGTGTGTGTATATATATTTTGATGCAGGATTTGCAGGAAACAATGATGGACCTAACGAAACTGAAGCCTCCACAGATCACTTTTTATTGCTCGGCGTTTTCCGTCTTGCTCACAGTTCATTTTACGATACAGCTTGTGTCGCAGCATCTCTTTCACTGGAAGAACCCTAAGGAACAGAAGGCTATTCTCATCATTGTTCTTATGGCTCCTATCTACGCCGTTGTTTCCTTTATTGGTTTGTTAGAAGTCAAAGGAAGTGAAACCTTCTTCTTGTTTCTTGAATCCATCAAGGAATGCTATGAAGCTCTCGTGAGTAATTTGTTTTATCGCTTGTGTTAGTATTCAACATAATATAGAGAAGACATTTACCAAATTTTCGATTTTTTGCAGGTCATTGCCAAATTCTTGGCATTGATGTATAGTTATTTAAACATATCTATGAGCAAAAACATTGTGCCTGATGGAATCAAAGGAAGAGAGATTCACCATTCTTTCCCAATGACTCTTTTCCAGGTTTGTCTCTATCTTCATCGCATGATTTCATCTAATATCTCTATTTGCCTCTGTGCCCTTAAAAAGCTTTGTGTCTATTGTTTTGACAGCCTCATGTAGTCCGTTTGGATCACCACACTCTTAAACTTTTGAAATACTGGACATGGCAATTTGTGGTCATTCGACCAGTGTGCTCCACTTTGATGATAGCTTTACAACTCATTGGGTTTTATCCTTCTTGGTTGAGCTGGACATTCACTATCATTGTCAATTTCTCGGTTTCTCTGGCTTTGTATTCTCTTGTGATTTTCTACCATGTGTTTGCTAAGGAGCTTGCTCCTCATAATCCACTTGCAAAGTTCCTCTGCATCAAAGGAATTGTCTTCTTTGTCTTTTGGCAGGTAATGTTTCTCAAAGCAAGACCCTCATGTTTGGAAATCTCTAAGTCACTGAGACAATACTCATTAGATTCTTTTGATTCTGAAAATGCAGGGAATAGCACTAGACATTCTGGTGGCAATGGGTATCATCAAATCTCACCATTTCTGGTTGGAGGTAGAACAAATCCAAGAAGCAATTCAGAATGTGTTGGTATGTCTTGAGATGGTTATCTTCGCTGTGGTTCAGAAGCATGCTTATCATGCTGGTCCTTACAGCGGTGAGACCAAGAAGAAACTCGATAAAAAGACAGAATGATCATGGCCCGGCTGGAGTGGGAATCTACTGGTTTCATAGCCCATTTTATAGCCAATCCTTGGTGATCTTGTATGTTTATGTTGAGGAGAAAGAACTAAAGGTTTTGCTTTAAAACTTTTGGTTGTCATGATTGGGGAAAAAGAAACAATAATGTTGAAAATTTAGATGATATGAATAATAATGTTTGTTTGACAAACTTACACATTCACATTACTTCCTTGGTCACGGCTCAGGTTGCCTAATAAGATTTCATAACTTGATTGAGGAGTTTAAAGATAAAAACAAATGGATAGGATTTGATTCAAGTTGATACCCAAAAGAGGAGGACCATGACAAAAGCTATATGCCCCTTCTTTTTGATCCAAAGAACACTACTCATGAAAAGAAAAAATAATTAGAATAATATAATTCGAATGGTTGCGGCGGTTGGGACAGACAAATCCGCCTATGGATTAGACCGTTTTTTATTTACCATCTATAAATTATAATACATAGTAGAAAAAATCTGTTGCGAGCCAACTGTGGTGGTTTATTGTTGTCCGCCTCCACAATAGAGCGGTCTAGTCTGTTCCGTCTACAATATCCATTCAAACCCATAGGCTTTGAATGGATGTTGTGGACAAAACGGACTAAACCGTTAGCGGAGTAGACCACCCTATTTTGGAAAGGACAACAAACCGCCATGGACCAAATTTATTTTTATGTAAAAGCGGTCCGTAGTTAATCCGTCGCAGACTTGTTCTATACAGTATTTTTTATTCCGCACTACGGATTATAGTTTACTCCCTCCGTATTTAAAAGAATGATGTTTGAGGTTTTATTCTTGTATCAAAAAGATTGATTTTCTGTAGTATATTTAATGCATTTTTTTTTCAAGATCAATTGATTGGAGTAAGTGGGATAAAAAGTAGCTTGAAATTAACTTTTTAAAAGATATAACACAAACGTAAGTAATAAATATACATCATTTATTGTTTTCTTAATCTTGGTGAAAATCTTAGGTGGTGTTATTCAATGATGAATTTTAATAGAATTGAAATCCAACACTAATCCAGTGTTATTCAACTAATGATTCTAAATCTAACTTTACAATCTGGTGTGATTTAAAATACTTCATTAAAATCCAGTGTTATTCAAAACTAAAAGACTTGTAAAATCTTTGTATATTAAATCATTTGAAATGAAACCTCTTTGGAGTTTCATGAGTTAATTATTAGAATCAAAATCCAAGATATACTGCAGAGATTTTGAAATCCACATAAACAGATTCTTAAAAACAATATCAGAAAACAAATCTAATCCTTAAAGAATTGACTTTCACTCCATCATTGAATAACACCCCCTTAGAAAATCAATCTTTCTAATACGGAGAGAGTATGATACTCCCTCTGTTCCTAGATATTTGATGTTCTAGAGTTTTAGTTTGTTCCACAAAGTTTGATTTTTTAGGTTTTTGTTTTATTTTTTATTGATTAAAATTAATATATCGTAAACTTCAAGACGTAATGATTAACTGTTTTCTAATACTATTGGTTCAAAGTTATTAAAAAATGTTTAGTATAAAAAAGTAATTGACAAATAATTAAATAATGATTGCTTTTTAATATATGTGAAAAATTCTAGAACGGTCTGAACGGTAAACAGAATTGTCCGTCCTAACCGTCGCAACCATTTGAAGCATGGTATTAATATTAAAGGTAAGAGAACAGAAAAAGGAGGGTAAAAAAGTCGCACGTAAAATACGGGAAAAGGCGTGCGAAAGGACTAATCAAAAGTCTCTGGTTTAATTGGTGGCTCTCTGCTCCTCGAGCGATTCTCTCTGAAACCCGATTGTCAACTCCACAGGTCAGCTTTTGTTTCTTTGCTCAGATTTTTTTCGATTTAGGGTTTAATCGAGTTTTCGTCTTTCGAAATCAATCAAATTTATATTTAATTTAATTGCGCGAGAATCGATGGTGATTGATTTGTTGATCCAGACAGAGTTCGTTGCCTTGCCTCCGTGTTGTTTTGTTCATACCGCGTGAAAGCTTTCGTCATCAATTCATCATCATCATAAAGAGGTGTCGTGTGAGCACACGCAATCTCCAATCTCTCTTCTCTCTCTCTCCAATCTCCATATCTTTCTCCTCTAATCCGGAGAAGTAGCTCCACCATCGAAATCTCCCAACTTGCTTCCTTGTGAGTTTCTCTCTCTCCATAAAGTATGGCTCTTGCTTCGGTAGATGAAGAAATTTAGGATTTTGAGTGTTGGGTTTCAATGATTTAGGGTAAATATTCATTGGGTTTTTTCCATTTCTTGTTTTGGTGATTATGATCATGATTGCATATCATCTTCTCTCTGGTTTTTGTTCATCAATGTCTTCTGGTTCCTCTCTCAAGCTTCACCATTTTCCCTAACGATTTCTATTTATAAGATTTATGATGCTTTGTAGAGTAATCAACTTCTTGAATCTGGATCCTATATCCATTTTACCTGCATTTCTCACTTTTTCTTTTGGTTAGTTGTTAATCTTCTTACTGTGATTTTGTTTAACTTGGTATTATTGATTTTGTTATCAGCGAGGAAGCTTTTTGCTTTTTTTCGTCTTTGCGCGTGTCCCATTCTCTTCTCCATAGTTCCCTATATACTGAAAGCTCATCAAGTTATTACCTAGCTCTCAGTTTCTGAAAGATGGAGGTCAAGTTATGGAATGATAAGCGTGAGAGAGAAATGTATGAGAATTTCGCAGAGCTTTATGCTATCATCAAAGCTACTGAGAAGCTCGAGAAGGCTTATATTCGTGATCTGATCTCTCCATCTGAATACGAAACCGAGTGCCAGAAACTCATTGTGCACTTCAAGACATTATCTGCATCGCTCAAGGATATGGTCCCAAACATTGAAAGATTTGCAGAGACGTACAAAATGGATTGCTCAGCTGCAGTTTATCGCCTTGTGACTTCTGGTGTTCCAGCTACTGTGGAGCATCGAGCTGCTGCTTCTGCTTCTACATCAAGCTCTGCTTCTGTTGTTGCTGAGTGTGTTCAGAACTTTATCACTTCCATGGATTCTCTGAAACTCAACATGGTTGCTGTTGATCAGGTGTATCCATTGTTGTCTGATCTCTCTGCTTCTCTGAATAAACTAAGTATTTTGCCACCGGATTTCGAGGGGAAGATTAAGATGAAGGAATGGCTTTTGAGGTTGTCAAAGATGGGAGCTTCAGATGAGCTCACTGAGCAGCAGGCTCGGCAACTTCACTTTGACCTTGAGTCATCCTATAACTCATTCATGGCTGCTTTGCCTAACGCTGGTAATTAACCGATGTGCCACTAGAGAACGATGTGTGTTCGGTTTATTTTGTTTGACTTGGCTTTATGTAGTTATAATGGTGGCTTTTAGGACAATGATTTTTGTTTCAAGACAATTTGCTACATACATTTTGGGGATGAATGTTCGTAGGCAGAACAAGCTTTTCCTTTTGTTGTGTAGAAGATCATGCCAATCCAGAAAATTGTTTTTTCTTGAAATGTAATGTATGAGAATCTAACTTTATTTTGGTGATTCTTGGCTTTATGTTGTTAAATTGGTGGCTTCAGAACAAACATTTGGTTTTATGACAATTTGCGCAGATACAGTCGTACAGACCAATGGTTTTAATAACATTTCTCATTTTTTGCAAGTGATTTTTTCAAAACAACTGTAAGAATCTATATTCTGCTTTTGTAGACAAAAAACGTTGAGAGATTAAATTGCCCATTTTCATTAGCTGCGACTGCGAGTCAGAAAAGTAATGAGCATTTCATCAGTAAGGATATTTAACTGCCCATTTATCTACAAAATGCGCAAAGCCTGTGGGGTTAAAAAGGTAATTTACCAAAAACTTTCGGGTTTTTCCCATCATAATCTATTCACCTTGCAGCTATAGTAGTCTGCAAAATCTACATGGAGCTTGTAGTGGTGTCTGCAACTTCTGTGTTTTTCCTGAGTTTTCCTTCATCTTCCTTGTTAATTTGGCTATGAGCACTTGATGAGCTTGGTGACTTGAAGCTAGAATTCACTGTGTCATCATGATGCAAAGTCTTGTTCTCGGTAGTTTTGTTAGAACCAGGCAGAGATTCTTCGTCTTTCTCTGGTTTGAAGTTCAAATCTAATTGACTTTTCAAAGGCGAAGCATGACGCTCAGGCGAATCATGACGCTCATGATTCTCACTGTTGTTAGCAGATTGGTGAAGTCCATTATCAGAGTTCAGTTGCTCGAGCTCCTTGGGCACATTGTCTTCTCTCTCCATCTGCATCTTTTCCCTCCGTAGCAACAGAGAACGCCTACGGCGTTTTTTAGTTTCGCAGACCGCACAAGAACAGCGTCGGTCGTGTTTAGGACCTATCCCACTTGGGGATTGTATGCAAACGATGCAAGTACAGCCATTTCTATGTCGTGGGTGCTTTGTAGTTGTGGGTGATATCAACAGTCCTTCAACTTCTGTGCATGTTGATCTGAAACCAGACAAAATTCAAAAGAAAACAACAATAAGCAGAAGAAACTCAATGAGCTTTTCAACACTTGGCAACACACTTTCGGACCATGAATAGTACTAGTACCATAATTGGTTCTACCGACATCATCTAAGATAAGATTCACCATTTCAAACACCTAAAAGCAAAGAGGAAAAGCCAATAAAGCAAAGATGTGTGGTTTACCCTGCAGCATCAGTAGGCTTCCCGATGATTGGAGCATCCTATTTTGACACAAGAAGCATTACAAAGAAATAACTCAGTGAATTGATATGTTCCAAAACAAGTAAAACAGGATTTGGAAAACACAACAAAAAAAAATGATGATGATAACAAACATAACAACACGGCACATCAATGGTATCAACTGTTTTAGGTAAGAGCAGTCTCAGCCAATTAAGCACACAAATTTTGAGACTAACAATTTCTAGCTTTCAATTTCATGATACTGTAGCATGAGCTCACCACTTAATTTCAAAATCCTACAGGAAAAAAAACCCGGTGAATATATAAACAACAGGTTATTTTGAATATCATGAAATAATCTTGTATTCCAGAAGAAACTACTAGCCAAATCATAAAGAAACGGAAAGATAAATAAGATTCTTAAGCGGCATAGACCACATATGCAAATTAGTAAAACAAAAACATATGAATGTACCTCATACTCCTCAAACTCATAATCCTCTATCACAACTCTGGATGGAGTGAGGTTGGGAGGAGGCAGGAGAAATCCTTGAGCTTCTTCCCATGTTAGCTTCAGCAAGTTGTGGTCTCCCTTTTCAACTTTTTGACGTTTACTTCTTGTAATCATCATGCTGCTTTTCTTCTTACCGGAGGAACATTCTACTCCTGGGGTTTCTTTAGTTATATAAGCAGACTTCTTAACTTTAGACGGTGAATGCATATCAGCCGTTTCAGCCTGCTAATGGAATGGAGAAGAGATATAACATATTAGTCAAGCTAACTTGTCAAGAAAAGGTGTCAGTTTGATTTTAGTTACTTAGCATATATTGTAACCCATTTCCATGCCGGAATAAACATGACTTCCCAGCACTTTGGGAACTAACGCAAATGCAAGACAGGAACAAATTATGATAAAGAAAACCATATTCGAACTGCATACTTTAGAATTTTGTCCAACCTATTTAATCACTTAACACAAATTGAACAAAGTATAGAGAAGTATACAATGCGCATATTCACTCATTATACTTCATCGTGTTATTCCTAATTGTGCGTTGACTATATTCTAAAGTGCAGCTGACATTCAGGAAAGCTTCTTAAAACTAGCCGTTAGTTGACTAGTAAGTTAAGATTGTACTATAGTGAACCAAAAGTATTTACAAAACAAAAGCTATCTAGTTAATTTAGAAAGTAACCTGATCAGATGATTGAGTAACCGAAGCCTTTCTGAATCCCAAAATTAACTTCCTTTCTGGATCTAATCGACTGAATATGACTAAAAAGAAAATGGAAATCAGTTCCCAGGCATAAGCTCTGGAAAAAAATTATTAACTCAGAAGAAGTGTAATATGCTCCATAAAAGATATCAATTAAAAATAGTAATTGAGTGAGAGAAAAAGAGTTGCTTCCGCATTAAACAGATGGAATTGTGAACAGTAAATGCTAGTACATAAAACATATTTAAGCATTAGCTACATGGTATACTAAATTACTATATCACAAACGATATACCTGTATCACCAGCCTGCAACTGCAGGCTCTGTATGAATGGTGTTACTCCCTCTAGAACATATATTCTGCTATTCCTGCTGGGCCAAAAGCGAAACTGAAATGTCCACTCTTTACCCATTGGGTCCTGTACTGTGAGAGGCACACCTTGGGTGTGGGAAAGTTGGGGCAAGAAAGCCTGTTACATAGCAAATGCCTTGTTCATTTGGCATCTTATATATAATATGAGACGACTGCAAAGTTTTCAGATATTATGACTACTAGATTCAAGATACAAAAGCAGTGAAGTATTTGCTATAAGCAGAAGACAGCCACAACCCAAATTATTTCCACATGAATAACCATTTAAATAAGAAAACAAGTATCTGTACTTTCATAAGCAAACAGTTAGTTACCTCTGCACATTTCTTTGGCAGCACCACTCGCCCAACTATTCCAGTATCACTTGCACTCAGCATCTTCTCAAAGAGAGGAGTGAGAACGGATTCAGATCTTGCACATCGTTAAGGTTCTGGTAACTTAAAAGTAGCCTACGTTTTGTTAGTTTTACTTGTCATGAACCTGAGCGGCAAAGTATCTTAAGTAAAACCTATCTCTAAAACCATTTATCTGGAAGGCTAATATCCACCCTATTCTACAACCTAGTATAGACTTATTCACATCAAAATCTAGAAAGACAAACAAAAAGCAAGAGTAATATGGACACTGAAGTATTAAAAAGAAAAGCATGATTCATATGCTTCTGGTAAACATACAAGTTATATTCCAATGTAGTATCTATAAGAGAAGAAGGATACTCTTTTGATTGATTCTGCAGAACTTGGTTTTTATATGAAACCTTGGGCCAATATCGTGGAACCACCTGATATTTTCCTGGCGTATCAAGATGAGTCCTCATATTACGACTTTTTCTTTCGAATGGCGAGTCTGATTCACCATTCAAGTCATTGTGTAAGAGACTTAGTGGAGATGAATTAGGTGTATGCCATAAATTACTTCCATCTAGTCTAGAGTGACCAGTTTTCTCAATTGGTGTTGTACATGGCACAGGAAACGCAAGCTGTGTTCCACATGGACCCTCCTTTATTGAGATCAGTGGGTGATATACATTGACATTTGGAAAAGGAGATACTTTATAATGTTTCGAGTTTTCATTCATTAGTTTCCCTATCATGTCATTCATTCCCCTTTTTTTGTCCATGGGACATGCAGTGGCCCTGTCTTTAGAAGTAGGTTGACTAAACTCATTATTACCTCCACGATTACGCAAATCAAACTGCAGAGCTGAAGGACCTAAATAACTAGGAGGCTGGTAGCTTATCTGATTTGACCAAGTTGAGGAACTCCAGTTGATCGACAAGTCCTTGAATTTCTCAGAAATTGGAGATTGGAAAAGAAAGGACGGTGATGGCAAAAAATTGGATCCCTGAAACACATGAATGCAGACTGTTATAGCACACAGACTACAGCTCCAAATAGATCTTAAAACTTGAAAAGGATCATTATACAGTTGAAGTTTGTTTGCTAGCTTAAGATATATAATGACTGAGAGACATTGTTTCAGGTAACATCATGCCTCTGAGAAAACAAATGGATAGAATTCTGTGATACGAAATAAATAGTGAAATTGTCCCTCACCAAAGCAACTTTTTTTCTTGCGCAAGCCAAACACTCAATTCCTCCAGCATCCAGTAACGTAAAAGCAGATGCAGAAACAATACATCCACAATGAATTCGCTGCACGAAATGCTATTATTGAGAGACTTTATATCTGGAATGCCAAGGAGACTGATAAAATTTCAACCAGTAAATCATATCTTTACCTTTCCACATGACTCACAACACCTCCATCCGGAAGCCCTTTGGTGAAATACGTCACAAAACTGTCCTTGCTCATAAGCAGAGCTGGAATCAGAAAATAATCATTATATATTTGCAAAATCGATAATACAGTAACAAGTTAATGAAATTGATGCAGTGAGCAGGCAAAAGAATTGTGTCTGCAAAGTCGTGAAATCAAACAAAGGAAAACAAGACTCTTTGTGTTGGTTAATGCCTAATGCAACTAGAAATTGTAAGCTTTAACTATTCCTTTTCAGCTCTGATGAAGTAACAAGCTACATACAGGAACGTAAATTATTGAAGAGTCATCAATATCATCAAACAGATAAATGTTTTCCAAATAAACCAATCAAAGACAGAACACATGTATGCATTTTCACAATCAAGAAGTAGTAAGAGCAAAAGTCTCTCATTCCTAGTTAAATCCTGATACTCAAAAGGCTTTGCAATCCGCATGAAAGTGACCTTGTGTTTACATAGAAACCATTACTTTACCCAATTTATTATTTCACAAAAAGCTCCTTATAACACCTCAGAAATAGCACAGAGTAAGCCTAAGAAACTCATCATTTTATATTTCCAAACTTTGATGCAGCAGAATATAAAAATCTATAAAACCCACTAGTGGACGAATTTCTCCAATCTGGTGGATCAGAATGCAATGTAGCTTCCTATTGCTTTAATTATTTTGGCCCTTAGTCTCACTTCTCCTATCTCTTTCATGTCACTTGGACTTTAAACCCCTAGACTCTCTACTTGTTACACAACACTGATGCTACATGAAGAATTCAGGTGAAACTCATTAGTCCCCCAACATCCATCAAAATGCTTAAAACTCTATATTCCAATCACTAATTCAACAGCATTAAACAATTCCAATCTAACATTATAGAAACCTCCGAAAAGAATGGCTCCTAGTTTCTCGGCTTGTAGTCAACACATGCGGACTCTATACTCAAAACAAAACAAAACAAAAAAAAACTCAGAAATTACCGTTTCAAAATTTGTCACCACATCTTACTAACACAAGCCCAGTTTACAGAAAGAAGAAGAAAAAAACTTAAGTACGTTTTCCAAAATCGAAGACAAGCACACTCCAAAAACCGAAATGATCAACTCAAAAAAAGAACAGAGACAGAGAGAGTGAAGAAAGCGAAGAAAGGAAGGAGGGAAAGGTAGCTTACGCGCAACGATCACAGAGGTCGACGAAATCGCCAGAACGGAGACGCCAACCAGGACGGCAATGGTCGAGCTTGAACTCAAAACATTCGTGGTTGAAGCAAAATCTAGCAGATAACGAAGACGACGACATGGAGGAAGACGAAAGCATAAAACCCTAGAAAACTGTGAGAAATTTGATGGAGGAGAAAAAAAGAAGAATGGTGAAAGCAAGCAGAGAAAGAGAAATAGTGAAGTGTTGTTGTTGTTTTGGGTAATTTGTTTGCCTCATCACCTAAACTAAAACAAATACTCTCTGAGGATTTACGGAAAAAGAAAGCTATTTATTACTCTCTCCAATCACATTTCTCTTATTTCTTTTTTCCACTTTTTCTATGATATTTCTTCCTTTCCTAATATTAAATATGCAATGTATACGCCAAGTCATCATTAGTTGGTAGGTCCAAAATAAATTCCATGGACAACATTATATCATTTGTTAAATATGATATGTCGCATCAATTTTTTACTTGTTTGCCTGATAGAATCTCTTCTAACTTTTTGTCACACATATGCTAGTTGACAAAAAATAATCTTCATATTAAATTTGCCACAAAGCTTTAAGCTTTAGGATTACTATTTAAAAACAAAATTATGTTTACACATAAAAATGATGATTCTAGAACCTGATAGTTCAATATCTTAGTTCACACAACTTTCTAACATTGATCTCAAGACTGCAATACAACAACACAAAGTTTACACTTGAAAGATACAAAAATGAAAAATGAAAAATCAATAAACAATACACTCTGTGGCAATCTTTAGGAATTTACTATAGAAGCCATAAATCATCTCTTTGCCTCTCATTTGTTGTACTGTAATGTCCATCAATCAAATTATAGCCGCAAGGGACAACTTCATCTCATCTCATCACATCTCATCTCATCTCATCACATCAATCAGAATTATTCAGGAGAGAAGAGAGTGGCTAAACCTTGATCAACACTTATTTGAAGCTTGTCGTAAGACATCAAAGCCTTTTGATCACATTTGTATGATTTTCTTCCTCTTGCCAGAACCTCTCCATCTGAATCAATGATTCCTTCCTTGTCTGGTTCGTCTATGCGTGCACCTGGCTCCAGCACGAATGCCTTTACCTTTTCAACAGGAAAGCCACCGTGTAAGTTTTTTAGTCATTCATAAAACCCAGATTCATTCAGAAAGAAACATCAAAGCCATCAAATGAAATATTACAACTATAAACAATGGGTTCATGGGTTCGGATGACAAACCTTTAGATATGATACATATGGTGATTGAACATGTGTTCCATCACTCAACTTTGTCATAAGTGATAGCAAGGCAAGTTTAGGACAGTCTTTCATGACAATCAAATCCAGGAAGCCATCAGAAAACTGTTAATCACACCATATGAAGCTTTCAAGATTTTATTGCAAGTAAACAACCATATGAAGGCTTCGTGCTGTCCATCGCAAATGAATTGCCAAAACTCGTGTTTTCTTTGATTTCAAAAATGTTTAACTGACCTTTGCATCAGGAGCAGCCAAAGTGTTCTCAGCTCCCCAGGGAACATTATGAAGCCATACTGAAACAAATGGGCCTTTCAATTCTCTCCAATCCAGATCTTCAAGTTTAGTATCAGGTCCTTGGTATATGAGTGCTCTATCACCACCAGATGACTCTTTATCTATACTGCAACTGGCTCGTTGCCCATAGCTTTCAAATCCAGGAGCTGGCACAAATAGAATTCGTCCATTGTATTGTCTTAAGCTTATTATCCTCTGAAGACCCTGCAAATGCAGGCCGTAGAAGAGAGAACACAAGATCTTTAGTTGAATAAAACAGCACATCCAAGTAGAATCATACAATCTCTTTTTTTGTTCACCCTCCACCAGTAACTTAATTGATAGATCTGAATAGAATAAACGCATACTTAAAACTTGCATAGCAGAAAATTTTCAAATGTTCAAGTAAACATACATAGATATCAAATCGAGCACTACCCATCCATCTGAACTTCTCTGACTCGATGTCTATATCAGCCACTAAACCTGAAATAAAATGAATCTATCTCAATACAACCAACAGAATACTTCAGCAAGCTCAGCCGCTACTTGCATTTGCAAATCAGTTTCTAAATTCTAGAGTAATACAGAACAAAGAAGTAGAAGTCCTTGCATACCCCAAGCAAGCATCAAGACACTGAAGAATTTGGTAGTCCCTTGTGAGATAGTTGCAACATCTAGAGAACGTGTGCGACCTGTCGATACAGAAATAGTGTGACAGTGAGTTGATTCATTAGGAAAGTCAAAACGCTTTTGAAGGAATGAGTATCGTATGGCATGGAGCAGGACCTCGGATTATCGAAATAGTAGCACTTGTTGCACTACAAGGAAGCCCCACCGGTTCCAGCAAAGATTTAATCATGCCATTACCACTTCCTGCAATTAAGAATTTTAGTGCACATGAAGAAACACAAAGTAAAAAAGTTATAGCTGAAGTTTCTCATACACAAGATATCAATTTGGTATGATAAACAGCAAATTGTTTTGATCTTACATAAGGATAACTTTTACATCTAAACTTTCACATGTAAAACACAAGACAAGAGAAGTATGAGGCAGAACGAACCTGCAGGGACCATTCCGATCGGCAACTTTAAGGCAGTTTTCCAGTCTGCTCTTTCAAGCAGTCCATTTACAACCTACTAAATTAGGAACCAATCGTAAGAATCACCACCGATACAATGATTGTCTAATCCCAAAGTCAATCCTAAGCAAAACAGTAAACATATAATTAATTAAGAGATTGCTTCCTCTACAGATACTTCCCAAAGCAATATGTTTTTCTTCTTACTTTATCTAAGACATCATTTCTAAATTGCTTTAGTAAGTATCACGTGAGAACAGCACAAAAGACACGCATCATCATTTCCAATTTAAGTTATCCAATAAAATTGTCATAGAGAAAATGATACTTCCACATCAGAAAAAAAGCTTCTTACTTACCTCAACAAGGATGCCGTCGCCGCTCACACAAACGATACCATCGTATTTTGATACATCCATGGACCTAACAATTTCCTTTGCATGCAACTGATACTTGGTTTCTGAAGAAAACATCAAAAGTAATCCAATTGTTCATTTCCCGCAGTAGAATTCTTGACAGCAGGAAGAAGAAACAAAAATAGAAATTAGGAACCTTGAATCTCAAGTTGAATATTAGCATCTTCCAATAATGGCTTCACTTCCTCTTGAAAAATCTTTCTCGCTGATTTCTTCCCGCCAAATGGGTTCACAAACACAAGCAATTTCTTTGGCCGACCTAAGGAATCACCAATTCAGCATCGAGATTTAAGAAATGCATTTCGATTTTATCTCAGGTGATATACCCAAATTTTCGATAATTTCAACTAACCGAGAGAGTCGAGGTGTTGATGGAGCTTATCAGACCATAGCTTTATAGATTCATCAGAGAGAGGCTCGAAAACGAAATCGTTCCTCGCATAATCTCCACCACTTCCTCCACAGCAAATTCCTCCTCGTCTCTCCACCAAAGTCTTTACTCTAACCTTGTTACCTTCCACGACGAAACTCAGGATTTCTTTCGCCACCGTCGATTTCCGCCGTCCAGATTCCGTCGATCGTAGCTCTCCGTCGGCGGTCAAAGTTAACGGCGTGACAACGCCATTTACCAGAACACGATCGGAAATTATCACCGGAGACGATAGTTCATCATTCTCCCTCTCCGGCTGACGATCCATAGGCAAGAGGGAGGGAGAGGAGTTCCGTCGTTGATGAGAGCTAAGATTTAAAAATTGACCTGAAAGCTAATCTTTTGGTAAGAGTTTTCCGATCAGGTAGAAATTGAGCATCACGCGCCTAGCCTAGCGAGTGGATTAGATGACGTGGCAATCGTAGTAATGACGTGTCAATTTCTCGTAGGCTGAAGAGAAATAATGAAGAGTCTCAATACGACATCGTATTAACTAATTCAAAGAAAGTGAACTAGCTAGACTCTCTCTGGCTTTATTTTCTAAGTTCTAAAATTGGAATAATGTGCAGAGACAAACCTTTGCATTCTTCATTTGTAGTAAAACAATGGAATCCTGCAAGAAAATGTCAAAAATAATGAAAATACTATCTCCCCTGGCTTATACCAAGTTTACACTTGAAGATCAAGACAAAATCAGAATAACTCACACAACAATCCTGCAGAATCTTAAGATTAATTGTAGAAACACACAAAAACTTTGTTTGGTTCTCATTTCCTGTAATGTACTGTACATGTGTATCAATCAAATTACACCCACAACCACAAAGGAATAACATTTACAAAAAGAGATTTAAAAAAAAAAAGTCAATCAAGGTATATGAATTATGATGTGAATATGTCTTCATCACACGTGTATTGTTAACGTTATCAATATTCAGGAGAGAAGAGTGTGGCTAAACCTTGATCAACTGTTACTTGAAGCTTGTCGTAAGACATCAAAGCCTTTTGATCACAGTTATATGTTCTTTTTCCTCTTGCCAAAACTTCTCCATCTGAATCTATGATTCCTTCCTTGTCTGGTTCGTCTACAAGTCCACCCGGCTCCAACACAAATGCCTTCACCTTTTCGACAGTAAATTCACCGCGTATGCTTTTTAGTCAATCACAATTCACAATGCAGATTCACAAGGTACATTAATGCCGTCTAATGAAAGATTTCAGCTATATGGGGTTTTGGATGACAAACCTTTAGATACACTATATAGGGTGACTTAACATGTGTTCCACTACTCGTCTGTCTCATAAGTGAGAGCAGGACAAGCTTAGGGCAGTTTTTCAAGACAATTAAGTCCAGAAAGCCATCAGAAAACTGTTCATCAGACAATATACAAGAAAAGCTTTAGGGGTTTTTTGCAAGTAAAAGAACCTTATGAAGGCCTCTTTGATGGTGCACAACAAAACAATATCCAAGATCTTAGTCTGAAATTTAGAAATCTGTAACTGACCTTTGCAGCAGGAGCAGTCAAAGTGTTCTCAGCACCCCAGGGAACATTGTGAAGCCATACAGTAACAAATGGACCTTTGATTTCTCTCCATTCTAGATCTTCAAAATTAGTTTCAGGTCCTTGGTACCCGAGCTCTTTATCGCTAACAGGTGGCTCTTTGTATAAACTGCAACTGGCTGGCTGTCCATAGCTTTCAAAACCAGGAGCCGGTAGAAATAAAATTCGTCCATTGTATTGTCTTAAACATATTATCCTCTGAAGAGCCTGCAAGTACAAGAAGATAAAAACATTCCTCAATTTCAATAAGAGAACATCTGATTAGGATCATACAGTCTCACCAGCAATTTAACAGCTCCAATGCTATAATTGCCAAAATTTTCAACTAAAAACGTACATAGAAGTCAATGCGAGCACTTCCCATCCATCTGAACTTCTCTGACTCAATGTCTATATCAGCTATCAAACCTGAAATAAACTGGACTAATCAATACAACAAAAAGCATGTTCCATCAAGCTCATGTACTACTTTCATTGCAAATAACTTTCTGACTCTGGACATAGAACCAAGAAGTAGAATTTACTAGCATACCCCAAGCAAGCATCAACACACTGAAGAATTTGGTATTCCCTTGTGCAATAGTTGCAACATCTACAGAACGTTTATGACCTGTCAATACAGGAATAATGTGCTAGGGAGCTGATTACTGAGGAAAAATAAAATGTTATGAAGGATAGAAAATTTTATGGCATCGAGCAGAACCTCGGATAATAGAAATCGTAGCACTATTTGCACAGCATCGAAGCCCAACCGTGTCCAACAATGACTTTATCATGCCATTACCAGTTCCTGCCGTCAAGTAAAATGATTTCGCTAGAAGTTTCTCATGCACATAATATCAATTTTTGTATGATAATCTACAACTTTGTCATTGTTACTAAAACGATAACGTCACATTTAAACTTTCACAGGGAACAATAAACAATAAGAAAAGGAAGAAGCAAATTAAACCGCCAAAGATCTCTGATTACCAGCAATGCACAAGATTTTCAGGCCAAAGAAATGGGAGCATGTAGATCAACAAACGCATAAAGAATGAAATGTATAGCAACGTAAGAGAAGTTACATCTTATATGTGTTTAGGAATGCAGAAACAAAATCCTATTGCAAAGAGCTTGGAGTTCTAAGGATGAAACACAAACCTGCAGGGACCATTCCGATCGGCAAATTCAAGGCAGTTCTCCAGTCTGCTCTTTCGAGTAGTCCATTTACAACCTACTAAATTAGGAACCAAGTGTAAAAATCAGTAACTATAAAATAAATGTTTAACCCCAGAGTCAAACCTAAGAAAAAGAGTAAACATATAATTTAACAAGAGATTGCTTCCTCTAGCAGATACTTCAAAAAGCTCAAACATAAATTCTAGATATCTTTAGTTTGAATCAGTTGAGAATAGCACAAAAGACAGACATCATCACTTCAATTTAAGTTATCAAAAAACAATTGACATAGAGAAAATGAATACTTCCTACTTACCTCAACAAGGACACCATCGCCGCTGACACAAACAATACCATCATATTTTGATACATCCATGGACTTAACAAATTCCTTTGCATGCAACTGATACTTGGTTTCTGAAGACTCAATCATAAGTAATCCAATTTGTTAATTTCCCACAGAAAGAGTTCTTGAACTCCAGAAAGAAACAAAAACAGAAATCAAGAACCTTGAATCTCAAGTTGAACATCAGCATCTTCAAACAACGGCTTCACTTCCTTAACAAAAATCTCTCTCGCCGATTTCTTCCCGCCAAACGGGTTCACAAATACAAGTAATCTCTTTGGCCGACCTAATTCAATTTTTCCAATTTTAGCAATTTGAGTGATACACAAGTTTTCAACTATTTTCCTCAAAACAACAACTACTAACCGAGAGAATCAAGGTATTGACGTAGCTTAAAGCACCATCCATTTTGATCGATGAGAGGCTCAAAGACGAAATCTTTCCTCACGAAATCTCCATCAAATTGTCCGCAGCAGATTCCTGCCTCTTTCTCAACCACGACCTTTACTCTAATCCGCTTACCTTCGACGACGAAACCAATAACATCCTTCTTCATCGACAACTGCTGCCGGAGTCCGTACTCTGTCCACCGTAGCTCCCCGTCGGCAGTCAAAGTCAACATAGCCAATTCACCGTCAATAAACACTATGCCGGTGATTATATCAGTCGGAGATATCATTTGATCATTCTCCATAAGACAAGACAACCTCCGTGACGGTGACGAACTTAGAGAGAGAGAGAGAGAGAGAGTTTCGCCTTGCTTCCTTAGTTGAGCTAAGAATAAAGATCGACCAAAGCTGACTTTTGTACGGCTTTGTCTGATCAAAGGGAAAGTGACAACCACGCGCTTAACCTGGCGAGTGGCTGAGCTGACGTGGCGTAAACGCTCTTTAATTATGACTTAAGTGTGAAAGAAGAGACTGATATAGACTTTTGAAGAAGTCATTAACTAACAAAATGTCACCGTTTTACAACCTCAAGATTCAAGAATGTAGTTAAATTTCTTCTCTTAACTCAGAAATAATTATCTGCAGAAACAATCAAAGCAGGCATTGGAGGAGGTTTACTTGTCATCAGAGATTTCTTCGTCTTCATCTTCTTCCAATATGTACACCAGAGCTCGTCTTCTTTCAGCAAAAACACAAGCCACTCCTCTTGAAGCTGTAAGAATTTTATATAATGAAGCAAAATATTTTATGGTTTTGTAAAAGCATTTCTAAGTTTTGAAGGAAAAACAAAAAAGACAGAAAATTAAGCACTTACCGCTTACTGCTAGAGGAGCAATGACAGAATGTGGAACTTTGCGAACCTTTTCATTCTCCATTTCCAGGTTAACAATCGAGTCCTAGAGAAAAGCTGATTTGTCAGGTTTCATAGTAGAGAATATCGTTTCAAGATGCATAAGTTCCTACATAACCTTCCCTAATTTAAAAAAAAACGTCGATGAGAATTACTGAAATTAGTAATACCTTCAAATCCTCTAGCTCCCACTGGTTTAGAGAACTAGATCTTGAAATGGAAATGAATGGAAGGTCACCAGTTTGTACAACCATCATGCATGCTTCTCCCGAGCCTTCAGAATTTTCACTTGTCTTATTCAATAATAGAACCAGTTCTTTATCCTGTTTTAAAATTAGACAGAGGATTTACATGGCAACTCCAAAAGAAAAAAGATACCAAAAATTTAAATCAACAATTGTTGCAGAAGAGAATGAGTATTCACCTTGTAGAGAGACAAATCAACACAAGTGTGGCCGTTAGGTACAGATAACAAAACAGCTTCCAGAGAAGTATAACCATTTTTCTCATTGTTGGAGTTCTGCTTAAAACCCTTAGCTATGCCAATACAGTTCGGAATCTCGGGGAAGGTTTCATTGGTGACTTGAAAAGATATGTAATCAGTGTACCCACTTTGACAAGGTGAATCATCAGAAAGTTCATTCTACACAAGCAAACCAAGACTTTAGTAGATCAGGAGCAAATGAAGATAGTAATCAGCAATCTCTTCCTAAGGATGTCCTATGGGATCACAATAATGTGCACTAAGATTGTTGCTGCAAGTACCTTATAGAAGGAAAGAGACATGGGAATTGTGGGAGGAGTTTGCGTTGTTGACAACTGAAGAGGGCAAAGCGGCAACAACTTCATACATGATATCTTTCTTGATATTGTTGTAAAGGGCATTTGAAGAGCCATCTTGAAGCTAAAATTGTTTAAGCATTAATATCAAAATTTGACGTCTAGTCAGAGAAACCATGAGAAAGTATGACCAGACTCTAAAGAATCAGCAGAGTTTGTTTTCGGGTAAAACTCCAAATACATAAATATGGTTGTTCAGGTTGTATTTCAAAAATGTCAAGGCAAAGCCATGCATCAGACCTTTGTCTCTACCATAGCCTTTTTGTTTTAAGAAGTGGAAATATGAAGAAAATACCTAGACTCCATATGTTGGAATTCCTTAGCCAATGTCCTCTGCAGAAAGTCACACTCTGAAAACCCTCCAAACTGAAGTAACTCTTTGACTCTTCCTATGGTTTTGCTGGGACATTAAAACATTAAGAGTTTAAATGAAATGAAGGAAAATAAAATGAATGCACAGCTATGGAGGATACAATAAGAACAGCTATGGAGGATACAATGGACTTCATGCTTCACAAGATAAACTGACAGAGATTCTGATCGACTACAAGATAAACTACGCAGAAAAGGTAGGTAAAAGCATAGATATAGAAAGTGGTGACCTACAGATCAATTTCAATGTCATCACCAGCTTCAGATGGCTCCAAGAGGTCTTTCACAGGATCTTGATCATATAAGAACTTCAAGAATACCACAAGGAGTTCACTGCCACATAAGCAAACCATGTAACTGCAAAGATTTGGCTTTAACATCATTAACAACATAGAAAACACATGTGCATACCTGTTGTATGACAAAAGCTGATCATTTGGTTCTTGCATAAGATACTTTATGCTTCTGACGAGCCAGTTGAAGAAATTTGAAAACTGAAACCAAGAGTATTATAATTCAATTGAAATGACCATTGCGTGGGAAACATGGGACAGCCAACATACTAAATAACTACGATTTTCAGTGTCTAAAGGACTGCACGCCTCTGTACCTGTTGGACAACAGAAGATAGTACCATCATAAACCGTTGCACTTGTACAAGTAGAAGACCAGTATTTTCAGTGGCTTCATTAAGGAGTATCTCATCCAAACCAATGCCTTGGTAACGTGCACGCCACCTCGATAGACCTCTTAATTCACCCATCCTGAATCCTATAATTTCTGCTGCAGGCTGAAAAAGAAAGCTTATTCGTGACAAAACTCTATCTAAAAACTATAAGCAGGATAAAAAGTCTAACAATTCAAACTCCATTTCCAGGAATGTGAAGAATACTGAACCTGAAGATGGTCAAGGACAATCTGCTGAAGCTCTTTTCCTGTACCACATACTGACTTTAAAACGCGCTTCACACCCTAGTAAACAAGAGAACTACTAAGTGGAATATGATTAAACTAGTACCCTGAAGAAGATCAAACAAGTAAAGCTTACCACTTCACCAAGAGAGTTAACTAAAAACTGATTAAGCGCTGGACTTATCCGTGCACCACCCAAAAGGCTAAGAAATTCTTCTTGAGGAGATGATTCCAGTCCTAGGAGAAAAGCAACAGAGCCTTGTAAATCTATAAGCAATTAAGCATAAGAGAAAAAACCTCAACCAACAAACTGATAGCGGCAAATACCATTATCAATGATCAACGTGGAAAGAGAATGAAACTTGTCATGAAAAGTTTTCATTGCATCCGCCCATTGTTTGCTCATAACTGACAGGGATGCTCGAATAACCTCAGTCAAATCTTCAATGTTAGAAGCTTGTTGAGCAACCTGATGAAGCTCATATTTCCTAAAATAAGATTAGAAGAGATATAAAGAACATGACAGATGCAAGGCAGAAAAAGAGTGCCAGTTACTAACAATTTCCAGTACTAATATCCAGATTTAAAACAATGAGAAGGTACATAAGAAAGAAACAGCTGCGAAGTATAGATAATTTGGTGTGTTTACCTCTTCCAAAATATAGATGTGTCCATTGCAAGGCAATGTAAACCAGGCAGATCTTGAACATTTAATTTTTCCTCTCTTGGCTTTGCAGCACAATCCCTAAGCTCTCCTGTGCACATTACTACCAGACGGCAGAGGTCTTTCGACAAAGCAACCTAAGAAATGTAATATATAATAATTAATTTGAATCTAAGACTCCTTCTCATATAACAAGCTCTCCTTTCTTTGTTTCCACAACAGGCATTTACAGTCAGAGAAATGAGAAATAACGAGAGGTCATTTATATAATTTGGAAAGCATGGCTCTTAAAAGGATCCAAGTACCTTGTAAATAGAAGCATTAAATAGTTTGCAAGAGGCATGCTCATCCAGATGGGGCACAGGAACAGACAGCTCGTGTATGTTCTGATCATGGTAATGCAGGAGCAGCAGAGCAAACACATGAAACAAGAGAAAATAAGACAAACTAAATATTAAACAAGAGAATATTACTCATATCTAGAAAAGAAACAAAAAAACTTACAAATTGTTAACTTTAGGACTAACATTATTAAGAACTTGTAATAAAAGAGCAACTAAGGATTTCAAAACACAATTCCATGTAGAAACAGAGTTGAAAATTCATTAAGCATCCTGCAATTCTATATGCAAGCAGAATTGAAAGATGGTGATACATGAATGGATATTAACGGCTTACTAATTACTTACAGTCAAAAGAGCGACTTACAATCTTCCCTATCTGAAATATTCCAAATATACTGAAGCATATGCTCCCATCACGGTCACCACTGCAAAGAATGTTAAACTTCCGGAATGAGGTATTGGATAGTTCTGCCAAAGAGTCTTCACCGTCATCCATGAAACTGGAGTCACCAGCTACCAGTCCAGGCATCTTCGGAGCTCTTGGAGCAGGAGGGAAAAAACGGGAGGTGCGATCCTCATAAACAGAGAAATTACCACTTTCATCCTGAAAACCAAACTCTAACAAAAGTAAGCACAAGCTCAAACAACTATAAGAGTTGGGTGTGAAAAAAAAAAACTAAGAGTATAGATGCTTCAACTGGGATTGGTAAAAGAAACTTTCTTAGTTTCTCAACACAAATACAGATACCGCAACCAAACATGAGTTCCTGTACAACTAGTCAGAGGAGAAAACATACGGTATTGGATTGTCCATCTTCCTCCCAGTTAAGACAGACGACAGCTACAGAGTGAGGCTTCAAGCTCCTTAATAGCTTCCCGTTCTGTATGAAAAGAGTAATAACCACTTTCTGAAAAGCATGATCTTTTTCCGTTTTGACTTTTTTATATATAGCAAAGTTTTAAACGGAATACTCAGGCTATCAACAACTTCATCATGGATAACATGGATTAGCTTCAATCTAAACTTGCCTCAACGTCGTGAAGCGCAATGGTTCCATCCTCGAGCCCAACAGCTATGGCTTTACCATCAGGACGCCAACATAAAGAAGTAACAGGCTTTCCTAAAAGCCAAAAGAAAGGAAATACCCTTAGTACCAGAAATATCTGACTAACTGAGTAATCCTTCTACTATTGACAACCTACTTCAAATTGCATTCCACTTTCAATTTTAGCAAATAACTAAGAGCCACAAACGAATTGAAAACGTAATCAGAACCATCTTGTATTGAAAATGTCTACTTTAATCAAACAAAGTGAACAAAAGAGAGAACTTTACCAGGAGAAATAGTCCATAATCTCTGCCAATTGAAGCGATGCAGCAAAATCTTTGAGTCCTCAGTAACCATTGCCAGTAAATCCTTCTCCGGATTCCACTCAGCTATCTTAATCTAATCAAAATTGAACATATATATCCATCTAAATTATTTTAAATCACAAAAAGACACGAAATTTGAACAGAAGTAAAACCAAAACCTGAAAAGGTATGGGCTTGTCGAACTGGAGCTGGAAAGGAATGATATTTTCTTCCTCGTCACTCGCCATTTCCGACATTCCGAGGTTATTGGGATTAGGGGCTATTGGAATTTTCAATTTCTAGCAAAGATATAGGAACTAAGCAGCCAGAGACACACTTGAGAAAAAGCTGTAGAGAGTGGAAAAAGGACGGTGGTCGCCGGGATTCGTCGATCCGCCGGGAGCAGAGAGACCCACTAGTGACAAAGCTGGCGGGCTTTTCTTCCAAATTCCAATAAAAATACCTAATCCGGTTTTTGGTTTATTTTCGGTTCAAGAGATATCAAACGGTTCAATTTGTCGGTCTGAGATTGAAACCCGGTTCAAGCTTTGGAGATTTTTGGCACTGGGGTTTTAGAACAAAAAGGTCTACACGCGAAGATGAGTGAAGAAGAGAAAACTTCATCATGGCCTACTATCAGCCCGGCCCAATATATTTAGGTGTCTAACGAAAATAAGAATTTTTGGCCTATTAAAAATATTTTTTTAATTAATTTTATAATATTTTTATAAAAAATTGTTGTTTTAAAATTTTAAAGCCTTTTATACTTTTTTTTAAAAAAAGTGAACATTTTAAAATATAATTCTTATATTGATAATATTGTTTAAAAATATTTGGGCTTTTTTTATATGTAAAGTTTTCAAAAAAAAAAGTTTCACGCTGTCGCACTTTCGCCCTACCCATGTGAACCGGGACTGCCCTACTAAAGAGGCTGAGACATTCCTTGGTCTTTGGCTCCGAGCCTCATACTCTCTTTAAAGACCATTTTCTTCAATTGGTTTGAACCAAATCTTGTAGTGTGCTTCTCTAGTGACCAAAGCTCCCTTCTTTTGGTCTGAAAGCAACCTCAAGTTTAGTTGCACGATGAACTTTGCTTTTTCTTCTAAAATCAGTAGGTAGGCCGTGTGACCTTAGCTCTTTAGATGATACAAAGAGAGCCTTCGTCGAAGGTTTCTTTGGCGCCATTGTCATTGCGCAGTGATATTATGGAATGATGATGATAAATTTTGGCGATAATTTTGTGTATTTTTTGAATTTTCTTAATTATTAATTTTAAAAATTAAAAACAAAATACTTCATTTGAGGGCTATTTTTCCAAAAATTTGATTTGCAAAACATTAGACCATTTCTCTAAAAATAACGATTAAATGCTCACATTAAAGGATCTCTACAACAAATTTTTGAAAAAATCATTTGCAAAACTAGGGAAGGAGCAATAGATGGATAGCAAATCATCATCATTTTCTACATAAATATCTGAGCATATTTATAAAAATTAAAGATTTGTCGATTTAATTACAATATTTACACTACTATATTAGTTATATATATGGTTTCCAATGGTGATTAAAAACAGAAGAAAATAATAAACATCAAATAGATGGAGATTATATTGATCATGATACAAAGTCCAAATGATCCTAATAATTAATTGGTTCAGTGTGAATAATTTGTACAGTATTCATTTTAGTATTGAGATAAGGATTATCAAAATAGATTACATCAATTCTATTAATTGCACCCTACAATAATATTTTATCTAAAAATGAAATGCGTATCGGTTCCTTAGAAAATAAAAAACAAATAAAATCATGAAAGTTTTTGAACAAACACACATTCATGAGGATAAATTTTTTTGAAAGAAATTGATTGAGAGAGTGTGAGATAGAGAAACTACTAAAAACAAAATTTACTACTGGTGTAGGTAATTAGGTAATACTAATTAAACTAAGATCTCACTAACTTTAACATATATATTTCTAAATAGCTACAATGACAAAATTTCTCAAGTTAAAAGAGCTCCAATGTCTTTGTTTCTCTGTTTTTCTACATCTGCTAAGTGCTAACTCGGTTTTGCTGGTGTCTGATTTTGATTTTGATAAGTGTGTGATTGAAATTGACAAAAAATCATTTCATTAACATTGATAATTTGTTTTTTTATTATTATTATTCATTAGGCAAATGGCAATCCGTGTACGACTTAGAAACTATTACGATTTGTGGTATCATGGTTACATCAGTGTCGGTACCCAGGACGATATGTTTCCTGTTATGTTCGATACCGGAACCCATGAAATATGAGTTCCAGGTCACCTCTTTCCGGGTGCAGCAGCGGTCGATAGATATATCGGAGCTAATTCATTAACGCATAACCCAGGTCCAGGTAATTTGTTTTTAATTTACTTCTAGATTTTTTCCTTATTTAATTGTATAAAACCATTAACAAAAATTTTTCTATTTCTTTTTGTTTTTCTTTAAGGTTCGGTGGCACATCTACGACTTAGACATAGAGGAGCTGCTTTCCCTAGAACCATTACTTTGCGTGCAACGAGAAATCGCGATATGGGATTTATCGACTTATATGTGTGTTTTTTAAAAAAGAAGTAAATCTCATGTACTAAATAACACATGAGATTTATATGTGTGTTTAAAAAAAAAAAGTAAATCTCATGTACTAAAAAACACATGAGATGTACTAAAAGAAGTAGATCTCATGTACTAATCTTGTGCACATCTACGACTTATATGTGTGTTTTTTAGTACATGAGATTTACCCATAAAGCTTTAATCCATACGGGCTGTCCGTATATATACGGTCCTCCGGTTAGTAAAGGATTTAATTTTGTTCAATTTTTATTATGTATCAAATACTGTTTACTAATGCAATTTAACATTTCTATTTATTTTTGTAGCTCATTATCCGAGAGATTAATACTCAAATTTGTGGTGGTAGACGTGTAAGTGTTATTTACAACATTTTATTGTTATTTGTTGTTTTATGTTAACGTAACGTAACACTTTTTCTTTTCTTTTTTTCTCTTTTCTAATCATAGGCACCCCTTATAGAAATGATGATATTTAACGATGCCGAAATGGCCGCGGCGGTAGCAAATGATTTGCTCTATGTGCATTTCTATTTCACTCCAGAGGATTATCTCTCCATCTCGTCACGTCAAGTACGTTTTGTTTCGTAAATTACTTATCAATTAGTTGTATATATCAATTTTCTATTCTAATGCACATTTAAATATATAAAAATATAGTATGTCATCCAAGATGCATACGTTGACGGATCTTCGAGTATTTCCAGACCTATGTATTTCCCACATGAAATACCCGGATATTTGTAAGTTTAGTTGTATATTTTTTCTTAGATATTCTATAAATAAACTATTAATAACATTATTTGCTTTTTATTTATTTATCTACAGTATTATTGGAGTGCCTTTTCTCAGAAAATATCATACGATATTTGATTTTGGGCACCGCCAAATCGGATTTTCTATCGCCACTTCCGGCTACGACGACGTTGATGACGAAGACAACGTAGACTACGAGGACGACGTGAACGACGAGGATGGTGTGGACGACGTGAACGACGAGAACGGTGTGGACAACGTGGAAAGACTCGTTCACTCATGGACATTATGATGCAGCGCATCACAATTATATTCTATCCTTTACTTTAAGCTTTGTTTTTTTTTGGTAAGAACTAATTAAGCTTTTATTTTTTTTCTTTGGTAATGAGAACTAATTAAGCTTTTAAGACCTTTCATCAGTGTGTAATATTTTATGAAATATATATATATATATATATATATATATATATATATATATATATATATATATTTTAACCTGATGTCATCTCTAGCATATATATTCCTTGAAAAAGTGATTTTGTTAGGTCAGATGGATCTGAAACACATCAAAATAACATTGGAAATAACTATCTCGAAGAAACACAGTGCTTTGGCAATGGCATGACTCGCAATCTTCTTCCTAGGATGTTTTTAGAATTTCCAGTCAGAATGTGTGACTTCGTCGTAAATCGTAATAGCCAACTACCACACCAAAAGAAAAGCTTCCAATGACATTATGATTACAAGTTTTACTACAGCAAGGGCCGCGAGTTAAATTGAAGGACTCGATTAAGACTCTTAGGATCATGTTATTAAATTGAAGGACTCGATTACTTGCTTCGATTTCCCTCCCATTCTGGAGGGTTTAAGGCACGATTAGCGGCTTCCTTGTTTCATGCTAGACCTTTGAAGCGCATCGTCTTCTTCTTTTGGAACTGCCCGAGCTAGATGACAAAGCTTTCAATGGATCATCTTGGTGAACTCTTTGCATTCTGTAAGCTTCCATCTCTTCCCGAGTCACCTGCGAAGAAATGTGATTAGTCTCCCTTACGTCCAGACCAGGACTCTGTGCCATTTCTAAGTGCTAAGATTGGTTAACTGAGTCATTACATCGTTGTTGTATTTGACATTGTATTTCCGCTTCCTCTCATCTTTTTCTTCCCTCTTACGCTCATCCTCCTGCAAAACAAGAAACACACGCACATGACTACCATGAATCATCGGAAGGACACAGACACGTCTCTCTACAAGATATACTATGAGTGCAAACTATCGCCTCCTTACCTTTTTAAGAGCATTTGCAAGTGCCTCCTCGCTCAGTTCCACATCTTCAGGAATATCGGTTCCCCACGTGGCCATTCTCTTTTCTCCAACCTCCTTTGCGTTCCCTGATCCACCAAGATACCATCCATTGTTAGGTGAGCACAAGGCGCAAAACAAAATCTCGACAAAACTTATGTAGAAACGATTGTCATTAAGCATTTCAGAAGGTACAAATTGATTTGACTCAATTTTGCAATCAATGCAACAGGAAGAAACTAAGAAATCAGGAAGAAAGGATACAAACCTGTGCAGTAACTGTTGCGAACGGTCAGCTGGCAACATTTATATCCCCATTTATGGCCTTTCCACCATGAGCCCCAAACGCTATTGTGGTTGTTTACATGAACATCTTCTTTGTATTTGTTCTTGGGCAGTACCACCACCTCCTGTTGTAATTTTCCACAGCAAACATGTATTCAGGATGACATCGACCCAAAAAAAATCGAATATTATCACAGGCCAGGCCGTTCATATTTCCATGAGAAGGAGGAAACCATCGAAAAACCATACCTGTCCCTTTAAAATCCTCCCTGCTCTGTCATACTCAACTTGTCTTTCGCTTTGCCCAAGCAGAAGCTCCATTGGAATTTCATCTTGCGTAGCTGCATTCCCATACTTTCCCATGATTGCGTCCTTAGTCTGAGACTTCAGTTTGTCTTTTCCCGCTTTGACCTTCTTGTAGAGGAATTCAGCTCGGGATGGAGCCGCTTGCATATGCATGTCCTGTATCATGTCAAATGCTTCCCATGAGAGGATGTTCAGCTGTTTGAACTCTAGAGCGTGGTCACTGTTTCTATATCCATTATCTCCCTGGATTGATGAATAAAGAGAAAAGAAGGTTTAGTGTCTATATTATCAAAATATAAGATACAACTACCCGAATGATAAACGAAGAGTCAAAGCAGCTAACCGAATAAAATTTTTGATTTGGATCTGCATCTGGGAGCGGGTCTTCACGCATGGACCGACTCTTAGGGTCATAATGGGCGGAGTCAGCATCAAGGTTATACAGGTATTTAGCTTTGTCTTCTCTGATACGCAGATTTCTGGGAAGAAGAAAAGGTTACACCCATCAAATAAAAGCATCCAAAAGAGCAAACAAATTTAACCTGTGCGATGAGAGATAAGATGTCGTGTAGATGAGTAGTCCATACCTTACGGTTCCTGTGCTACCACCACCAGTTGATCGAACGCGCTTTTCAACCTTTGCAAAGTCCATCTGCTTGCTCCCGTCAACCTTGGATTCGTCGACTCTTAAGTCATCATCTTCTTCATCCCAATCGCTGGTTGGGTCATTAACTTATTGGTGCTTGTCTTTCTCCTCTAGCTTCTTAAGCTTCTCGTCCTTAAGGTACTTCTTACGTGCGTCTTCTTAGCGTCATAAAGCTCTTGCACGCGATGGTAGGTTGAAGAATCATAACCGTTCCATCGGTCCCTCTTGCCATCATAGTTGAGTTTAAGAGACTACCACTTTCATCCTGAAAACCAAACTCTAAGAAAAAGTAAGCACAACTGGGATTGGTAAGAGAAAATTCTTATTTTTCTGAGCATAAATATAGATACCTAAACCAAACATAAGTTTCTGTACGACTAGTCAGAGGAGAAAACATACAGTATTGGATTGTCCATCCTCCTCCCAGTTAAGACACACGACAGCTACATCATGGGGCTTTAAGTTCCTTAATAGCTTCCCATTCTGCATGAAAAGAGTATTAACCACTTTTTGATAAGCATGTTCCTTTATAAATAAAACATAATACTAGTTTCTATACAGCATAGTTTTAAAAGGAATATTCAGCCTATCAACAACGTCATCATGTAAAACATGGATTAGTTTCAATCTAAACTTGCCTCAACATCGTGAAGCGCAATGGTTCCATCCTCAAGCCCAACAGCTATGGCTTTACCATCAGGACGCAACATAAAGAAGTAACAGGCTTTCCTATAAACCAAAAGAAAGGAAATACACTTAGTACCAGCAATATCTGACTAACTGAGTAATCCTTCTACTATTGACAACCTACTTCAAATTGCATTCCACTTTCAGTTTCAGCAAATAACAAATTTTCTTTCATCAAGCTGAACCATCATGTATTCAAAATTGTCACCTTTTAACCAAAAGAGAAAAACTTTACCTGGAGAAATAGTCCATAATCTCTGCCAATTGAATCGATGCAGCAAAATCTTGGAGTCCTCAGTAACCATTGCCAATAAATCCTTCTCCGGGTTCCACTCAGCTATCTTAATCTAATGAAATTGAACATATACATCCATCTAAATTCCTTTAAATCATAAAAAAGACACGAACTTTGAGCAGAAGTAGAACCAAAACCTGAAAAGGTATGGGCTTGTCGAACTGGAGCTGGAAAGGAATGATATTTTCTTCCTCGTCACTCGCCATTTCCGACATTCCGAGGTTTTTGGGATTAGGGGTTAATATTCTAATTTTCAATTTCTAGCAAAGCTGTAGGAAGTAAGTAACCAGAGAGAAACACTTGAGAAAAAAAGCTGTAGAGAGTGGATAAAAGGAAAGAAGACGGTGGTCGCCGATCCGCCGGGAGCAGAGAGAGACGCACTAAAATCCAATGACGGATTTAAAGCTGGCGGGCTTTTCTTCCAAATTCCAATAAAAATACCTAATCCGGTTTTTGGTTTAATTTCGGTTCAATTTGTCGGTCTGAGATTGAAAACCCGGTTCAGGTTTTGGAGATTTTGACTGGGGTTTAGAACGAAAGTACACCTCTCTGCTGCTTTGTTCGAGAAGCTCTGACGAAGAAGATGGGTGAAGAAGAAGCAGTAGCAGAAGAAAATGGTGGAGAATCAGGAGAACAAAACTCATCCTGGCCTACTATGAGATTTGATGTCTCTCCTTATAGAACGCACCATTTCTCTAAGCAGTTCAGGACCGCTCGAAACCCTAATAATTTCCTCAAGGGTCTTAAATGGTACCCTTTTCTTCTTGTTTCAAATTCACTCTCTTGATTAGGGTTTTGTTCTTTCTCAAAGTTTGTTTTTTTTTTCTTCTCCTTAACTTTTGAGGTATTGAATTGTTACTGTTTCTTATATAGGTCACCTGATGGTTCATGTTTCCTTGCAAGCTCTGAGGATAATACACTTAGTCTGTTTCATCTGTAAGTTGAATAATTTCAATTTGAAATATTTTTGTAGCTTTAAGTTTCAATAATTTTGTATGTTTGGGTAGTTTTAGTTCTCTGTTGAATCTTTAGTTTTGCAAATTTGCCCCATCAGGCCACAAGATGGAGGGGATTCCAATGGCTATGGAGTGCCAGTCCCTGAAGAAGGTTAGCTTTTCCATATGACTTTTTTTTATGTTGTGGCAAATGCTATAAAAATGTGAAGTAATTTTGTGATTCATGGTGTGTTACTGTGTTTATTGATTTCCTTGCACATTTTGGATTTGTAGATTCGTATGGTGCGAGTCTTCTTGTGAATGAGGGTGAATCTGTCTATGATTTCTGTTGGTATCCTTACATGTCAGTCTCAGGTAATAAAGGGTTTCTGTTTGTATCTTTTGCTTAATTATTTCATCAATTTGAATTACTGATTTTGGCTGTTCACTGATTGATTTCAGACCCTTTAACATGTGTCTTTGCTACGTCCACTAGAGACCATCCGATACATCTTTGGGATAGTACTTCTGGTGAGGTGCTGATTTTTCCATGAAACTTAACATGTTTACTGGAGAGTTATTCTACCATCATTTTTTGTTTGCATCTGATTATTTACATGTGTATAAAACAATGGCAGCTTCGGTGCACGTACCGAGCCTATGATGCTATGGATGAAATAACTGCTGCATTTTCATGTTGGATTTAATCCTGATGGAACCAAGTAAGCAAGAACTTCATCTAAGTTTTTTCCATCTTCCCACATGGTAGAGAATTTGATTAACAGTCGTCTATATTCATTTGGCTGTGTTATGGCTTTAGGATCTTTGCTGGTTACAACAGCTCCATCAGAGTGTTTGATCTTCATCGTCCTGGAAGAGATTTTGGGCAATATTCAACTCTACAGAAAAACAAAGAGGGCCAAGCAGGTTTTTTTCTTCGTTTACCACTCAGATGCTGCATAATATTATTATTACAGATTATACAGAAACAAGAACAACCTTTTAATGGTTTATAATTTCCAGGTATATTATCAACTCTTGCTTTCTCCCCAACTAATTCTGGAATGTTGGCTGTGGGATCTTACGGGCAGACTACTGGGATTTACAGAGAAGATAACATGGAGCTATTGTATGTTTTACATGGTCAAGAAGGCGGTGTTACGCATGTAAGCAATGACCACTAATTGTTGCCTTATTTTTGTCCATTAGGATATGATCAATTATTGATCGAAATTTTTCTTGCTTTCAGGTCCAGTTTTCAAAGGATGGGAACTATTTATATACAGGAGGTCGCAAGGTAACATACTGTTATAAACATTTTTTCCGCTGAATGTTGTCTTGAGCATATTATATCACAACTTGATTTCTATTATTAAGGATAAACCTTTTTGGAGGAAAGTATCGTCTGTCCAGACATATTCTCGTTGGTGTCCAATATTAAAGTATGATATGTGTGATAGAACGATGAATTGTCGTAACCTCACCCAAACAATAGTTTCTTTTTTCTTTGCTCTTTTTCAGGATCCTTACATTCTTTGCTGGGATATTCGGAAATCTGTTGAGATAGTCTATAAGTGAGTATTTACTTCTTTCTTTTTGTTTGGGTAGTCTTTGGTTTCTCAGCTCATACTTGTTTTACAATATAATCTAGAAGCCAGAACAAGTGCTTTAAACAAAATGAATGCTTAATGAGCCATGAGAAGCAAAACTTAATGCTACATCAATGTTCAATTTTCTAGAAGTCTTAGCTTGATGAAATGGTAGATGTTGAAGCTCTTATAAAGTTTGAAATGTATCATTTATATTTGTGTATCAGATTGTACAGAGCAACTGAGAACACAAACCAGCGTGTATTCTTTGATATTGAGCCATGTGGTCGACATTTAGCTACTGGTGGTCAGGTACTTTTGATCTTCGTTTTCCCTTAGCTAGAAAAATTGAAAGCAATCTTTTATCCTCTATAAACACACTTGTGGTGAAATCATGTAACCATTTTCTCATTCCTCTGGTCTTTTATTCCAGGATGGGCTCGTTCACATGTACGATTTACAAACCGGAAACTGGGTTTCTGGATATCAAGCTGCTTCAGGTAGCTAACACTTGGTTCTTCAGTAAATTCTCCAATTCTTGATGAGATCCTAACTGTGGCATATTACCCTCATTCGATTAATGCAGATACCGTGAATGCTTTCTCTTTCCACCCATACCTTCCAATGGCTGCTACATCCTCTGGTCACAGACGTTTCGCAATTCCTGATGATGACGACGAAGATAAGAAGGATCTTCAATTAAAAGGTACATTACACTAAAACTTGAAATAGTTCCTCTCCCATCAATGCTAAAACACACAATCAAAACTTCCCTTTCTCTTTCTGTTCACCACAGCTGATGAAAACTGTGTATCTCTCTGGAGTTTCTACGTTACATCCGAAGAGAACAACACTTATGATGAAAACAATGGAGTTACAAGCAAGTCTCATCTCCAAAATGTCACAGGATAAGAAGAAATTAGCCTTAACATAATTTTTTTTTTCTTTCTAAACTATGTTTTAAAAAAGGAATCAATACAATATTATTTTATTAGTCTTATCCAAAAATAAGTGAGCATATTCTTATTTTTTGTACCTTTTTAACAAAAACAAAAAACAAATTCCCATACTTATCTCGACGTGTTTTTAGAATCCAATGAATTCAAGTCATACTCCTATGTTTCAAAACCATTAAACTCTTCGTATGCTCATTAAATCCACACCGTTCAGACTACCTAAGAGCACACGTGGCAAATGATCAATGTACAGAACACTGATTATCAGATGGACCCGCACGCACACTCATGATTTTGCCTCCCGAATAAAGCGGGTTTATCTTGTACAGTAACTGATTGATACAGAAGCTTAACTTGAACTGTGTGATCGAAACACTAAACGCCAATGACGGCTGTCCAACAGTAAACAGCCACGTGTCTTCTCTCTCGAATCCGAGCTTATATTCTTCAGCGACTCTCTCTCCCTCTCTGCTTTGCTCTGTTTTTGGCGTTCTAAATGATCCATTATCTCCATTTCATCGGTGAGCTTTGGTTCTCGAGTGCTGTTAAATTAGTTGAGTGGTTCTCGGAGAATCTGTTTCTCAGTGAAGGAAGCAGAAGAAGAACAACAATGGCGTTAATGAAGAGAGGATTCGTGATGAACTCAAATGGTAGATTTCACGGCGAGGAAGAGGAAATAGAGTTAGGGTTAGGATCAGTGAGGTTCACGAGAGGATTAGGGAGGAAAAGGATTTTGATTTCGAGTAGTGTTCGTGAATCTCTATCTAGATCGGCCGTTGAGATTCCGGTAGCACCTGAATCGCCGCCGGTGAAGAGTTCGTTGAAGAGACAACGAAGCAGAACAATGATTTCTTCTTCTTCGTCCTCTGAGAAATCTCCCCTTGAATCTCTGCCTCAAGAACTCTTGGTAAATGAGTTTGATTTAGTTTTGCTTAATCTGATTCGATTTTGATTATGATCCTTTAATAATAATCTAATTATTTTACAGATTCGAGTGATTTGTGGTGTTGATCATGAGGATCTGAAGAGTCTAAAACTTGTATCTAAATCAATCAGAGAAGCTGTAAGTTCCATTTTGTCTCATCATTTGAGTTGTGATTGATTCAATGTTCTTATTGCAATTTTTTAACTATAACAGAGTTTAGTAGCCAAAAAGTTACATTTTGCGTACACAACACCGAAAAAGACTCGAGCTTTTCGAAACTCTATTATTCTCGAGGAAATTTTGGATTCGAGCCATCAAGAGGACAATAATGAGCCACCTAACGCACCGAAGCACTATCGATGGACCAAGGCTAAGAGGAAAGAGCAACTCTCTAGCGTCTCTGTGGCATTGTTTACTTGAAAGTGTTATGTGTAAATGGTTTGATTCTAGTGGCTAAGTGTTTGTTTACATGCTTTGACTACTATGAATTTCTCAGATTAGTCTGCATTTTGATTCAGAAGAACTTAGTGTTAGAGATGATTTTTGTATATAAATTCATTTTGCGTACATTGGGAATTGAAATGGTTTTTCTTATATATTTCTAATTATGGGCTTTAGTCAGACACACAGAGTATCCAAGGTTTTGTTTTTGTTTTTGTCTTGAGGTGCAATAAAGATGATCAGTTCTTATACTTATGTCAACACATTTAATGAATCTAAAGACTTTTCATAAATTAACCAATTTTGACTAACATTTTAAATTATCAACTAAACTTATTTCATCATTATATCTGGTATTAACTTTAGTATTATGCAACAAATACTCACCAAAATTCCTCAAGAACAAAACTTGATGATCACACAAAGTCACAACACCATATTAAGTAACCCAGTGGTTGCATACTATTGATCTAAGGTCAAAGCTAGATATTAATCCGTTTCACACTTGCACTCTTAAAGCCCACTTCATATTCATTAGACGGTTATACATTCTATGATTAGTTTACTTCGGTGAAAACCTAATTTATCTCAGTACTAAAATGAATATTGTACAAATTATTCACACTGAACCAATTAATTATTAGGACGTTTGGACTTTGTATTGTATCATGAATAATATAGTCTCCATCTATTTGATGATTTTTATTTTCTTCTATTTTTAATCACCATTATAAACCAGATAACTTATATAGTAGTATAAATATTGTAATTAAATTGACAAAATCTTTACTTTTTTATAAATATGCTCATATATTTATGTAGAAAATGATGACGATTTGCTATCTTCTCAAGTCTCCTACGTATCTCAAGACTCTCCTCTGAGAGATTGTTCTTGTTGGTGAAGAAGCTTGATCTTCTTCTTGGCCTTTCGAGACATAATTTTGAATCATGAGATTTTTCACCGCAGCTTCAGCAGATTGAGAAGCGACAAAAGTTAGAGAACGTAACGAAACAAAGAAGCGACAAAGGATAGAGAATAAAACGAAACGAAAAAATCTATAAAATTTAAAGCGTTTTTGGGACACGGATGACTTGATGCCGAAGAAACCGAGGATTTTTTGGGATTTTTCCTTTTTCGATCCATGACTGCTAAATGAGAGAGTAAATTCGAGAATAAATTTAGGAGTAAAATCAGAAAGCGATGAAAATTGGGAAACTGATGATGATTTGGAAAATTTCGAAACCCTAATTATTCGGATGTAATCTCTCCTTTTAAACAGTTTCTGAGATTTCCCAACGGTAAGAAAAATGCTAAACCAATGAAAATTATCGGTTTAACGGTTAATTTGATACTCAGTTTGACCGGTACAATTCGGATTGACCGGTATAATCTTTCCCACGAACGAATCATCATATTCATAACCTACATAAACAAAATCAGAAATTTAACTACATCCACGGATATAATCTTTCGCAAGATTCACTCACTCACTCCACCGATTTTAGCACCAAAAACCCAAAAGACTTAAAAATACACTTATATATATATATATATATATATATATATATAACATTTCAAAATGAGTTTATACCACTAAGAAGTGGTTAAATTTAACATTACCTTTGCTCCCTCTGGCTTATACCAAGTTTACACCCCCAAGATCAAAGATAAAACAAAGAAATTACTCGCACAACAATATTTCTGTAGAATCTTAGGACTAATTGTAAGAAACACACAAAACATGGTTGGTTCTCATTTCCTGTAATGTACTGTACATGTGTATCAATCAAATTACACACACACAACCACAAAAGGAACAACATTTACAAAAAGAGATTTCAAAGAAAAGGTCAATCTAAGGTTTATGAATTATGATGTGAATGTGTCTTCATCACACGTGTATTGTTAAAACATTATCAATATTCAGGAGAGAAGAGTAGTGGCTAAACCTTGATCAACTGTTACTTGAAGCTTGTCGTAAGACATCAAAGCCTATTGATCACACACAGTTATATGTTTTTTTCCCTCTTGTCAAAACCTCTCCATCTGAATCTATTATTCCTTCTTGTCTGGTTCGTCTACAAGTGCACCTGGGCCCCGGCTCCAGCACAAATGCCTTCACCTTTTCGACAGTAAAATTCATCGCGTAAGCGTTTTAGTCATTCGCAAGGTACATTAAAGCCGTCAAATGAAATATTTCAGCCATGTGGGAGCCAGTCAGATGATGTCTACATTAAAGGTACATTCGCAAGGACTCTTAGTATCTGCATACTCAAAAGGAAACCTTTAGATACGATATACATGGTGACTCAACATGTGTTCCACTACTCGTCTGTCTCATAAGTGAGAGCAGGACAAGCTTAGGACAGTTTTTCAACACAATCAAGTCCCAAAAGCCATCAGAAAACTGTTCACCAGACAATATACATGAGAAGCTTTAGCTTTTTTTTTTTGCAAGTAAAAGAACCTTATGAAGGCCAAAGAATATCCAAGATCTTAGCTTGTAATGTTAGAAATGTGTAACTGACCTTTGCAGCAGGAGCAGACAGAGTGTTCTCAGCACCCCATGGTACATTGTGAAGCCATACAGTAACAAATGGACCTTTGAGTTCTCTCCATTCTAGATCTTCAAATTTAGTTTCAGGTCCTTGGTACCCGAGCTCTTTATCGCGAACAGGTGGCTCTTTGTATAGACTGCAACTGGCTGGCTGTCCATAGCTTTCAAACCCAGGAGCTGGTAGAAATAAGATTCGTCCATTGTATTGTCTTAAACATATTATCCTCTGAAGAGCCTGCAAATATAAGAAGATAAAAAAAATTCCTTAAGTTCAATATATAAGAGGACATTTGATTAGAATGATAAAGCCTCCCAAGCAATTTAACAACTGCAATGCAACAATTGTCAAATATGCAACTAAAAACGTACATAGAAGTCAATGCGAGCACTTCCCATCCATCTGAACTTCTCTGACTCAGTGTCTATATCAGCTATTAAACCTGAAATAAACTGGACTAATCATACACAACAAAAAGCATGTTTCATCAAGCTCATGTACTACTTTCATTGCAAATAACTTTCTGACTCTGGACATAGAACCAAGAAGTAGAATTTACGTAGCATACCCCAAGCAAGCATCAACACACTGAAGAATTTGGTATTCCCTTGTGCAATAGTTGCAACATCTACCTAACGTTTATAACCTGCCAATACGGAAATAATGTGCTAGGGAGCTGATTACTGAGCAAAAATAAATACAAGACAAGAGGAATGAAAAAATGGTTACATTATTTAACCATAAGTGTCGGAAAAAAAATATTGCTTCCAATTTTTCTAGTTAAGGGCAACACATAAGCTCAGGCATCAGAAGGGAAAGGAAGATCAACATTACCTGTTCACCGGTATCTAAATGTCGACCACATGGCTCAATTTTACACGCTACTTTGTGTTCTCAGTTGCTCTCTACACTCTGATACACACGTATAAATGATCCATTTCAACTTTCTAAGAGCTTCAACATGCATCTACCATTTCATCACGCTAAGACTTCTAGTAACTTGCAGTGGCGGAGCTAGGAATTTTTGTCATAGGGGTCAAAAAAATTTTTAATACAAAATAATATATATTATATAAAAAAAGATATTTTAGATTTATCTAAAAATAATTGACATATAAAAAAAACAATGAATAATTTATCAAAAAATCAACCAAAATTGATATTTAAGAGTTTTTTAGTTGCGCTCCTCAACGATCGGATTAACAAATAGAGAAGAAAAATTAGATTTTGCGGGTGTTTTTATAATTAAATATAATATTAGATCATTAGCTGGATTTGTTTTTAATTAAGTCAAGGATTTTCTAATATATCACGATCTAAGATTGAAAAAAAAATAAGGAAGAAGAAGCTAAAACGTTTTTAGACTACAAACAAATGTTAAAATATAATATTAGTTTATATTAATGGGCTTAATTATAGTATATTTACTTAAATAAATTTTATTGGGCTTAATATTATTTATAAGTACAATATAATTATTAGGCTTAGATATTTTAATCTTGTAACATAAAATTTTACAGGGTCAAAACTCTTATGGGATTGGGGTCAATTTAATATATGTAGTAAAGTTTCAGCTAATTTTTATAATTCCTCCAGGGTCAATTGACCCTTATGACTGTGCACTGCCTCCGCCTCTGGTAACTTGGACACTGATGTAGCGTTTAAGTTTTTGCTGCTCATGGCTCATTTAGCTTAGATATAATAAGTACAGTTATATCATTATTTATCAATTGATTTAAATAAAATTATTTATAAATTTTAAATAATTATTGATTATATTATTGGTTTAAACAAAACAATGTTATATGGGTGTAAATGGGTTTAAATGGGTCAATGAAACTTAAATGGGTTGAGATAAATGGGCTGTAAACTTAGATGGGGTTATATGGGTTTACATTAAATGGGGTGGGTTTTAAATGGGGTGGGTCTAAATGGGCTGGGTTTACCCATATTAACATCTCTACTTACATCACTTATTTTTGTTTCTAGAATCTAGATTATATTCTTGAACAAGTATGAGCTTAGAAACCCAAAGATTACCCAAACCAAAAGAAAGAAGTAAATACTCACCACTTATAGACTATCTCAACAGATTTCCGCATATCCCCCAGCAAAGAATGTAAGGATCCTGAAAACAGCAAACAAAAAGGAAAACATTTACTGCTAAGGTTACTACAGACATGGTCCTATTTAAAAGCATATTTTAATATTGGACACCAAGACAACATTGAGAGGGAAAAAGGTTTATAACAGTAAATTACCTTACGACCTTTGAAATCTGGACACCGAGTTCAGATTATGATTTATCATACCCTAATGCACAAAAAAAGAAAGTAACAATTAGTGACCTTTGCTTACATTTATCATGTTATATTATACAACAAAGCTCATTTTTCGATTGTGACTTTCTTTCTCTGTCTCTGGACACTGGAGATGGGATTCTGATAGGTGTCATTGGCATCAAAATTAATGAGAGGTCGTTGTCTTCTGCTATTACCCACTATTCATGTTAGATAGATTCTATTATCTATCTCCATATATATATATTTCACGAAACGATTTGAATAATATATGATTAACTCTTAACTTTATCAAGACTTACATTTTATCAACATTCCCATATGCATCTCTACCTCTCGTGATCATTTATCTAAATGGAATAGCTTTGTTTCCACTTTAACCCATACACTGAAAGAGACACAAGGAGGAAAAAAAGAAGAAGAAAAAGTGATGTCTTAATTTCTCTTTATATATATATCACAATCCAAAAACTAATTGTTCATTTGCATTTTAAACTTTGGACATCCAATTTTGAAAATCATTCCGTGGAAGTCAAGCCTAGGTGATGGATGTGGTCGGTCCAAAACAGTTTCAAGTCACGTGGTTTATGTCCTTTGGGTCCATTCTCCCTAATCATCAAAACTTTGATTAATTTTGTCGACTTTATATAAAGTCATTGCTTCTTGCCTAAATAACCTATATTTATTTTAAAAATAAAGGTCAAATAATCTAAAAACCAAAAGCTTATAGTCCATTCAGCAGTTTCTTCATCATAACCAAAATCTTTAATTCAATCATATATATAACTTAACACTTAACAAATTTTCAGTATAGACCTTTCTAAGTTAAAGTAAACATATTTTCTCGTCTTATAGTTCTACTTGCGGCTAATAATTGAATATTTTTATGTTTTGATATGCTTTGTGTGACTTTACCTAGGTTAATTTAATCTATTCCTCAGGTTTCTCCGCGGAACTATATGAGTTTTTTAATAAACGATGTTATTCCATTTATTTTCTTAAAGTTTAATATATCCCTAGATTATGTTTAAGTTGGCATACTAATTCATCCAGCACGCATTTGCAATTTGCTTTTTTTTTTTTTTTCTTTCTATTAAACTTTTCTGTCCTGGAAATAATTTGCGAATCCCATTTGAAGTTCTTTCTTAAATAAGCTGTCCTGGAAGTTTTCGGATAGAAAATAAACTTGCACCGAAAAAATTAAGCTGGACCAAAATAAAATTTTATCAAATTATAAAACAAATACAATTAAGTTGGCAAAGATATTCCAAACCGAACAAATCGAAAAAAAATAAAAAATTCTAGTACTGTTTGGAAACCAAACCTAACTAAAAGTGAAACATCCATGCCAAATCTCTACTACTGTGCAATTTGATCAATTCACATGCATGATCATACTCTCCAAAAACAATTAAATATATATGTATTTATTTATTTATATAACGCAAAAAGAAAGAAAGACTCCTATTATTAAAAAAAAAGAAAGACCTTTTGTTTTGGTTCAATTAGAAAAGGAAGACATGCATTTGCAAAAGACCCACTCCCACTGCCACACAACTACCAACTTTCAGGCTTTCACCTTTCTCTTTCTTAAACAAACATAAAGCGTAACTACTTTGCTTTGTTTGATCATTCATTATTACTCAAAACTTTTATAGAAACATATACATGATAAAAATTAAATAAAGATGTGAAGAGAAAAATAATTGAATGCAAGACATGTTGTGTGATGAAACGCCACGGAATGACACCATGCATGCAACTATATTTCATATGCATCCAACATTTTTTACTCTATTACCGGTTCACTAGTGAGGCAGTGAGTCATATATTTTTTTTGTAGAATCGAGTCATTAAATTTAACCATTAGACTAGTGCAATGTTTATAAAATTTAGCTCATTTTACGAAGTTACTTAAACCTTGAATGTAACTGGATATGTTTTTTCTTGTAGCCTTTGTTGGGGGACCACATGGTCATCTCGGTAAAGAAACACAGTTAAATTAGTTAATCTGGTTATTGAGTAAATTACATGTATCATCGCCTGATTGGCTGATTATGCCTCATGCAAATATTCTTACAAAATTAATCAAAGTTAGATTAGTCTAGCTACTAAAGGTAACCCGTAGCTGAACACAAAGTTAAGTTCAATATGTTGTTGTGTCAAGTTTATATTGAAATCGAGAATATAGCATCATATTTTGAAACAGAAATAATGTTAGAACTGACATCATATTTATTGTTTACTAACATGATGACTCATTTCTAAATTTTACCAAAAGAAAGAACATACAGGCGGTGTCATCTGAAAGTAAACTTTTGTTATACTATTACTAGCTAGAACTATATAGAATTATTTGTGATAACATTTCAGAAACTTTTGTCTGGACTTTATTTTCATTTTAGATAAATTTTATTTAAATATTCGTTGCCTTTGTGATACGCAGTTTAAAGCTTTCACATTTCCCGAACCAACACCGCAAGAATCAAAGCAAGAAAATCAATTCTCAATTCCTTTGTCAGAATCAAGAACAATACGTCACTATGTCTGTATGGGTTAAATTGAAAAATATTCTTCTGTTACTTATTAAACCATGTATTTCTTGCATCATCATCATATCACTACTATTACTAGATCATCATCACCATACATATAAGCGTTTAACACTATATAGTGGAAAGTTGATGCGCGATGTAGAGCTATATGCATTTTGTTATTGCGCAACTTCCATAATAATATTATGGATGTCATCACTGTTTTGACTCAATGTTGGAGGTATATATATGATGATGATATCCAAAAAAAAAAGAAGAAGAAGAAGTCTTTCGCTGCACAAGCCTTAGGATTTTCATTTTTTTTTTTTTTTTTTTTTTGTAAACGGATTTTCATTTTTTACTAATTAAATATTTTTGAAGTGAATATAAAATGTCCAAATTTATTTTGTTCAGCGAGTAAATTAAAAGATTCTTTATATGAACAAAAAAATTCAATGTTTCAAACAAAGTAATTTAATGAAGAATTAAATATCTGTTGACCACTAAACTGTTTTTTTTTTATTTAAAGACAAAACAAAACCCTCGTCGGGGCTTTTAAATGCAACGACCACCAAAGTCTCTATTTCTCTATCTCTCAGCTTCGAAACTCCATCACGCCATGGAAGAAGAAACTCTACAAGTCTCCTCCTTTAATTCTCTCTTCTCCTGTTTCATCACTCTCTATAGTCTTATTCTTATCTATTTCCCTAATGATTTGCTTCGAATCTTTCTCTCCCCTGTTCTTCTCATCTCCGGAGCTCTTCTCCTCTCTCTTCTCCGCCTCGGGTCGACCCGAGAATCTAACACCCGACCCGAGAAAAGCTACGAGATTCTCAAGGAAGCTGAAGAACCTAATGTTTTTCTGGTTCTTGATTCCGATTTGATGGGTGATTTTGTGGAATGGAACTTGAGAGCTCCATTGGAAGTGATTCACGAAGAAGCCTACGACGAAGAAGAAGAAGAAGAAGAGGATCCGAATGAAAAAGATCCGACCCGGTTTCGAAAAATTGAGAGATTCCCATCGTTGTCACTCTGTTACCCAGAATCAGATTCGGAATCGGATTCTGCTTCTTCATCAGAATTCAATTTCCGGAGATCGGTGACTGGAACTCGCCGGAAAATATAGGATTCAGATGGGAAGAGGAGGATGATGACGGTGGAATTGGAGGCGAAGGTTTGATTGAGATTAAGCTCGATGAGTATAATAATCATCGTAACCATAATAGCAAGATGATGATGAGTAAATGGAAACAAACAGAGATTGATTTTCATGGAGAGGACGATGGTTTGATCGAGATCGATCTTTTTCCATGGAAGAAGAAGAAGATGATCTCTTTCTCTCTATGCTTCCTCAAGTTCCATTAAGCATTTTTCCGATTAGAAAGAAAAAAAGAAAGCAACAGTTAATGGTTGTTAATTTTATTTACTAATACCATTTGTGTATATATATTATACGAGGATAATTCAATTTTCAACTTCTACACAAGGATTTAAAAGTCGAAATTTTAAGAAAAGTTTGGTTTCTTATTTATTAAAAGAAAATGAATCTGAATCAAATTGAGAAAAAATAAATAAAGTAGTATGACCATATCTACACCTATTTGGAAAATTTTATTTTCTCTTGTTTTTGTTACCATTTGACTAGACAAGATCGAAAATCCCTCAAAGCACCTAACCCATCATCAGACTCTTAGGTATCAAGAATTGGATCTAACTAAAGCCAAAGCAGTGAACACCCTAACTTCCTAATAAAGACTTAAGTAACACGCAAGATTCTTGACAAGGGCAGAATCACACAAATCTTCTGCGGCTTGGGTTTTACGTGGAGTTAATGATCGTCATTAATGGATTTGCGTGGGTCTTTATATACTTTAGGAAGTGGATTTTGAGTAGAGTCTAAAACGAGTCCTCCATTTTAACTCACGACCCTTGGTTGTAGACTTAAAAATTAGTTGTCATTTGAAGATTTTTTTTTTTTTGGTGAAGTTGGCTATTAGCTACTAAGTGACATCTTTAGTGTCTTGTTCTTTAGGTACCTTTTTGTGCATCTTTTTCGGATTCATAACACTCTGTCAAACGACGATGGTAGGTTGAAAAATCACAACCTATAATTGAAGAATTCATCCACATGTTGTCTTAATTGAAGAATTCATCTTGCTCCTCTAGTTTTATCATTTTTGCCTGTTTTTTCTTTGTAAGTCATTTTTATCCAATTTGTTTTAGTTATACTTGTTTTACATTTTAAACAAATTTACTATAAATAACAAATTCTGTATATACCGAATTTTATTTTTCTTCAATAACATGCATTATATCGGTTTAAAACTGGGTGGGGACAATGACCTAATTATAAAATTAGTAGCCATAATTTATGCAACAATAGCAGTAGCACAAATCATTAAGCATAGTTAATCACATAATAATTGTTTGTTTTGTAATATTTTTGTAGATTAACTATTTTATAAATTATTTTGCATAAAGTTTTGTACATTATCAAATATTAAACTACATACAACCAAATTTTGCAAGGCAATGCGCCACACCATTACATTCTCTTCTCGTAAAGCAAAAACAAATAGATTATGCTGCCCAAAGGTGAATATCTTGTACTAAATTTGTGATTCCGTGATTCTTCGATATGCCATTGACAATCTTGATAAGAATTTCACAATCTCCTTCAAAAAAATACTGATTTCAAATTTTTATTCAACCTTTGAAGAAATCATGGTATTAGAAGAAGTCGGTGTGGTTAGCTTTTGCCACTAAATGAAACAGAGGGTCTCAGGCATAAAATGAGAAAGCCAAGTCTTTAATATGTGTTCTGAATGGGCTTATGTTGGTGAAAGCAGAGTTTGAATGAGCTTATATTCTTTTGTAAAGATACAATTGAGCCAAAAGTTGTGTCAGGAGCCCATTCTCTTTTATGAGAAAAGATGTCGTAACAAGAAGTAACCAAAATTGTAGATCGGAAAAGGAGATCCGACGAAGATGGCAAAGCAACGACTGCGGTCAAAGAAGAAGCTGGTGATAATGCTCGAAGTCGCTTGAGCTCGAGTAACTCTTCAAAGGTCTAAGAACATTCACCTTTGTCTCTAACTTTCATTTTATAAGAGGGTCCAAAAAACTGCAAACAAATACAATAACAAAAAGAGAGGAGCACTAGAACTCTTGTCGTGGCCGTCAAGTCACAGGAAAACGACACGCGTTTCTGTTATTCCTCTCTCTACTCGTTGCCTCAGCATTTCTTATTTTCTTTTTGTCCATTGCATTTACACGTGTCCAACCAAAACGGTTATTATCAAAACAGAATCATCGTCACTCTCCTTGTCCCACTTGGCCTCTACACATCATTCTTTCTTCTCCTTTCTCCATAATTCTCGGCTCTCTCTATGTAAGCAAGAATAACCAATTCGTTCTTGGAGATTGAATCGCACAACAAGCGAAACTATGAGACCTTTCACCTTCTTCGAAAGATTCTCCAAAGCTGTCCATGATTATCCCTCTCTCTCCAAAATTCTCATCGTCTCCACCATCAGGTCAGTGTATACCATCTCTTCTTCGGATCTTTTACATTTCCCATGAATCTTATATACTTCATCATGCTAGAGCAGAGCTTATATTCATAATCAAACAAATAGATGACTGATTTTAGATCTTCTGTTCCAAGAGTTTGTCTTCTGATTTGTAATCAGGACCTCTGATGTATAGTGAATACTGATACAATATTTCTCATTTGATAGTGGTGGGGGACTAATAGTCTACTCTGAGGCAAATGCATCATATAGCAACAATGGTGTTGAAACTGAAACCAGAAAGAAAAAAGTAGTGCTGCTCGGAACTGGATGGGCTGGAGCAAGTTTCTTGAAGACTCTGAATAACTCTTCTTATGAGGTTCAGGTTATATCGCCTCGAAACTACTTTGCTTTCACTCCCTTGTTACCTAGTGTTACTTGCGGAACTGTTGAAGCTCGTAGTGTTGTTGAACCTATTCGCAACATTGGAAGAAAGGTAATTAATACCGTCCTTATAATGGCTGCCATACAGAGACTATACCTTCTTTTGATGAAGAACTTTTTTCATTGTAATGTTTGTATTGATGAAAACAACCTACTAAATCCAGCTTTGTCTTGTGTGTCTTGTCAAGTAGAATGTTGAGATGTCTTTCTTGGAGGCAGAATGTGTCAAAATTGATCCAAGAAGCAAGAAAGTTTACTGCCGATCTAAACAAGGCGTGAATTCGAACGGGAAGAGAGAATTTGATGTTGACTATGATTACCTTGTAATTGCTACTGGAGCTCAGTCTAACACATTTAATATTCCAGGGGTGGAGGAGAACTGTCATTTCCTCAAAGTAACAATATTCTTGCTCCACTAGTTACATTGTTTTCTTAGTAGGGAGAAAGTTTTCCAAGGGTTTTATGTAGGGATTTTGACATGTCTCTAAGATATGTTTGTTGTCTTGCAGGAGGTTGAAGATGCACAGAGAATCCGTAGCACTGTCATTGATTCATTTGAGAAGGCAAGTTTACCGGGACTAAACGAAGAAGAGAGAAAGAGAATGCTACATTTTGTAGTTGTTGGTGGTGGACCAACAGGTGTTGAGTTTGCTTCTGAGCTTCATGATTTTGTTAACGAGGATTTAGTCAAACTCTATCCCAAAGCCAAGAACTTAGTGCAGATCACTCTGCTAGAGGCTGCAGACCACATCTTGACCATGTGAGATATTCTTACCTCTTGAACTTTTGACCTATAATCGAAGATTAACTCATGATTCTGATGAAGCTTTGTTTCACAGGTTTGACAAGAGAATCACAGAGTTTGCTGAAGAAAAGTTTACTAGAGATGGTATTGATGTGAAATTGGGTTCTATGGTTGTGAAAGTTAATGATAAGGAAATTTCTGCTAAAACCAAAGGAGGAGAGTTCTCTACTATTCCTTATGGAATGATCGTTTGGTCAACTGGTATTGGGACTCGTCCTGTGATCAAAGATTTTATGAAACAAATTGGTCAGGTAGGTAATCAAATGTCTCATGATAATGATCATAATTTCATAGTTAACGAGCTTTATCAACTCGGTCTACAATGATTTCTTGTAAATTCCAGGGCAATAGACGTGCTTTAGCAACCGATGAATGGCTTCGTGTTGAAGGATGTGATAACATATATGCACTTGGTGATTGCGCAACAATCAACCAGAGAAAAGTCATGGTAACCAAATTCAGAACCTAGATACAAATGAGCTAACAGTTATGGGTTATGTATAGGGGTTCTCTGTTTCTTAATACTTTTGGGTTGTGATTTTCTTTTCAGGAAGACATAGCTGCTATATTCAAGAAAGCAGATAAGGAAAATTCAGGAACACTGACAATGAATGAATTTCAAGAAGTAATGAGTGACATATGTGATAGATACCCTCAAGTAGAGCTCTACTTGAAGAGTAAAGGTATGCATGGCATTACCGATCTTCTAAAAGAAGCACAAGCTGAGAATGGTTCCAATAAGTCCGTCGAACTCAATATAGAAGAACTTAAATCAGCTCTTTGTCAAGTTGACTCACAAGTGAAGCTTCTTCCAGCTACAGGACAGGTTTGTTCTGTTTTTACTAACTTGAAATTTTCATCTTTAGTGAAACAGTCAGACTCACACACTTTGTTTGCTTTCATCCTTTGTCTGGTGGCTTTATAAGGTCGCTGCTCAACAAGGTACTTACCTTGCAAAATGCTTTGATCGTATGGAAGTATGCGAGAAGAATCCTGAAGGTCCCATTAGGATTAGAGGAGAAGGTCGTCATCGTTTCCGTCCCTTCAGGTATCGACATTTGGGACAGTTTGCTCCATTAGGAGGGGAACAAACTGCGGCGCAACTTCCAGGAGACTGGGTTTCGATAGGACACAGTAGTCAATGGCTGTGGTACTCCGTTTACGCTAGGTATAACATGTTATTTGACTAGTGAAATACAAAAAGTATTCATATGATTTTTGTATTTTTTTTGTTACTGTTTGGTTACAACTTACAAGTTTTGTTTTCAATAACACAGTAAGCAAGTGAGCTGGCGAACGAGAGTCCTGGTGGTCTCAGACTGGATGAGACGATTCATCTTCGGGAGGGATTCAAGTCGCATTTGAAATTCTCATGTCTCTCTCGTTTGAGTTCTCATGAATATAGTCTTATTGCTTTTTTTACTTTCAAATAAAAGCATAACAAGGGGAAGATGTTAAACTTCATTTGGTTACTTCTGTTTTTGGAATTGGTACGTGAAATTGATATATTTATATTGCTGGAGACTGGAGTGTATAAATTTCACAAAGAATATAATCTACTGTTTTTCTTATAGAATAATGTATAACATTGCAAGATATGTCGCCTAGCTAGTCAGAAAAAAAAAATACATTGTTAGATCTATTGTTGTCCTTAGATTTTGACGATTAATTCCCTTTACATGCATGATACAGTATCAATTATGGGAGAAAGGAATAGGAGAATCTTCTGGCAACACGTAATACTTAAATTGTTCATCTTTCTATTAGTAAAACTAAAAACAAAACCTAACCTACCAAACCACTACTCTCCTTGACCTCGACTAAAATCGCAAACTTACCTATATAACTTTTTTCTACGTAAAAGGCAACCAAAAAAAATAATTCAAATCAACCACCATACACTTCCGATTCATATCGTTGAGTTTATTACACGTTAGCCACCTAGGGTAATAATAATAAGATTACTTTATACTAAGCTATGTTGCATGGAAACGGAAACGGAAACGTGGAAGCGAAACGTTTCGGAAACGGGAAACGATTTTTTTCTAAAATTAGGGATTGGAAACGTTTTGGAAACGTATACACATATATAATATATGTATATATATAACATTAACATAAAACTATAAAAAAAATGGTTTAATTAAACAATACAAGTCCAAAACATCAAATATTAAATAGGTTAACTAAAATTCTAAAAGAAAAAAGATTAAAAGGTTTAAGTTCAAATATTTAATTTAGGAGAAAATCACATTTTTAACCTTCAAAGTGTCACTGAGTATAAAGATGCCTCCAACATTTTCATTCTCATTTTCATTAGTTTCATCGTAGATCATATAAAGATGCCTCCAAATCCAGTTTGTCGATAAAAAGATCTTAAAACTCAGAGTTTTCCAAAATTAGTTATATGTATTATAAATCTTAATCTTTTCAACTTTTATTTATTAATTAAGTTTCCAAAGTCAATAAAAAGGATTTGTCGCGTTTCCATTTTAGAAACGTGAGTTTCCATCGTGTTTCCAAACATAGATTTTTAGGAAACGTGTTTCCGTGACGTTTTTCGTGTTTCCGAAGAGTTTCCGTTTCCGAAACGTTTCGGAAACGGGAAACGGACCTCGAAGAGAGTTTCCATGCAACATAGATACTAAGGATAAAAATGATCTACTATTTTTTAGAGTTTCTACCAATTAAAAAGTTTCAAAAAATAATGTACTTGACTTATGTGCCTGGATTATTTACCCATTTTTGGATGGGAATAATAAGGTCTAAAGATTTATTTCCAATTTTCAATGTCAAATCTCTTTTGGTATTATCTTTTACCACAAAAATGAATTATCATCTTTAAGAGAGAAAAAAAGAAGAGAAACAACAGTTGACTTCAAACATTGTTGTATAACATATTCCTTCGGTTTCATTACAAGTGTTGTTTAAGTGTCTTACACATATAATGATATAAAGAAACTAACATAGATTGTGTAAAATTATTTGTCTTTTTTCCATTAAAACATCATTTATTATTTAGAAAAATATATTCAACCAATAACAAAACAGTCTGTCTAATACAAACAGTCAACTAACAAATATATATAAAGTAATAAATTTTTTAATAGGATAATTTCCCTAAAACAACATTTAAAAAAAATTAACAAATGGAGTAACAACAGTACATCAACTTCTCCTCTTTTGTTTATATAAACACACATTAACGATTCATAAGCCTTGTCTACTAACAAAACAAAAAAAAGACTAAAATGCCTTCAGTCGGAATTGTCGTCGGAGATGGCAAAAAAGAATATCCTGGTAAACTCACTCTTTACGTCACCGTGACATGTATCGTCGCCGCCATGGGTGGTCTCATCTTCGGTTACGACATCGGTATCTCCGGTAAGAATATCTCATATCTACACTAAACGCCAGAAAAAAAAATGTTGAAACGTTTTTGTTGTCTTTTTTTCAGGTGGAGTGACGACAATGGATTCGTTTCAGAAAAGTTCTTCCCGTCGGTTTACGAGAAACAGAAGAAGGATCACGTATCAAACCAATACTGCAGATTTGACAGCGTTTCTCTCACTCTCTTCACTTCCTCTCTTTACCTCGCCGCACTCTGCTCCTCCATCGTTGCCTCTTACGTTACCCGTAAGTTTGGCCGGAAAATTTCTATGCTTCTCGGCGGAGTTCTCTTCTGCGCCGGAGCTCTTCTTAACGGTTTCGCAACTGCCGTTTGGATGCTCATCGTTGGTCGTTTGTTACTCGGTTTTGGTATCGGCTTCACCAATCAGGTCTTAACTTTTATCTATATATTACATTTTTGACCTCACACTTTTGTTTTATACAAAACAGACCCATATGACTCCATAACTTGGTGGAAACTTTTTACCAAAAAAAAAAAAAACTTGGTGGAAACTTATACCCTGAAGTTCTAGAATATTCGATTCCGACCTTATAATTTGTTTTGTACATATACACCCCTATGGGTCCGTTAATTTTGTGTTGAGACTGTTGTTTAATTTTGTGCCCTTAAGTTCTAGATTATTACAAATTAGCCTCAAAACTTTCTAAATTTTTATTTTCTTTTTACAGTCTGTGCCGTTGTATCTCTCGGAGATGGCACCGTATAAATTCAGAGGAGCATTGAACATCGGATTCCAGCTCTCAATCACCATTGGTATCCTTATCGCCAACGTTTTGAACTTCTTCTTCTCCAAAATCAGCGGATGGGGTTGGAGACTCAGTCTCGGCGGCGCCGTCGTTCCGGCACTCATCATCACCGTTGGTTCTCTTATCCTCCCGGACACACCAAACTCCATGATCGAGAGAGGTCAATTTAAGCTAGCGGAAACGAAACTCCGTAAGATTCGTGGCGTCGACGACTGTTGATGACGAGATCAACGATTTGATCGTCGCCAGTGAAGCTTCGAAGCTCGTTGAGCATCCATGGAGGAATCTGTTGCAGAGGAAGTATAGACCACATCTAACGATGGCGATTCTGATTCCGGCGTTTCAGCAGCTCACCGGAATCAATGTTATAATGTTCTACGCGCCGGTTCTGTTTCAAACGATTGGATTCGGTAGCGACGCGGCTCTGATTTCGGCGGTTGTGACCGGTTTGGTTAACGTTGGAGCCACCGTGGTGTCAATCTATGGCGTTGATAAATGGGGAAGACGATTTCTCTTCCTTGAAGGAGGATTCCAAATGCTAATTTCTCAGGTTTTGTACTTCTTCATCTCTAAACCGGTTTTTTTGTTTTGGTTATAGGTCAACAATTAATCCGGGTAATGTGTAACCGGTTTAGGTAGCTGTTGCAGCGGCGATCGGAGCTAAGTTCGGCGTCGATGGAAACCCAGGCGTTTTACCAAAATGGTACGCCATTGTTGTGGTTTTGTTCATATGCATCTACGTGGCGGCCTTTGCTTGGTCGTGGGGTCCACTTGGATGGTTAGTGCCATCGGAGATTTTCCCGTTGGAAATCCGATCGGCGGCTCAGAGCATAACGGTGTCGATGAACATGATCTTCACGTTCCTGATTGCATCAAGTGTTTTTGATGATGCTTTGCCACTTGAAGTTTGGATTGTTCATATTCTTCGCGTTTTTCGTGGTGGTGATGTCGATTTTCGTCTACTTCTTCTTACCGGAGACAAGAGGAGTACCGATTGAGGAGATGAAGCAGGTCTGGAGATCGCATTGGTATTGGTCAAAGTTCGTTGCCGCCTGATGAGCCTAACGAACCATGAAAGTGAAATGTTTTTCGGTTTTAGTAGCTTTTAATCAATCAAAGAGGCTGATAGTACGAAAGAACAATGCAAGTCTCATTTGAGTTATGAAAACAATCAGAGAGTTTGAATTTTTTGCTTATTTCACAATCAAGAATGTGAGAAAACAAGACTTTCGATTCTTTTTACATAAATGATTTTATCATTTAGTCAGATAAGGATCATCCTTAAACTTAACATAAGTTGGAAGATCAAGAGCTTTCTCTGCAACTTCCCTGTCCTCGTGAATCTTTGCGATGAGACTCTCCAGTGACGAGAAATTAGCCTAGCAAGAAGAAAAACAACACAAACAATATGAGCAAACAACGAATATTGCATTACAATACAGAGTCATATGAAGAATGAATGATGATATAACGTTCTACTAACCTCAGGGCGTATATAGCCAACAATTATAAGACGTAGCTCTTCTCCATAGAAATCCTCAGCGAAATCGTGAAGCAGCCATGGTTCCTATTTAACAAAAGCTAATATAAGAAAGCAACCATTGGACTGGAGGAAGAAAAAGTTTTGAACTTTTTATGAACTCACAATAGTTTTCTCCTTGTTGTTGAAATAAGGATTCCAACCAATGCTCATGACCATTTTAAAGACACCTCTCGTTGCCAAGCCTGCCCAACCAAAGTACACTCCCGAAGGATGTTCGACTAGCTCATCCGCATAATCCTTTGTTGACAAGTTAGCTGAAAACAAATGTACCGATAAGAAAAAAAGCCATATAGTATAATATATAGTGATGAAAAAGAGCTCAGTTCAATGAGTTTTGTACACTGCTGACCTGTGGGGATTCCGAGTACTTTAGAGCCACGGCCAAATCCTTTGATGACTGGACCTCCAATATGCCATGGATCAATTGGTAACGTGTTCTCAATCCCTGCAGATAATAATTACAAGGTTAAAAGTCTTTTTACTGAAATGAACAAGTTATCAAGGAAGAGGAGTATTGAACAGAGTTTATGAGTGAATACTTACAGTCTTGGAATGGAGGAAGTCCCCATTTTTCAGGTCTTATGTCGAGTAGAGAATTGATGACTTCATCTGCAGATGTATAAAGATGTGTTTGCTTGGGCAGAGAAGGAACAGCAATCACTTTTGTCCCAGCAGCTTTACCAGCCATAACACCAGGCCTACCATTTCAAACAACTATTAGTGAGAGTGAATTAAACACGCAACTGGAGCAAAAAAAATACTCTATAAGTGAGACTTACACAGAATCTTCAATAACCAAACAGTCCTCTGGATCTTTATTCAATCTCTTCGCTGCTTCAAGAAAACTTTTTACAAATATGATCATTGTCATTAACCGGTCTTTGTTTTATTAGAATCAATAGATGAAACTAGAGATGATTCTTACATATCAGGAGAAGGCTTTCCTTTAGAGACTTCATCACTACCAACAATAACCGAGAAGCATTCCTTCCACCCTAAACAAAAGTGAAATTATTTTCATAAAACAAGTTTACCTATACAAGCTTATGCATTGAGTAACAACATTTCATATAAAACAAACCTTCATGATATGAAATTTTGGATTCAATATTTGCTCTTGAAGAATTGGAAGCCAAGGCCACAGGTACTCCATGACACTTCAAATGTCGAATTAACCGATTAGCACCAGGAAGGGATTTGATTTTGTCCATCCTACAAAAACACAAAATTGATACTTCAAAACCAGAAGAAATCAACAAATATGAAGACAAAAGGAAAGAGAAACATGGTAACATACTGAGCAGAGAACAAAGGGTAGAATTCTGAATTGAATTCATCAACTTTACAAGGAAGTCCATAATCTTCAACAATAGTAGTAGCAGCTTCTAATGGAGTTTGCCCAACTATCTTCAATGATTCTCTTCCATCCCACTGTTTACCATATTTACACAAATATTTCCTCAAAATGTCACCAACAACACCATCTACAATAAATTTTCAAAAAGAACATCAAATTCGAATTTCAAGCTATACAAAGAGAAATTGAAACAAGTTATTGAGGTCTTAAGTTACCTGTGTTGATTAAGGTACCATCGAGATCAATAAGAACACAAGAAGTGAGCTTTTTCAAAGAATTGCTCATCGACATTATTTCCAACTACAGATTTTGCTCACACTCTTCTTATTACTGTCTGTAAATTTACCATTCCATACAAATCGTCGACCTGAGAGGCGACGGATCTAGCGTTGCGGCGGCTGGTAAACGCCGGCGACGAGCTGAGGACGACGGAGAAATGACGGAGCAGAGTAGAAATGAATAGGAAGGGCTGAGGAGACGTACACGTATAAGCTTAGGGATTAGCATCTGGAGTTAGAGATTCAGATTCCTAATCAAAATTCCGGTCCTACTGGATCATTCGGATTGGATACTCGGTCTGACCGAGTTTGGCCGGTACAAAGAGATTCAGCAACTAAAACGACGACGTTAGCTTCCAAGTTCTTTTTAAACCAACGAAACGATGACGTTTAATTGAGGCACAAAGCCACAAAAGAAGCTTCTGCTCAACCGGTTCAACGAAAAATACGATTTAAACTAAAAAACGGTAGACCGGTTAAATCAACGACAATTGGAGAACTTTAATTTTGATTTTACACTTAAACACACAAAGCATCATCTTTTTTTTTTTTCTTTTAATTAACATGAACAATTCATTATCATCAAACCCAAGTTTACATTTCTTTTTTACATGAAAAAGTTTCATTCATTGTCTTTTTTTTTTTTACCAACATGATCCTTTAGATTGCATTATGAATCTAGAAGTTAGCATATAAATTCAATATCGCGGTCTATTCTTCTTCTTCTTCTTCTTCACAAGCACACACTTGTTTTTGTACTGAGAAAACTCTTTTAGTCTCTCAGACAGAGTCAGCTCCTTCGCCTTGTTGTTGTGCAAGATATCTCTCTCGACGCTCCTTCTGTGTTTTTATTAGAGGAAAGACAAAAACAATGTCAGGTTTTCACAATCATCTAATATGGAAGAGACAAGGGATAGCAAATGTGACTCACCCATTCATCGATCACAAGCCCTTCTCCAATCATCTTTGGACCTGTTTCCTCTGGCGGTTTCTTTCGTGCCTCCACCGCTGCATCCGCTTCTGCTAACTGGCGCTTCAGTTTGTCCAGCGCCTGTTTCATTCATCACATAGATTGATTATTAGAGAGAGAGCCAGTAAAAAATAGAATCGTCTTCACAAGCAAAATGATTCCGATACTCACAGGGTTGGGGCGCTCGGGATCCAGGAAAATCACACGCAATATTTGCTCCTTAGAGACATCATCCTTTTGCTCATCGAACTGAGAGAAAAAAAAAACAAAAACAAAAGCAATTGATATGTCTTTAGATGGAAACAACATTCAGTGGAATGTAAGAAGATAACAAAATGTATGAGAAAGGTCTCTAGCACATATGCTTGGTTATATGTTTGTGCCTTAAAAGGTAACTGGAAACCTCTACTCAGACCAAATAGCATTCTTAATCTAGTCACTGATATCTTATGTTTAGATATGGGTCAATTTCTTATATTCTATTTGGATTCGGATATGTTACTACTGTTTTCATGTTCAAAGACCAGCTTATAGATAAGATCAGAAAATCAACATACCAGTTCAGGCACATAGTCCATTGGACCTTTCACCTTCAGGCTCATGATTTTAAACTTAACCCTGCTCCTTTGATCCATTGGCTTCTCATTATTCTCAGGAGGCTCAACAAATTTAAACACTGCACATTTCAACAAGAGAACAATTGAATAAGTCATTGTTCTGATAGCCTCATCAAGAAGAATAAGAACACAGTGGAGAAAAAAAGAAAGCAATTACCAGTAGCAATAATAGTCTCTCCAGGAGCAAGAATCGCACCAGGTGGACGCATGAAGCAACTCTTCGGCGCTGTTGTTTGAAACTGAAAGAGCAACGAGTAAGCTCATATACAAAAATGCCAAAGACCCAATAACTAAAACGCTTTAGAACAAAAAACAAACCTTGAAGGCTACATGTGATTTGCTGGTATTTTTAATCTTAATAGCACTCCTAACTTGCTTCCCAGGCTCATCTTCAAAACAAAGTAATAATCTAATTCAGTACTCCGCAACATTACTTGTAACAGTAAACAACCAAACTTCCCAAATCCGAATCATGAAAAAAAACCATGGCCTATAGATACACCAAAATCTTCCTGCAAAATCATTTGATACCTAAAATGATTCATATCTATAAAAGTCACCTAATTTCAGATTGCTTATGGTAAGTTAGAACTTAGAAGTATAATCCAATGTCAAGATTCTGCTCTTAATTTCCAAAAAGTTTCAAACTTTATGTTTCCTAATGAGTCAATATCAAATTTACATAACGATTCAAATCATTAGATCACTCAAAATACTCAAATTCTACTAAAAAAAGATATAAATTTTGGACTAGTGTCAATGGATCTCAAAATCTGTAATTTCGATTCTGATCAAAATGAGATTCGAAAAACTCACAAGGAAAATAGAGTTTCTCAGAAGGATCAAGCTTCAATCTTCGTTTAGTAGGAAGAAACGACTTAGCAACAGATGAAACAGAAGGAGAAGGAGTCGGGTGTTGATTTTGACCCGATCCATCACCATGAGGACCGTTATAACCAAGCTGATGATGATGTTGATGATGGTGATGATGATGATGTTGATGTTGATGATGGTTATGGAGATGAGAAGAAGTAGAAGAAGACGAAGCTCCAGATGGAAACGGAGAAGTAGCAGCACTTGAAGCGGCGTTTCCATGACCGCTTGAGTTACGAAATGGAATCTTGAAGAAACCCCAACCTCCTTTGCCGTCGGAAGTTGGTTTCTCCTCCGTCATAGTCATCTTCTTCTCTCGTACAGGTGAAGCATGCGAATTGCGACAGAGAAAGGGTTGACTCGTGAAGAGAGCTCAGAGAGAGAGAGAGAGATCGGACGTGAGATGGTGAGAGAAAGTGGATTTAATTGGTTGATTTCGCGTCCGTGTTTTGTTGATTTGTCTGAAATAATTTTCTATTATTTAATATCCGATGGCTTGATTAACGGAAGAGAAAGTGGAGAGGTGAATTAAAAAAAGTCGATAGAGACGTTGATCAAAAACGACAGCGTATTGGATTCTCTTTGTTGTGTTATAATAAGTCTTTTTTCTACAACTTTTGGATTCTCTTTCAAAGTCGTTTTTTTGTTTATATTGTTTGTTTAATGTTCTCTTTCTCAAAGTCTTATTTTTTGGGGTTTAATGTCTGTCAAGTCATTTTCGTGGTTTCCAGATAATTTCAAACTTTTTCATTTCATTTTGTCTCATGGATAATGTTTAGGATTCTTGAATTATAGATGTTTTTACGAGTTCCTTGAAATCAAATTAAACTTAAGTATATTTCCGACAAAGCCAAGTACCAAACTATCTACTATCATGAGTTTTTGGTGGAAAGTTCCAAAACTAGAAAGAAAAAAGTTGAGAAAGAATTGAAAGAAGAAAAGTAAAAGATTCTACGCGTAAAGATTTCTCATCTTAAATTATGTTTATTCAAAACAAGACTTAACAACCCTTAAATCCTCCTAAATTAATGACGTTGCACACGCCAACAAACTCACAATAACCTAACCGTTCGGTTTACTCTGATAAATTTCAAACTCAAAACCCTCCCGCTGACCTAGAGTCTTTCTCCAGCCTAACCCGAAGTCCAAGTCTCAAAGTCGTCCTCAGACTGATCCACGGATAAATTACACACAAATGTATAGTATGAATTAACAAAGGGTTTATATTTCCTAGTCAGACCACAATAGATTAAGACTTACGGTACATGTACACATATTCACCTTGTTAAAGAGGAAGCTAATAATATCTTCAATTAGATTCACGATATTTTCAAAAGGATCATACTTGATCATACTTTAGTGTGGCTTAAAGGTAAAATAAGAATATTTAAAAAGGAAAATCGGGATCATCCCATTGAAGAACAGCAGATTCAATGTTATGCTCTCTCTTCAGCTTGTCCTTAAGGAACCAGTCACATATTTTGCCAGCATTCAACTCTTCTATTGAACATCCTTCTTGCTCTGATATCACTCTTAGCAAATTTAACGACGATATCTGCAAAATCAGATTCCAAAATATAAGAAGAAATTAATACGAAATATTCCATCTAAAAATTCAATGTACATGCTTTAAAAAAAAGGATATTCTAGTTATTTAGTTAATGTACATATGTTTACTACTGCATGATAGACTGTTAATTACACTTCATCGGTTTCTTCTTTTAGATGTTCTAAGATTTTCTTTTGTTTAACAAATACAAATGGTTTCAAATTTCTATGTAAAATTAATGTCTCATTTCCTATTTTAACCATACCAATTTATTTCAATACAATGTAACAAACTAAATAAATAGATTGAAATTCAAATTTGGTATTGGAAATAGTTTGTTAAAATATGAAAAAAAAATCGGATTTAATTTACCGTTAGTCGACAGAGAAACTTTTCGTGTGCACCAAGGCCCGAGATTTCAACAAGACCGGCTTCTGCTAAGCTCAAGAAACTTCTTCTCTCAGGCTTGCTTTGATCGTCGGATTCTTCTTCTCCGGCGTCGGCACTTGCTCTTACCAAACACAGTCCCATCTTTCTTCTTCTTCCATGAGTACTTGTCATGAATGTGATATGATTTGATCTTGCTTCTCGAGTCCTCGCAAAAGTCTTGTCTATGTGAGGATTTAAGATGAAGTTTGAGTGGCGGTAATAAGTGGCAATGTTCATAGTGATACCAAACTCTCTTTGCTTTTCTTTCTCGGTGAGTTAGAAGGTGAAGATGAGGATAACACTTATCCGTTATGTTCGTTGCTTGCTTTGGAATATTTTAGTGGTGAAGAATGAATTGGTATTTTGGGCTCTTTTGGTGTTTGGGCTTTGGAGTTTGGGGATTTTCTTCTTTTATTTAAGTGGACCTTGCTTAGATTTTAATTCATGTTTTTAATGTTTTTATTATCACTGTTTAATAAGATAAGCATGTGTGTTAGAAATTGGAATGATGGAAGTGAAGTCCTTATACACAAAACGTAACCTTGCGAGTTGCGATGGAATATATAAACTTTTGAGTCAGAGCTACGATAATTTGATCGTTATATATGATAGTACTTAGTAGAAATTATATTCAAATTGATGTCAATAATCAATACAAAGTCATATATATACAAACAATTATTGATGAAAAAGTCATAGACAATCCCTTAATATCGATTTTGAATATATATATTTAATCAACTCCAAATTCACGGAAGTACTTATATATTAATAAGTTAAATTAAGTCATACATGAATGATTTTTTTTTTGTTGGCAGTATTTATATACCGTTCGGAGATTTTAGATCAACTAATCCTGAAAAAAAAAAAAGTGAAAACGCAATTTTCCAGAGAGTTCTCGAGTGTGTTGCTGTCTTTCCTCCAAATTTCATATGATAATTTTTAATATTATCAAAGTTTCCCATCAACTCTATTATCGAACAAATCCCAAAAAACTGACCAATATATATAATCAAACTAACACGTAAATTGCAGACGTACGTATATTAAATAATATTTGCATGAAGTCTTAATTACGTAAGTGTCTTAAGTGGCAACATCAACTGCACAACTATTACGATTTCGTATCAAATTATATCGTTTTTATATATGTGGTCGAAGGGATCTTTGGTCCTTGTCTGCTGACTCTGCTCCTTTCAACTGTTTAGAGTTCAAAGGATTTTGTTTATACGAAACAAATGAATAATGCAAAAAATTTATACGTAATTTAATTTATGTTTTCTTTAAAAAAAATTATCCTCTTTCATATTGTATAATAGATATTGTATATATGTGTGGTTCTTGTTATTGCCTAACTGCTAGACTTATTACTCAAGTTGATGACTTGATGGTGTTTGCATTTTCGTCGGTATCAGCCAATTATACAAGTATACAACTACGTATGATATATACATATCACTACGCGATCGTTAACACCAACGATGAATCAACGCAATTACGCAACTATTTTTTTCTAAATTGATGACAGAAATCAATTTGTACTAAGTACTAACCATGACTCCATGAGAGAGTAGTGTTTGTAATTAATCCTTTGTATAATCAATTTAAGTTTGAACTGCGATATGTGTGTTGCAGCTGATATTATGATATCATGCAGTCAATATCTTTAACAAAAAAAAAAAAAAAAATCATGCAGTCCATATACTGAGTGTATACAATCAGTCTATTAATTAATTCTCCAAAACGTTAATCAGCTAATGAGATTTGGTCAACTGTACTAACACGTGGGCTTCTCGTTGTGGCAAATGCATACATGCGCAAGCAAAACCCTAGCTAGATTTTCGACATGTTGTAAGAGCATTAACACCTACCTACTCTGCAACCTTATTCTTATTTAAAAATGTAATTACCTGATTTTGTTATTGGTTCAACATCATAATTTCGCACTTTGTAACGACTTCATTTGTCGTTGGATCCGACAGATTCTTCAATCCCTAACACGGAGACATAACCCTAATATTACGGATCGTTTATATTATTAATTTTCATTTAAAAATCGCTAAAATAGGTTTTAAGATTTCCTTAAGAAATGGTTATACAAAGAGTAGCTATATTTAAGTATGTATGATGTTCCTAATAATTTGCGATCGATGAGAAGAAGATATATTAAGATATAATTTTAAGATGCTTACATTAGATTTAGTACTCACTCCGTAGCTATTGTAATTTAAAATATTATTTATTTGAAAGTGATACGACTATTCCTCTCGATGCAAATTAATTATTCACAAATCTTGTTATGTTCAATTATTTAAAGGTTTTGATCAATTATAAGTTTATAACTATATCATTCTCTAGCTAGTATAACTGTCATGAATAATATTTTCGGCCCATGAAATTCAATATCCAGAAATCATAATGCGTATGCGTGAAAGTAACACAAAAATAAATATAAAAGAAATTTATGTAAGATAATTTAAATATATATATGTATATATCAAAAATGATTGTAGCTTCCGCCTCATCAATGATAATTTAAACAAAAACAAGAAAAAATTATCGAGAAAATTAAAAAAAAAAACAAATAAGAATATTAATTTAAAATGAACGTAGAAAACACGAGTCGAAAAACTAGTGGTTCGTATAAGCAGCCAATGGTCTTCACATTATGCCATGCAAATTTACCACCCATCTTTATTGTATCTTTGGGTAAGTGATGATATTACCTTTGATTTAGCACGTGAGCTTCTTTCTAAGTGTGAGACTTTTTATTTTTACTCTTTCTTAACGTCGGCTAAGGCTTTAGTCGTCGTTGCTCCTTACTATTCGAGTTTTTTTTTTTTTTGAATTTGGCTTTGTTTCGCGTAATTGTTGAAACCAAGAAAAAGGCTTTATTTCGAGGGTGATTGGATTGTTGTGGATCGCTCAAAAGGTCTATCCAAGAAAAAGGCTGCTACTCTCACCATTGGTAACCCTACCTCAGCGAATCTGATCCTACCTCATGCTGCCAAGGCAAGCTCTAGTCAGCCTGCGGGTCTTAAACAGAGCAAAGGTGAAGCTTCAGTCTTGAGAGACAAAGGTAAAGGCATCACTGCTGATGTTAGCGTGTCTGTTTCAGAGGAGGAGGATGACTCCTCTGACATTCCCTCTGCCGACTCTGATGAAGATACCACTGATTTGGAAGATGAAGATAGATTCACAGAAGTGTTGTCACAGAGACAACAACGAAGTGCGAGGGGCAAAGGCCCCAAATCCCTTTAAGTTTTATGTCGATAGACATCTTTTGTTGGAACGTCCGCGGGTTTAATTCTTCCTCTCACCGGCGCGGTTTTAAGAAATGGTATAGACGCCATCAACCTCTTTTTGGAAGCCTCTTGGAGACGCATGTGAAGCAGCCTAAACAACAAAAGTTTTTAAATGCTATGCTGCCAGGTTGGTGTTTTGATAATAATTATGGTTTTTCGGAGCTTGGAAAGATATGGGTTTTGTGGCACCCGAGTGTCAAAGTTTCAGTGATCAATAAATCCTTGCAGATGGTCTGTTGTGAAGTCAAGTTTCCAAATTACGTTGAGACGTTTGTGGTTTCTTTTGTTTATGCCTCTAACGATGACGCTACTAGGCAGATTTTATGGGATGAATTAGTCAGCTTCTCATCGGACAGTAGACTGGTTGGTAAAGCTTGGGTTGTGCTTGGAGATTTTAATCAGACTCGTCACCCGGATGAACACTCTGCTGCGCCTACTCTAAATGTTGACAGACCTACCAGAATCTTCAGGGATATTTTGTTGAATGCAGCTTTAGATGACCTCAATTTCAGGGGAAATTCATTTACTTGGTGGAACAAAAGAAAAAGACATCCTATTGCCAAGAAGCTTGACCGTATTTTGGTTAATGATAAGTGGACCACAAGTTTTGCTTCTTCGGTAGGAGTGTTTGGAGCCCCAGATTTCTCTGACCATGCCAGCTGCGGGCTCAGTCTTGACTCTGCTGCTCCGAAATCAAAAAAGCCTTTTCGGTTCTATAATTTTTTGCTAAAGAATCCAGAGTTTTTGCCACTGATTTGTTTTGAATGGTTCTCCATCAATATCACTGGATCTGCGATGTACAGGGTATCCAAAAAACTGAAGATTTTAAAGCAAGTTATCAGAGACTTCAGCAGGGAGAATTATTCAGATCTTGAGAAAAGAACTGAGGAAAGTCATGAGCTTTTGTTGCAAGCGCAGAACATAATGTTGAGCAATCCCAGCGTGTCAAATGCGGAGCTGGAATTAGAGTTGCTCAGGAAGTGGCAGGTGCTCTCTGCGGCGGAAGAGTGCTTCTTCTTTCAGAGATCCAGAATTACTTGGTTAGCAGAGGGAGACAGGAATACCTCCTATTTCCATAAGATGGCCTCCTCTAGACAAGCTCTGAATCATATTCATTTCCTCATCGATGGTAATGGGAACAGAATTGACAGCCAGATGGATATTCAGAATCATTGTGTGGAATACTTTCAGAGGATTTTAGGGAGAGAACAGGATCAGCCCTGTTTTGCTCAAAGTGATATCACCAATCTCTTGAATTATGCTTGTTCTGCTGAACAACAGACGAGTCTTGACTCCCCTTTCTCTGCTGCGGATGTCAAAGCTGCGTTCTTTTCTCTGCCAAGGAACAAAGCCAGTGGTCCTGATGGCTTTTCCTCTGAATTTTTCTGCAGTTGTTGGTCTTTTATTGGCGCTGAAGTAACTGAAGCTGTTCTGGAATTCTTTCGCTCTGGAAAGCTTCTCAAACAATGGAACGCAACAAATCTGGTCCTGATTCCTAAAATTCCTAATGCTTCAAGCATGTCTGACTTTCGGCCAATCTCTTGTCTTAACACTTTGTATAAGGTCATTTCAAAGCTATTGGCTGGCAGACTCAAGACCATCATTCCCTTTGTGATCAACCACTCCCAATCCGCATTCATGCCAGGGCGGCTCTTGTTGGAGAATGTCTTGCTCGCAACAGAAATTATTCAGGGATATAATAGGAAGAATATTCCACCAAGTGCGATGTTAAAGGTTGACCTACGGAAAGCCTTTGATTCCATAAGATGGGACTTCATAATTTCTACTTTGAGAGCAGCAAACTTCCCGGAAAAATTTGTTGGCTGGATTGAGGAGTGTCTTACTACTGCTAGCTTCTCTGTCACTGTAAATGGTCACAGTGGAGGGTTCTTCACAAGCACTCAAGGCCTCAGACAAGGTGACTCAATGTCTCCTTACCTGTTTGTCCTTGCCATGGAGGTGTTTTCGGGGCTTCTGCACTCTAGATACGCCTCTGGGTATATCTCCTACCATCCAAAAACAAATGCTCTTGAGATATCACATCTGATGTTCGCTGATGACGTGATGATATTCTTCGATGGGAATAGTTCTTCTCTCCACGGTATTTATGAGACTTTGGAGGACTTCGCTGGCTGGTCTGGCTTACATATGAACAGAGAGAAGACTCAGATTTTTCACGCAGGTTTGAGCCAAATTGAAAGCAATGCTTTGGCAAGCTATGGTTTCACACTTGGGTCTCTACCTATCCGTTACTTGGGACTGCCTTTGATGTGCAGGAAGCTCAAAGTTGCTGAGTATTCACCGCTAATCGAGAAGATCTCAGCTCGCTTTAACTCTTGGGCTGTCAGATCCCTCTCTTTTGCTGGTCGCGTTCAGCTTATCGCCTCGGTAATCTCTGGAATTGTCAATTTTTGGATTTCTACCTTCATTCTGCCCCTGGGCTGCATCAGACGTATTGAATCCTTATGTTCTCGCTTCTTATGGTCGGGTAGAATTGATAAGCAAGGAATGGCCAAGATTGCTTGGTCTCAGGTATGTCTACCAAAAGATGAAGGCGGGCTGGGTCTTAGGAGATTTGCTACTTGGAATAGGACTCTTTGTCTAAGAATGATTTGGCTCTTGTTTGCTAATAGTGGATCACTTTGGGTCGCTTGGCACAAATACCACAATTTCAATGATGCCACTTGCTTCTGGAACCTCTCAGAAAAAGCTTCTGATTCTTGGAACTGGAGGTGCCTTTTGAGGCTGCGTGGTGTTGCGGAGGGGTTCATAAAATGCAACATTGGTAACGGCTTACATGCAAGCTTCTGGTTCGATAACTGGACCCCATTTGGCCCGCTCATCAAGTTCATTGGTCCTAATGGTCCTAGAGATTTGAGAGTGGCTATAAATGCTAAAGTATCTGAAGTATGTAATTCTAATGGTTGGGTTCTCGCTGACCCAAGATCTGAGCAAACTCTCAGCCTACATGTTCACCTAACAAGCATAAGTCTACCTACTGCTGCACATGGTGGGGATACTTATGACTGGGTGGTGGATCGCACCAACTGCAACGGCTTCTCTTCTGCTAGAACATGGACTGCTCTGCGACCTCGTGCTGCATTAGTGAACTGGCTGGATATTGTCTGGTTCAAAGGGCACACGCCCAAAAATGCCTTCAATATGTGGATAGCTAACCTAGACAGGCTTCCTACTAAGTCAAGACTCGAGAGATGGGGTATGCAAATCTGCACCACCTGCGGGCTCTGTGGTTTGCATCCTGAAACAAGAGACCATTTGTTCCTAAATTGTGACTATGCGGTATATATTTGGAATGCTATTTGCAGGAGACTTGAACTGACTCCAATCACTTTCGGATCATGGCAGCAACTTCTCACCTGGATGAAAAGGAAAAATGAAAGATCGCCACCAACTTTGCGCAAGCTGATAACACATTCTGTTGTCTATGCCATTTGGAGACAGCGAAACAATCTGCTCCACAATCAGCTTCATGTGCTCCCATCTGTTGTCTTCACTGACATAGACCGCGAGATCAAAAATTCGATCACTGCCCGAAGACACCATAAGCGTTTCAGGATGCTTATGCAACTTTGGCTCCACTGATTCTGGCCATATTCTAGATCTTCATTTGCTTTCTTGTTTTTATCTTTTTTGCCAAGAAACCAAATCTGGTTGATCACTTTGTAAAACCAAACTCTTCATTAATATGATATTTGCACTTTAGCAAAAAAAAAAAAAAAAAATTGTTGAAACCAACTGAAATTAAACTTTTTGGTTTGACTCAATCCGCTATGAGTTCATTTGAATTGGTTTAGTTTTAGAAATATAAAACTTGTTTAATAATTTGTTCAAAAAAAAAAATTGTTTAATGTAGGAATATGCATACAATAATCTGAAAATGAAAATATCGGTTAGACTTAGATTTTTATATCTTTTTTGGGACTGATTTTGAGTTTGGCTTGATCAGAATCACCTAATAATTATATCTTTATATATAACCCAATATGTATATTCCGAATCTCAGACAGGGAAAAGCTAATACTGTAGGTACAAAATATTGGTCTTCAATTTTTGGGAAACAGAGAGCAACAGCTATATAATATGGTGAGAGTATACTCCCTCCGTTTCAGTTTAGTTGTCGTTTTAGGATTAAAATTTTGTTTCATAATAGTTGTCGTTTTAGGTTTTCAATGCAAATGTTTGGTGAAAATTTATGTTTTGTCCTTAATATTTTAATGTTTTGACCAATGAAAAAATTATAAAATATATTAATAAAGGGTAAAACAGAAAATTTAATGATTTTCTTAATTTGTGTGCGAAAACCTTAAACGACAACTAAAACGAAACGGAGGGAGTATATAATAATAATAAATGCAAAATAAACATACACACAGTCACGAATTTATTGGTGGATAATATTTTTTTGTCTATAAAGTTATCATAATCTCTCCACAATTAATGTTTTTCTAATTTCGGCAAATACCAAACTCCATTATTGTCATTCGAATTAAATGTGCTCCCCTTTCTCTATAATGCTATGTGCATAGAAAATTGACTTTTGATAAATTTGCCCTTGGACCTTGCAATCCAAACGAAATGGTTGGTCTAATATTTTAACTAAAGTATTATCTTAATTTTAAAATATTTTATCATCGTAAGACATATCAAACGTACAAAAAGTCAGTGAATCATTATTTCAATTATAGAGAAACTTTTATCGAAAACAAAATAATGTGTATATATAGAGAAACTTGTTTTTTTTTCTTTTTTTTTTGGAAATAGGCTTGATTTATAGAGAAACTTGATCAAATTGGAATGAATATTATTACGATGATCCTCTGACGACAATACTATAACATACACCACTAATGTTTCAACATTAAAACTCAACCATTTATAAGTTGGAAAGATAATTCCCTTGAACTTTGTTAGAATTTAAAGCTAAGTATATCGCTCAAGCCAAAAGAGTTGGAAAAACTAGTCCAAAGAAAAAACAGGATATAAGTTGAAATTGAGAGCTGCACAAAAAAAAAGAAGAAGTTGAAATTGTGAGGGATAAACGTGACGTGGCATCTTCATGTTGGCGACAGCTAATGTGAAACCTTCCCACAAAGCTTGGAGAGCGACGCTTTTTAGTCTTTCCTCAATCCTCACCCCATTGATTGTGTTACTTTCATTATCACACACTGTTTTCTAATTAAATTACTCTTATTTCTAATTGATTTAAGTATAGTAGTGCCAATACTCGTGTCTTAAACTTCACAACGGTGAAACAACTATTTCCTTCAGTTGCATGTGAAAGTACAATGAAATTACAAATTTCTACATTTTAGTATGAGTTTTTTTTGGTTTAAGTATATATTACAAATTTCTAAATTTCTACATTTTAGTAGGAGTTATAAGTATATTTATTGATTATCTTTATATACGATTCAAATCCAATATATGAAACACCAATATATTATATATATGAAACGCTCATTGTTAATCTCGAATAAGAGTACGTACACATTGAATCTTATATGCATTAACCATCTTTGAAATTAGAAAAAATATACTCTTGTTTTTCTTTCTTAATTAGGTTGATTGACCCAGACCATATGTTTCATTGAGGAAGGAGCTTAACAAAACTGCACTTTTTCAACGTCACAGCTACTTTTAAAAGTTATCAAAGTATATCAAGAAAGCTTATTAAGCGTAAGACATGGTTTAGTAAGTACAACAATAATGAAGAAGAAAAAATGACTAATTTTGTGTTCAGGAAGCATATTACACAAATTTAATTATTTTTGTAATCAACACCGACCAAGGTTCGATTACTTTGTTTAACCATATGACTTATGACATGTGCATTTTTAGATGTTATTTACATTTTATAAAATTCTACTTTAATTTTAATTATATTTGATCATATACGGTACCATATTGGAAATCTAAAATGTATGTATATGTGATTTGCATCTATGTTTGTAATATTTCCAAAGATTTTTTGGTAAAACACTAGAAATGTTGTGTTCAATTTTGAACGTTTAACATGTAAGCATAAAAACAAACTCAGAATAAAAAACAATCATCAAGCCAAGACAAGGGCATGTCTCATATAGCTATTAGCTGCCATAAAAGTAAAAATAAAATAAAAAAGCATCCATAATAATGGATAAAAGCATCGTATAAACGCAAAATCTATTAGATCTTTGTTTTTTTTGGGACACGTATACCAATTGAGAAACAGAGGACGGCACCGAACCATTTTGACTTCCCTCTTCTTCTCTCCCTATATATACTTTGTACTTCCCCTTACGGACCCTACGACCTTTTGTTTCTCTCTTCTCTATTAATATTAATTTCCTCAAACTCTCTGATTAGCTCATAATTACTAAACCAATTTTCTGATAAACAATTATCGACAAAATCAATGGGAAGGTCACCTTGTTGCGAGAAGAACGGGCTCAAGAAAGGGCCATGGACATCTGAAGAAGACCAGAAGCTTGTTGACTATATCCACAAACATGGTTATGGTAACTGGAGAACCCTCCCCAAAAATGCCGGTACGTGTCTTAATTTGCATTTTAATTCATGTTCTTAATTATGGTTCTTAGATTGTTTCAAATTTTAATATATTTTTCTCTTCATCAGGTTTGCAAAGATGTGGCAAGAGTTGTCGGTTAAGGTGGACTAATTATCTCCGACCAGATATAAAGCGAGGAAGGTTCTCTTTTGAGGAAGAAGAAACCATTATTCAGCTTCATAGCTTCTTAGGAAACAAGTGAGTTTGTCTTTTTTTCTCTCCTATGACAATATCTTCTTTGAACTATAGTTCAAGATTCTTACGTGTTTGGTTTAACTTTTTATAGGTGGTCGGCGATTGCGGCGCGTTTGCCTGGAAGAACAGATAATGAGATCAAGAACTTCTGGAACACTCATATAAGAAAGAAGTTACTTAGAATGGGGATTGATCCAGTGACTCACAGTCCGCGTCTCGATCTCCTCGATCTCTCATCCATCTTAGCTTCATCTCTATACAATTCATCTTCACATCATATGAACATGTCAGGAGGACTCATGATGGATACTCATCGTCGTCATCACCAGCAACATCCATTGGTTAACCCCGAGATACTCAAGCTCGCAACCTCTCTCTTCTCTCAAAACCAAAACCAAAACCAAAACCAAAACCAAAACCAAGTCCAAAATCAAAACCAAAACCTTGTGGTGGATCATGACTCAAGAACTCTAGAGAAGCAAACAGTGTATAACCAAACCGGAGTAAACCAATACCAAACCGACCAATATTTCGAGAACATGATTACTCAAGAACTCCAATCTTCCATGCCGCCATTCCCCAATGAAGCTCATCAGTTTAACGACATGGATCATCACTTCAATGGTTTTGGAGAACAAACTCTAGCTTCAACTTCGACTACGTCTCTCCAAGATTGCAATAATCCATCGTTCAACGATTATTTAAGTTCTAATTTTGTATTAGATCCTTCTTATTCGGATCACAGATTCAACTTCGCTAATTCGGTCTTGAACACGCCATCCTCGAGCCCGAGCCCGACTACGTTAAACTCGAGTTACATCAATAGTAGCAGTTGCAGCACTGAGGATGAAATAGAAAGCTATTGCAGTAATCTCTTGAAGTTTGATATTCCTGATTTCTTGGACGTTAATGGTTTTATCATATAATTCCAAGAAAGAAAATAAAACTCGAGTGGAATAGAGTTTTCTTTTTATTCTTTGTTGTAATTTTAAGAGTTGTTTGTTTTTTTTTCCAATTTGTTTACATGTAAAATACTGTTTTCTTCTTGTTGTATGTTATATTTAGAGTTTATAGCTAGTAGCATTTTTGAAAAATTATGGAGTTTCTATTATTGATATCCACTTTATATTTAAATATTAATATTTGGCCGGCTTTACTTCAACATATGCATAGTCTCCTTTCAATATTATTAAATTTGACTCAATGATATGAGGTGCTGAAATTGATATGTATATATAATTGATATGAGGGATGAAAAAAAAAATATATATATATATATAATTGATATGAGGTGCAGAAATTTCCTGATATAGACATAAAATTGTATTTTAATTATTACATCATTGACTTATGTCATGTTTCCCAAAAGGTATTAATGGAAACGTATGATCCTAACCAATAAAGTCCAAATGATTCACCATAAAATTTGTATAGCTTATAGTTTTTTTCATGATCACAAGGTCCCCCAAATGCATTTCCAGCTAGACTTTTTTTTTTCGTTTGTTAAAGTTTCCAGCAAGATCGAAAGTAACTTTTTAAAAATGAACTAATAACTTTATTAGTATTTCCTTTTATATATTCTCAACGACTTACAATACTACAAGAGTACCCAAAGGCTGCTATCATCATTGCTACATACAAATGTAATTTCATCCATGTTTCAGAATTCTTTTAATAAGAGTATAAGACCGATAATCATATATGTTTCATGATAATTTTGAGTTTTCATTCATTAAATCTAATAACCAATAATCAGCTAGTTAAATAGTCCTTTATAAACACAAACATATAGAAACGAAAGACACACTTTGTATAGCTAACTTTAATTTAAATTATACTATAAGAAAAGAAGATGACCCATAACAAAAAAAAGACTCCTTAATATTGAAATCACAAAGCGAAGAACCGATGATCGGGACCGGGGAGAGTTGCCGGCGCGTGAGGGACACGTGTTCTTCATCTTACGTGCAGAAGTAAAGGAGTACTTTTGTTTCATGGGATTATGAAAAGTACCTAATGGTCTAGCGCCACGTGGTCACGTAGTGTCGATGACTTGGTATGTAATTAAGGCAAAAAGAAAAAGAAAAAAAAAGCCTCCTTATAATTGAAATCACGGCGTAGGTTTTTTGATGGCGTTACACGTGTAAGTTATCACACACCATTTAAGATTAGAGAACACGTGGAACTCAATAATAGATACTGGGCCCCGCTTGCGTGTTAAACGACGATGTTTATGGATGAGCTGTTATTTTTTGACTGCTGGTTGGATTGGACATACATAATTACATGACAACACTTTGTTTTTTTTTTTTAAACAAAATAAAAATACTGTGTGATCGAATAAATGCTGTGATTTTGACATACGATTTTTTTTCTTTCTCATATGAATTTAATTTCAGTGCACCTTTCAAAAGTTATACAACTATTTATTGCTGTGTAATAGACATGACTTTTTTTGGCGGTTCTTCTTGTAGAGACCGTAATGATTTTCTCTATAACTTTTTAAGGCAAAGTCTTATGTTGTTTTTTCTTGTGTAAAAACATATTTAAACCAAAAAGTTAGTATATGTTATAGATATATCAAATGTTTTACCAATGGATCATTACAAGATAAACATAAAGACTTTATCAAAAGAAGGAAGAAGATAAACATCGTGTTTAGATGTATGTATGAAACAAGTATAGCTTTTTTTGCGTTCAAATTGCTTAGAGATGGATTCAAATATATTAAAAGAGAATTTTCAGTAGCTAAGGAAAACACCGAAGTAAAAAACAAGAATTAACTAAACCACCCTCAAACACGAAAATACATTCAGTCAAAATTAATTTAATGTATAATGTGTTTTCTGAATCAGTTTGCCTCACTTCAAAATAACATCATAGCCTCCCACTTCTTATTTTCTTAGTGTTTCAATTATTTTTCTTCTTATTCTGTCGTAAAAAGTTTCAAAATTATGAGTTGGAAGAAACAATGTGCAATCTATTGACTTCAAAACAAAGAATCAGATAAAGTCTACAAAAGGGTAAAAAGATTTTGGGCGGTTGCGTAATATGAATATATCGGACCAAAGCAAAAAGGCAAAATTTGTTTTACATGCTCTCGTTCGTTTTCGTGGGCTTGTGTGTGTCTCCATGTCCTTGACAAACAACAAAACGTGTTTTTCTCGTATATACACTTCGTGTTGTGTTTCTATATTGCCACTTGATCATAAGAAAAGAAAAATCTTGTGGTCAAAATTTGGAGGTTCATAGAGTTAACCTAATTTAGTTCCCTCCTAAATTCACTATCTAGTTTTCCTACTAGGTTTTCTTGGTAATTCCCCCCACGACAAAAGAAAACATAAGAAAACGACTAAACTACAGAATCATTTTTGGGTTATGAACTTATGATACTATCTCTTAGCTTGGTTAACAATTGATTTGAACTTTTTGGTCAATGTAGATCATACGTACCGCTCAATTTTAATCATATCAAGATCTAAGTCGGGTTTGAAAATTATGAGATATTTTATTACATATCCACTAGTCCAAATTTTCCCAAAAGCTAGTTATTAAGTGCGAATTATTGTCGCCAAAAAAATGGACTACTGGACTTGGATAGTTAATTATTGTCATCCGTACGGTCAGAAGCTTCTATAACACATGTGGTTGTTACAATGGTCAACGGCTTCGTATTCCATACGTCATTTATACATCAAAAATTCAAAATGGGTTAATAATAAAAGGAAAAAATATGAAACCTAATAATGAAAAAATGAGACATTACAGAAATTACTAGCCAGTAGAGACTAGAGAGACTAATATATAAAAGAAAATAAAATTGGAAGACTAAATATAAATGAGCATTGACATCAAACAGTTTTATTAGAGTTAATGATTTCTAATTAAAAAGTTAATTTATTCTTTACCCAAGCTAAATAAAATGAACTTAAGTTGGTAAAATATCATTAGTAGTTAAACGGAAGATTATTAATTTATTTGAAAAATCTATCAAGAAGTGCAAAAAGATACTAACACAACTACTTTTTGTGATCTGGATTGAGAATTACATTAAAATGATTGTCTATGTTCTGCGATCGAGATTTAACTTGATTTTGTTAAAGTCAAACAAAAAGAAGCAGTATCCAATCATTCATGGTTGATATAATAATATTAATTAATTGGAAAGTGGAAATAGTTTCCTTATAAGAAAAGCAATATATACAAACAAAAACTATATATCAAAACCTTTATTAAAGAAAACAAAAACTTAATTTTTTTCTGAAGTATAATTTATAGACCAATTTAGTCAGCCGTCCAAAGGGAAAAAAAATATCTGATAATGTCAATTTTCAAAAGTTAAGATAATAAGAGGCCCTAAAGTGGATATGTGTCTTTTGCAGGCATATTGTGAGCATTCTTATGGTTTCATACTTGGTAAAAGCAATGCGATTTGAGTTTGATAAAGAGTATTTGCACTAGAAAATATTATTATATCCGAACTAACTAATGGTAGCTAGTATAGTGGTGAATTAATATGTGGATTTGATACCAATTAAGTTTCAACTTCCGCTAGACATATCTTTCTAGTTTTCAATGCGGGATTGACATATTGATCGTAGATTCAAGAGATTAAAATGACTTTAAATTTGGGATTCTTTACTTATCAAAAACTAGCTAGTAGCTAGATATTATTCGTACGACATTGGTCTGCAATGAACGAAATAAAATGGGAGAATAGATACAAATCATGTTGAATTGGGTGTAGTCGTGTAGATTATGCTACTCTTTTACAACAAGGAGATTCTAAATCCAAAGCAGCTATATATTTACTTTTTTGGAGTCTACAACTGCAGTTGCTATGTAAAATTAATTATTAAAAGATAGTGAGTATTGAAAAAAAAAAAAAGCTGAGGATGATGCAAATTTGCAAAACAGAGGGAATATATGTGTATATTGGATCTAAACCCCATTAATTAATTTAAATATAACTATTCCACGTTTATGCCTAAATTATTTGTGTCGATACTATGATTCATATTTTGCAGCTTTAACCTTTGTATTTTAGTCAACTATCGCATATTAATGAATGCGTATTTACCAAAATTTTGAGCGTGGTACATACAGAACCGTTGTAGTTGTCTCTGCAAAATATAAAGTTGTCTATCATGAATATAAGGGCTGAACTGTTTATCATGAATTGTTGTGCTGCTGGTAAAATTATTTATTGTGAAAGCATGTTTGGAACCATTCGTTTTGAAAAACTGTAGAAAAAGAGCTTCGCTATTTGTCTACTTGGTTTCGTTTATTTCAGCCTTGAATTCTTCTTGTAAGGTTGGTGGTGGTCTTTTGTACGTTTCTCTGTTGGCAACCAAGTGTTCTTGTGTTGGCCTTTTAAAAAAAAAAATGGGCCTGTAGAAAAAGAGCTTAATTAGCTAGTCGAAAAATTTACATTTGAGAAGAAGATTCCTCCGACCAAAAATTCATTGTATATGTTTATCTTGTTATAGAGTAATTGACAATAGTGGAAACTCACACAAAGTTGGTGTTTGATGTCAAGTACACGGACAGAATCCAAGTACAACTGCCATGGCCATCGACTTTATTTATTTTATAAAAGCTTCAACTTTGCTGCCATGCCAACAAAGTAGGGCAACAAAAGTAAAAACGCCAAACAATTTGGAGCCCAAAAATACAACTTCGTAAAGTTATAATGGTATTAAATCCAATAAGAGTACTATTCTTCAACTCACAAAACATGAAAAGCCCATCAAAAGCCATTACAGATAGAAGCTAGTACAAAACTTATGATATTAAATCCAACAGAATTACTAGCTACTATTCAACGCAAAACATAAAAATGGTACCGTTCCTAAATACGCCTTAAGTTCTTTAGAGTTTCAAAAATTCAAGAACACCACCGAAACTCTGACGAGCACGAGATGATACTTAAAGTGATATATGTATACAGTTTCTATTTTTGTATAGGACAAATGTGTAAATATGAGGATATTTAGAAAATCTGACAAATGATTTTGTATGCCTTGTCAAAATTAATTATTACTTATTACTTATTAGTAGTATAAAGGTAAAAAGTTACTTTTTTGTAAAGTTAAAGAAAAGCACATTTGTTATGAACTATAACAAAAATTAGCGTTACGTTTTGTCGAATAGTATACCGAATCTATGTGTAGTCAACTAAAAACTAATGTAAAATTAGCGTTACTTTTTGTTGCGTAGTATATTGAATAAATGTGCATTCAACTAAAAAAAAATGTTAAATTAACAATGATTTTATTGCGTAGTATACTGAATTTATGTGTAATCAACTGAAAATATATGTAGAAAATTAGCGTTATTTTTTGTAGCATAGTATATCGAATCTACGTGTAGTTAACCAAAAACTTATGTAAAATTAGTGTTACTTTTTGTCGCATAGTATATTATATCTATGTGCAACTAATGTAAAATTTATATAAAATTAGAGACACTTTTAAATTTTATCAAAAAATAATTATTTAAATTTAGAAACTATCATCATATGGAGTAGATAGAAAACTAAAAAAACATAAGCAAAAAGGTCTGTTTATTTTAATTATATAAAAAAGGTTTGTTTATTTCTTCAACCAATAAAAGATAGCAAATTAGGGATGTATTAAAAAAAAAACAAAAAAAAAAAAGACCAGAGGAAGGGAGGTAACTGAAAAACTGAAGATCCTCTCGATATTTGCGATCTTTTACGTTACCAAAACAAGACTCTCGTTCTCCACATAATTACAACTTTGCCACTTCCTTCTCTCTGCAAATAAAAGACTTGCCTTTTTGCCTTTCTCTCTCTATAAACTTCTCTTTCTCTCTATCACTAGAACGCCGTTCTTCTTCTCTGGTTTCAGATCACTAGCTCCGAGAGACTCCACCGGAATTTCTCATCAAAATCCAGAGAAATTTCGAGTCTTTCGAAAATGTCGGAGAACGAAATTGTCCCGGACGAGTTTCGTTGTAACCGCTCCGATGGTAAGCAATGGCGGTGCAAGAGACGAGCTTTAGAGGGTAAAAAGATGTGCGAAGCTCATCACTCGCAGCAATCCCTCAAGCGAAGTAAGCAGAAAGTTTCAGAGTCTTCGAAACTAGTCAGATCAAGAAGAGGAGGAGATGAAGCGGCGTCTTCAGAGATCGAGCCAAACGAAAGCAGAAATAGGGCTAAAAGATTGGGGAAATCGAAGAGGAAGCGAGTGATGGGTGAAGCAGAGGCTATGGATGAAGCAGTGAAGAAGATGAAGTTGAAGAGAGGAGATTTGCAGTTGGATTTGATAAGGATGGTGTTGAAGAGAGAAGTTGAGAAGAGGAAGAGATTACCAGATACGAAGAAGAAGAAGAAGAAGGAGAATAATAATGGAGGGTTTGGTGAATTTGTTGGAGAAGAGTTAACAAGGGTTCTTCCTAATGGTATTATGGCAATTTCACCACCTTCTCCGACTACAAGTAATGTGTCTTCTCCTTGTGATGTTAAAGTTGGGGAAGAGCCAATTTCGATGACTAAAAGAAGATTTAGGTCTAAGAACATTGAACCTTTGCCTGTTGGGAAAATGCAGGTAACTGAATGCTTGAATTTTTACTCTTTGTGTATTTAGTTTCTTTATTTACTCTTTTTGTGTGATTGTTGTCAAGGTGGTTCCTTTCAAGGGGAATTTGGTTAATGGAAGGAAAGAGAAGAGGAAGAGGTGTCATTGGTGTGGAACCAGAGGATTTGGGGATTTGATTAGTTGTTTGAGTTGTGAAAGAGAGTTCTTTTGCATAGATTGTATCGAGAAAAGGTATCATTGGTTATGTTTGCTTTAGTTATCTTGTTTGCATCTCTGGATTTTTTGCTGATGGCTCATTAGAATTTAAGCATCTGTATCTGGTTTACTAATTGCATGAAGAGGATAGTTATAATAAGATTCAATAGTTTTGTGGACCTAAGCCATCTTGAGGCTTCTTCATTCACCTGTGGTAACTACTTTATTGCAATATTTCTTCTGTTTTATGTGCATTCAGACTTCTTCGAGAGAATAAGTGGCGTAAATGTTAGGATGTAACATGAGATACTCTTTCCTGCAATTTTCTGCTTCAATAACTTTACTTGAGATTGGTTCTGGAATTTCTTTGTTTCTAATTGTTATTAAGCTGTCTGGTTTTGATCTACCAATTGTTTAGAAGCAGTCATCAAACTGATTTTTGGCTTGGAATAAATTAGGAACAAGGGATCGAAAGAAGAAGTTGAGAAAAAATGTCCTGTATGCCGTGGATCATGTAGGTGCAAAGTTTGCTCAGTCACTAATTCTGGAGTCACTGAATGTAAGGTCTGACTATCTGATGATTCCTTGGCGTTAAAATTTTACATGTTTTTCCATTCTTCAGATATGTTGTAACATGAATTGGTTTACTTCTATACTATGTTCCAGTATTCTCAGAGTGTCAGGAGTGATATTGACAGGGTCTTGCATCTACATTATGCGGTGTGCATGCTACTTCCAGTACTAAAAGAAATCAATGCAGACCACAAAGTGGAGGTGGAAATTGACGCAGAAAAGAAAGGTGTTTAATAGTTTGATAAATTTTCTTTACTGTTAAGTTAAAATCACTCATATCTTTTGATAAGATGCTTCGGTTCTGTTAAGTTAACTCATATTTTTTGATTCTTTTTCACATTTGTGATAGAGGGAAATCCAGCTGAACCTCAAATCCGAAGCTCTGAATTAACTTCTGATGATCGACAGCTCTGGTTCCCACTCTGCTACCTTACTCTCTTCTACTGTTAAGTTATGTAAATCTGCTTTGAGTTTTTCTCTGACAAATTCTTTGAATATTTGTTTGAGTAGCAATGGTCGTGGCTCTGCCAATTTGCAAAGAAGGTGCACACGCAGTTCCTCTGTTCTCAGGCTAAGTTCTGACCAAGATCAGAGTCAAGAGAGCTTATCTAGAAAGGTTGGATCGGTTAAATGCTCGAATGGTTTAAAATCTCTAACAGTGTGTAAGCAGAAAGAAGTCAAAGGGTGCAGCAATAACCTTTCTTTGAGTCTATTCCCTCTGGAGTTGACAAGCAAGTTAGAGATCAGTGCAGAGGAAGTAGTCAGTTGCTATGAGTTGCCTGAAATCTTAGATAAATTTTCGGGATGTCCGTTTTGTATTGGAATTGAAACGCAATCTAGTAGTAGCGACAGCCATTTGAAAGAAGCATCCAAGAGAAGAGAAGACGGAACTGGTAACTTTTTATACTACCCCACAGTGATGGATTTTCATCAAAACAATCTCGAACACTTTCAGACACACTGGAGTAAAGGCCATCCTGTAATAGTTCGTAGTGTGTTAAAGAGAGGTTCAAGCCTGAATTGGGATCCAGTAGCCATGTTCTGTTGCTATCTTATGAACAGAAACAGCAAAACCGGTAATAGTACTGATTGTATGGATTGGTTTGAGGTTAGTGACTTGTGTTCTGTGGTGATACTGGTGCTTATCTTTCTGGATTTGAATACCCTTTGGTCTCTTATTTGGTCTGTTTCTTATTCAATGACAGGTAGAAATTGGTGTAAAGCAATTTTTTTTGGGGTCTTTGAGAGGAAAGGCTGAGACTAACACTTGTGAAGAAAGGCTGAAGCTGGAGGGATGGCTTTCATCTTCCTTGTTTAAAGAACAGTTCCCAAATCATTATGCTGAAATACTGAATATTTTACCAATTTCCCATTACATGGATCCAAAGCGCGGTCTACTAAATATTGCAGCCAGCCTACCTGACACTGTACAAACACCCGATTTTGGTCCATGCCTCAATATTTCATACAGGAGTGGTGAGGAATTTGCACACCCTGATTCTGTGAAGAAGTTAGGTTTCGAAACTTGTGACATAGTAAGGTTTCTGAATCCTTCCATTCTATTTCACAATTTCTTAGCTTTACAAATTGAAGATCTACTCTGATTGTTAGCTAAAGAAGTAAAACTGTGGTCACCTAAATTTCCTTTGATGTTTCTCGTTTAACTTTTCAGATCTACTTATATTTTTCTCAACCTTTTGATTTGCTCTGCAGGTTGATATCTTGTTATATGTCACAGAAACACCTGTATCCACAAAACAGATTTGTAGGATAAGAAAGCTGATGAAAAATATCGGAAGAGTAAGACCTAAAAACCCAGAAAAGGGGAGGGAGAGCAGATTTGATAAGGGAAAGAAACGAGATAGGTCTGAAGCATATGCTCAGAGAGATAGGTTGGATGACTATCCCAGTTCTGATTCAGAATCGTCACAACACTGTTTAGGCGCTAGATGCAGAGGCAGTGAGTTTGAGGGAGAGGAAAGAGAAAGTTGCAACGACTCTTGTGAAGAAGAAAGCCTAAGCAATTCTTATGGTGCCCAGTGGGATGTATTCCAGAAACAAGATGTTTATAAACTTCTTGAGTATATTAAGAACCACTCTCTTGAGCTAGAACCCATGGATTCCAGTAAAAAAGAAGTAAGTTTTGGGTTGATGGTTCAAACGCTTCTACAAAAGATCAATAGTTGATGTTCCCATGTATATTAACTCATATGTATCATTTTAGCAGGTGAGTCATCCATTACTTGAGCAGAGTTACTATCTTGACGAGTATCACAAAGCAAGGCTTAAGGAAGAATTTGGTAAGTATCATATCCTCATTTCTTGTAGTTTGTCTCTTACCATTTCACTATGTCTGTGAAGCATACTCAGTTTCATGCTGCTTATTTTGTTTGTTTAGACGTTGAACCATGGAGTTTTGATCAATGTATTGGGGAAGCAGTCATCGTCCCTGCTGGATGTCCATACCAAAATAGAAAGAATAAGGTATTACTTTTAGCACCCAACACACTTTTTTCCTTTTTCTGTAATCACAAAGTTATTAATCTTTTTAACATAAATTTTGCATATGTTTGCTAGTCTTGTGTAAATGCTGTTCTGAAGTTTCTGTCACCTGAGCACGTTTCCGAATCTATTAAACGAGTGGAAGAGCTCAATCAACTTCCTCAGCGCGTCAAAACGAAAGCAAATAAGATTGAGGTAAGTTCCCTTAGTTTAAAGTTAAAACAAGGTTGAGTAAGAAAGGGTTTGTGTTTATGTAAAAATATATTGCTGCAATATCCAGGTGAAGAAAATGGCGATTCATAAAATCAGCGAAGCTGTAAAGGAAATCCGGGAGCTCACATCTTCGGATTCAACTGGTGCATCGAGATTATATAACTAGAGCTAGAGGTACCAATCTTGATTCTTGACCATTGGTAATTACCCTATTCTTCTGGGAAAGATTCAGCTGTTGAGTTACAGTTTCAAGGAGTAGTAGAATGTAAAAATATATAGAAATAAAGAAACAAGAGCAAATAGAAAAGAAAAAAATGGAATTCATTTGCCATTCCGATTGTTGTTGGATGATGAATACTAAAGAAGCATTGATATTACATTTGATAGTGGAAAATATCTTGATTGTACAAAAGTTAGTAACTATTTACATATGTTGGCTTTGTTATTATTGACAAAATCTAATGATATATACATAATATAGTTAACAAATATTTACTTGTTTGGGCTCATTTTGTTCTAAGAACAATCTTACCTTTTGCATCGTCATGCATAATTGGTAGAACTATCTCCGGAGGCTGAACCCTCCAGACTTTAGGATCCTGAAACTGATGTCCTAACTTAGCCAGTTTATCAGCGACTCGATTCCCTTCTCTGTAAACATGGCTCAACACGCAGTTGCTCAGCTCAGGCATAACCACATTGATATAATTTACATGCTTATTTGTCCTTTCACATCTCAATCTCCCTCTCTTGGAGATGATATCCATGATGATCTTGGCATCTCCTTCGAGCCATAGATCCGTCCACCCGTTCTCTAGAACCAGCTCGAGCCCTCTTTTGAGCGCTGCGAATTCTGCCATGGTACTTGTGGCTTCCCCTATAGATTCTGAGTATCCAAGAAGGAACTCGGCTTTGTGGTTCCTGAATATCCCTCCAATGCTGGCTTGCCCTTCTCGTCCTCTTGATCCATCAAAGTTTAGCTTTATCCATCCAATTTCAGGTTTCTTCCACACAACTTTGATAGGCTGTTTATGGTAGTTTCGGATTAACAATAAGGTAGCCCGGGATTGGAGCAACCCTTGGAACCTAACCATCTTTGTGAAAGCTAACATTGAGTTTAAACTTTTTGATTGCTTACTTTTTTTGTCGTAAATAACGGTAGACTCAGATTTATTTTGGCTCTAGTAGTCACGGTGTTATACGAAGAATGGGCAAGGGTTTGTTAAGGAAATGATGCTTGCAAGGAAAGCAAAGAATGATCCTTAATTGAAATGACAGGGAAGGAACATTTAGTAAGCATTGTTAAATGATGAATGTTTTTAAGAATGCTTCTGTTTCAATGGAGATTTTGAAGTAGAAGAAGTCTTTTTCTTTTTTTTTGGACAACAAGTAGAAGAAGTCTTAATGAAGAAAATTAAAAAAAAAAAACCCTGAAACAGCTATGACTACTTTTGTCTTATCCCTAAAATACTGAATGTCTTTCCTCAACCTCAGGAGGATCTCTCTCTTTCTCTCTCTCTCTCTAGAAACTTGCAAGCAAAGAAGGAATGAGAAACAGAGTTACCCACATTTTACGGAAACATAAATTCTCTTGTACATGAAAGTTATGATTTATTTTGGTTCTGTTTACAAAGTAAGATTCATAACTCATCAAAACCACTAGAGCCATAGCCATTCTGCCCCTAATCATTCAGCAACCATCGGAAACGAGTCTTTGTGGTGCTAAGAAACAGAGCGATTCCATTCCAAAAACACAGACATTGCTTGATACTTTCTCTGTTTCTATTGCTTGATACTTTCTCTGTTTCTATCCTTACATGAAACTGACTCCGCGATCATTATTTGTTGGTTAAATGCAAAAAATATATCAAACCTTGATTCTTCTCTTGTGTGGATCAGTTATTGGACAAACAAACCGATGGTGTTCTACGCCCGAACCAAACCGGAAAATCCCAGAGTTTGGTTTATACAACTCGGAAATTAAAAGGATCCTAAAACCAGACAAGTAAATTACCGAACCGAACCATTTACCCAATTACCCTGCGCTAATATTCGTCGTCGTATTGTTGTTCTTCGCTCCTAAATCTGATATGTTCTGTTTCCTCTTCTCTGTTCCGATCGACTTCGACAAGGGTTTTGACCTCTCTGTTGAGCTGATTGAATCTTGAGAACTCGTACAAGTTTCAGGCTCTCAATTTCCATGAATTGATGGAACTATCTTTCCCTACCTCAAATTCACCCATCTCTTATTCTCCTCCGGAGCCACGGGGACAAGCAAAGGCGTCGAATTGGCTCACTGGAGCTTCATTACATTGTCTTTAATGGCGTCGAAGGGGATTACGAGGTCATCGGAGAGATGCACAGCGTGTTCCTCTAGCTTCAGTTTCGGGATTCTGAGGTTTCCAAGGCGAGATTCGAACTCGAGGCTGTTTGTTTACTAAAGAACTCGAGGTTTATTTACCATTAAGTATGGGATCTTCTTAAGTAGCTTATTTATCATTAATGGAAGATTAGTTTTATTTCCTAGTTGGTTAAAGTTTCAGACTTTCAGTTCATAGTGGAGAGGAAAGAAGTGAGAAATAAACACTTCTTATTTGAATAAACATTTTCACACCGTTGACCTGATTCGTTACACCAACTCGTAAATTTATTTTAAAATTTGTGAATCTATCATCATGCAGGACCCAACAACCTCACAAAGTCTGTCCACTTGTGTCTGCTAATGAGTTTTATAATTGTTTTTGATCAGCAACTTGTGTTCTTTGGGCTGTGAACTAGTTTAAAGAACACGGCTTTTTTTCCAAGATCTTGAGGTCAAATTACAACAGCCTTTGCCCTTTACCATATCTAGGCTCATTACACACTGGGGTTTTCTCATAGATTACAGAAGCAGAACAAAGCTTCAAGCTTTCATGGAACATGTCAGAGTTATCTTCTTCTTCTTTGCTTGTTTCCTAACGCTTGTTCCATTTCATGCCTTTGCTCAGGTAGATTCCTATGAGTTTGATCCAGATTTCAACTGTGTTGATCGTGGCAACTTCACGGCGAACAGCACTTTTGCCGGGAATCTCAACCGACTTGTCTCCTCTCTCTCCTCACTCAAATCCAAAGCTTATGGCTTCTACAACCTCTCTTCTGGAGACTCATCTGGAGAAAGAGCTTATGCAATTGGTCTGTGTAGAAGAGAAGTCAAAAGAGATGATTGTCTCAGCTGTATTCAAACAGCTGCAAGAAACCTCACCGAGCAGTGTCCACGGTCAAAGCAAGCTGTTGTGTGGTACACACACTGTATGTTTCGTTACTCGAACAGGACAATCTACGGAAGAAAAGAAACGAACCCGACTAAGGCTTTTATTGCTGGTGAAGAGATATCAGCAAACAGAGATGACTTTGAGCGTCTGCAGAGAGGACTATTGGACAGACTCAAAGGAATAGCGGCGGCTGGTGGGCCTAATAGGAAATACGCTCAAGGGAATGGTTCAGCTTCGGCGGGGTACCGGAGATTCTATGGAACTGTCCAATGTACGCCGGATTTGTCTGAACAGGACTGTAATGATTGTCTAGTTTTTGGGTTTGAGAATATCCCAAGTTGTTGTGATGCTGAGATTGGTCTTCGGTGGTTTTCTCCTAGTTGTAACTTCCGGTTTGAGACGTGGCGATTCTATGAGTTTGATGCCGACCTAGAGCCAGATCCACCTGCAATTCAGCCTGCTGATTCACCACAATCAGCTGCAAGAACTGAGAGGACAGGTACATTGAAATGTTTGAATGTTTCTTGTGTGTTCTACTGCAGACGTTGTCCCAAGCTGAATATGTTTTTGTTTCTAAGATTAAGACAGTGATTGTTTTATTGCAGGAAAGGGCAAAGGTGGATCGAAAGTAATTATCGCGATAGTCATCCCGATAGTTCTTGTTGCGTTACTTGCAATTTGCCTATGCTTGGTCTTGAAGTGGAGGAAGAACAAGTCTGGAGATAGAAACAAAGGTAACACAGTGTTCTTCTTCTTGTTATCGTTATCTTGTTACTAACAGATTAACTATAATTCTGATAACTATTACCTGTGTATTTAGTTCTTGGGAAATCACCTTTGTCGGGATCACTTGCCGAGGATGAGTTCTCGAACACAGAATCACTCTTAGTTCATTTTGAAACTCTAAAGACAGCAACAGATAACTTTTCTTCAGAAAACGAACTTGGACGTGGTGGGTTTGGTTCAGTTTATAAGGTAAGCTTCTTCGACCAAACTTCTTCCCGGTAACTTTGATTTATTTATTTGAGAGGGATTTATAAACTGGGGATTATGTATCTCAGGGTGTCTTTCCTCATGGGCAAGAAATCGCGGTGAAGAGATTATCGGGTAATTCTGGACAAGGAGACAATGAGTTCAAGAACGAAATATTACTACTTGCGAAGCTTCAACATAGGAACCTGGTTAGGCTTATAGGTTTCTGCATACAAGGAGAAGAAAGACTCCTTGTCTATGAGTTCATCAAGAATGCTAGTCTTGACCAGTTTATCTTCGGTAAATCTTTTTTGGGCTTTTACTCTATCTGATCCTACCATTCTTCTTCCGCTCTGTGTTGATCATTGCGCCGTTGCAGATACTGAGAAGCGTCAACTTTTGGATTGGGTGGTGCGATACAAAATGATCGGAGGAATTGCTAAAGGACTTCTTTATCTTCATGAAGACTCTCGTTTCCGGATAATTCACCGTGATCTTAAAGCTAGCAACATTCTTTTGGACCAAGAAATGAATCCGAAAATCGCAGATTTTGGATTAGCTAAACTCTTTGACACAGGCCAAACCATGACACATCGATTCACAAGCAGGATTGCAGGAACGTAGTAAGTAAATTCATTTAACTAACTTCTAAAATCCAAGAAACACCAGTATAAACCATTTATCATTTCAATTTTTAGCGGATATATGGCTCCGGAATACGCAATGCATGGACAGTTCTCTGTGAAAACAGATGTTTTCAGCTTTGGTGTATTAGTCATTGAGATCATTACAGGTAAAAGAAACAACAATGGTGGATCTAATGGTGACGAAGATGCAGAAGATCTTCTTAGTTGGGTAAGTACAGCATCCAAAACCAAGCCAGTAATTGGAGTTTCAGTTTTGGTCATTTTGTTGATAAAACGGTGATTCTGGTTTTTTTTTTTCAGGTGTGGAGAAGCTGGAGAGAAGACACTATACTAAGCGTGATCGATCCGAGTTTAACCGCAGGATCAAGAAATGAGATCTTGAGATGCATACACATTGGTCTTTTATGTGTTCAAGAAAGTGCAGCGAGTAGACCATCAATGGCTACGGTTGCTCTCATGCTCAATAGCTATTCTTTTACTCTCCCGACGCCTTCGAAGCCTGCGTTTGTGTTAGAGAGTGTCATTCCTTCGAATGTTTCTTCTTCAACGGAAGGGTTACAATTACAAATGTCGTCGAAAGATGTCACTGTTTCTGACTTATCTCCTCGTTAATCTGTAATTGTTTTTGATTCTTCTCTGAAAACCTTAGAAATGGGTTTTGTTTGTGTGAATTTTCAGGCAGCCTGGCTTGATCTTGTTGTGAATAAACACAAATCTGAAGCTGTGAGATACGTTTTCCTTTGTCTCATTGTTTCTTTTCTTCCAGTTTATCGATTGTTGATTTCGTTAAAGGTACAATTTGATAGAAGTATATAGATATGTCAGTAAGTTTGGAAAATTGGATAAGGGATTTATATTGAGTCCACATATATAAGTATAAGAGTTGAAAGATAATCCACTAATCATCTACAGAAGTCAAACAATTGTAAAATAAATGGCTTATACAAAATTAGATGGTTCCTAGTTAGTCTTATTTTCTAGTTGGTTTGAAAACTATTCAAACTTTTTAGTTTCTTCCTGGTACTTGAGGGGAAAGAAGTGAGCAATGAACACTTGAAATTTAAATAACGTTTTCACACCAAGTCGTTGGTTTTATATTGTGATTCTTTGAATTTATTACCAACATGGACCCCCACAATCTCTCAAAGACTGCCCCACTTGTGTCTGCTACTGGGTTTTATAATAGTTTTTGATCAACAAGTTGTGTTCTTTCTGCTGTTGGATATTGAACTAGTTCAAAGACCACACTGCTTTTGAATGACCCTTTCCATTTTAGATTCATTACATTCTGTGGTTTTCTCATAGATTTCAGAAGAAGAAAAAAGCTTCAAGCGTCCATGAAACATGTCAGAGTTATCTTTTTCTTCTTTGCTTGTGTCCTAACATTTGTACCATTTATCTGCTTAGCACAGACGGATAAATATGAGTTCCCTCCAAGTTTCAACTGTGTAGCTAGTGGAGGCAATTTCACGGCCAACAGCACTTTCGCCGATAATCTCAACGGCCTTGTCTCCTCTCTTTCTTCACTCACATCCAAACCTTATGGTTTCTACAACATCTCTTCTGGAGACTCATCTGGAGAAGGAGTTTATGCAATTGGTCTGTGTAGAAGAGAAGTAAAAAGAGATGATTGTCTCAGCTGCATTCAGATAGCTGCAAGAAACCTTATCGAGCAGTGTCCGCGGACGAAACAAGCTGTTGTGTGGTACACACACTGTATGTTTCGTTACTCGAACATGATAATCTATGGAAGAAAAAAGACGACCCCAACTCTGTCTTTTCAAGCCGGTAAAAATATATCAGCAAACAGAGATGAGTTTGATCGTCTGCAGCTAGAGCTATTGGACAGACTCAGAGGGATTGCTGCAGCTGGTGGGCCAAATAGAAAATACGCTCAAGGGAGCGGTTCGGGTGTGGCGGGGTACCCGCAATTCTACGGAAGTGCACACTGTACGCCGGATTTGTCTGAACAAGATTGTAATGACTGTCTAGTCTTTGGTTTTGAAAAGATACCACGTTGTTGTGATGGCCAGGTTGGTCTTAGGTGGTTTTTTCCTAGTTGTAGCTTCAGATTTGAGACGTGGCGATTCTATGAGTTCGATTCCGATCTAGAGCCTGATCCACCTGCTATTCAGCCTGCTGACTCACCAACATCAGCTGCAAGAACTGAGAGAACAGGTGCATAGAAATATCTGAGCATAGAAAAATCTGAATGTGTTCTGCTGCAGCAGTTGTCTCTAAGATTGAATGTTTCATTGCAGGAAAGGGCAAAGGTGGATCTAAAGTCATTATCGCGATAGTCATCCCCATAGTTTTTGTTGCGTTATTTGCAATTTGCCTATACTTGGTCTTGAAGTGGAAGAAGAACAAGTCTGGAGGTAGAGTCAAAGGTAACACAATCTTCTTCTTCTTCTTATCATTATCTTGTTACAAAGGATAGACGATTTATCCTGACAACTACTGTTTTTGGGAAATCGCCTTCTTCAGGACCAAATGCAGAGGATGATTTCTCAGATTCGTTGCTAGTTGATTTTGAAACTCTAAAGGCAGCAACAGATAACTTTTCACCAGAAAACGAACTTGGACGTGGTGGCTTTGGCTCAGTTTATAAGGTAAGCTTCGTCGACCATACTTCTTACTGGTAACGTTGGTTTCTTTAAGGAAACTTCTTAACTGTAACTTTGGATTGTCTTGAGAGATTTATTGAATTAGGATTATGCATGTCTCAGGGTGTGTTCTCGGGTGGGCAAGAAATCGCGGTGAAAAGATTATCCTGTACTTCAGGACAAGGTGACATTGAATTCAAGAACGAAATTTTATTACTTGCAAAGCTTCAACATAGGAACTTGGTGAGGCTTTTAGGTTTCTGCATAGAAGGACAAGAACGAATCCTTGTCTATGAGTTCATCAAGAATGCTAGTCTTGACAATTTCATCTTCGGTATTCTTTTTCCGCCGTTTGCTCCATATGATGATCCTACCGTTCTGTTTCTTGCTATGTGTTGATCTTTACGCTGTTACAGATCTTAAGAAGCGTCAACTTTTGGATTGGGGAGTGCGATACAAAATGATAGGCGGAGTTGCTAGAGGACTTCTTTATCTTCATGAAGACTCTCGTTACCGAATTATTCACCGTGATCTTAAAGCTAGCAACATTCTTTTGGACCAAGAAATGAATCCGAAAATCGCAGATTTTGGATTAGCTAAACTCTTTGACACAGACCAAACTTCGACACATCGATTCACAAGCAGAATTGCAGGAACTTAGTAAGTTAGTTCATCTTACTAACTCATTAACCAAGAAACACGTGTCTAAACCTGTTATTTCATCTTGTAGCGGGTATATGGCTCCAGAATACGCTATTTACGGTCAATTCTCGGTGAAAACAGACGTTTTCAGCTTCGGTGTATTAGTCATAGAGATCATTACGGGTAAGGGAAACAACAATGGTCGATCAAATGCTGACGAAGATGCAGAAAATCTCCTTGATTGGGTAAGTACACAAAACCAAACCGGTAATTGAGGTTTCAGTTTGATACATCGTGTTACATGAATTTGTAATTCTGTTTGTTTCTCAGGTATGGAGATGTTGGAGAGAAGACATTATACTAAGCGTGATCGATCCGAGTTTAACCACGGGATCAAGAAGTGAGATCTTGAGATGCATACACATTGGTCTTTTATGCGTTCAAGAGAGTGCAGCGAGTAGACCAACAATGGATTCGGTTGCTCTAATGCTCAATAGTTATTCCTATACTCTTCCAACGCCTTCGAGGCCTGCCTTTGTGTCAGAGAGTGTCATGCCTTCGATTGTTTCTTCTTCGACAGAACCGTTACTAATGTCGTTGAATGATGTCACTGTTTCTGAGTTATCTCCTCGTTAGAAAGCTTAATCTGCATATGTTTTAGTTTCTTCACTGAAAGCCCTCTTAATGGGTTTTGTTTGCGTGATTTTTTTAGACAGCTTGTCTTCATCTAGTTTTCGAAACGAGTAGATGTTACAGCTTTTTCTTTTAGTACTACACATATGTAGTTATTGGTAAATATGCTTTGCAAATTCGATTTTACTATGTTTTGAAAGAAATCATATAACATGATTCCAAGAATATCTAACTTAAGAAAATGGAAAGAGTAGTTACCAATCAAAAATAAATCAAAATGTTTAAAGTATAATTGTATCACGTGTAAAATATAAAGAATGCTTTGCTTAATTAGTAGAAGTCTATATCTACATGTTAAAAAGCAATAAATCAATGGTAAATATGCTCTCAGTTTTCTTTATCTTAACTCCTAAATAATGTAGCTATAGAATTCATGACTAAGCATTGTGGACCCTTGGAGTATTTTTAAATGGAGATTTGTGTTTTTTTTTTTTTTTTGAGTATTGTAGGCAGCCTAGTAGCCACATTATATTCTCTCAATTATACTAATCATTTTGTAAATTTTCACTTGTAATAAACTAATCCACTAAATGAATCAATAATGTAAACTCCAAAATCGATCTGGCATTGTATGAGTATCAATATATGCTTTGATGCCACAATTGCTAGGACATCCACTTATGGTTTGGCCGCATCGATATTAGAAGATTTTAACGTCATGCAAAACAAAGAAGTAATTATTGGATTTAGGCAAGCAAACAACACTTAATTCTTAAACGAATACAACTTGAAACAAAAATATATGTAAAATATTTCACGTGTGATAAAATAAAGAGAGGACCTATCCAAATCCAATGTGCGATACTTTGACCACATGAGTCAATGTGGCGGCCAAAGGTTAACAAGTATTAAATAACTTAAGCAATATTCCACTAAACTAAACTAGTTAGTATACAAAGCCAACTGCTCCACTTGCTTAACATTATTTGTTTTTTTGCAAATTTGTTAACCACCTAGCTTATATACATTTTCTTGGACGGTCTTAAATGATATTATAAGAATATACTCCCTCTGTTTTTTAAAAGTTGTCGTTTTAACTGTATTTAGACAAATTAAGAAAAAGTATACAATGACTATATTAACCTCATAAAAATGACAAGTAATTATTTACAAATAATCTGTGTTTAATTAAATGAGGGTAATTTGGGTAGTTATTGGCATAAGTTACATTATTACCTTAAAACGACAACTAATTTAAAACAAAAAAAATGCTCTAAAACGACAACTATTCGAAAACGGAGGGAGTAGTATTCTTCTGATTATTCTTAATATGATCATCAACCATTTGATAATTCATCATCATTCTTAATTATTGACTATGTGGACTATGGACGTCAGTAGTAGTCCATACTAGATATGAATGAAATCTTGTACGTAAGTTAAATATTCAAAGGAGTTAAGATCTTGATCTTGTTCTTGTATTTACTGTTAGGGGCTGGATTGCATCCCTTATTTTAACTCGGCCCAAATCAAGAATAACTTAATCAACATCAAGCCCAAAAAAGCCCATAAAAGTTGGTCCATGATTCTCTCACCAGCTTAGTTTTTCTATAAGTAGAGAGGCATCTCATTGAAGAAAGGGGGAGGAAAAAAGGAGAAGAAATCCATACTAAAAACGTCATCAAGCTCTTCAGCTCGTCTTCAAGCTCTTCAGCTCGTCTTCAAGCTCTTCAGCTCGTCATCAAACTCTTCAGCTCGTCTTCATGCTCCTCGCTCGCCTAACTGTCCAGATCGTCAATCTCATCTCCCGGCTCGTCTAGCTTCTCTGCTGATTGCTCAGCTCGTCCAATTTCTCAGTTAACAGCTCAGCTCGTCCAGCTTCTCTGCTGACTGCTCAGCTCGTCCAACTTCTCAGTAAACAGCTCAGCTCGTCCAGCTTCTCTGCTGACTGCTCAGCTCGTCCAACTTCTCAGTTAACAGCTCGGCTCGTCTAGCTTCTCTAATGACTGCTCAGCTCGTCTAACTTCTCAGTTAACAGCTCAGCTCGTCCAGCTTCTCTGCTGACAACTCAGCTCGTCTAACTTCTCAGTTAACAACTCGGCTCGTCTAGCTTCTCAGTTGACTGCTCAGCTCGTCCAGCTTCTCACTTAACAGCTCGGCTCGTCCAAATCGTCCCCAAGCTATCCAGCACGTCAACAGATCGCCTAGCTGCAAATATGGCCTAGCTCCCACTTGTTTTAATATGAACTACGAATGGCTTGATCCCTTTCTAAGGGTACGTAGGCAGTCTTTCACAAGACGCAGCTATAAAACAAATAAACTCTATGTTTATCGCGAGAACGGCCTAGCTCCCGACCTTCGACGCAATGAGAATGTTTTTCCCTTATCAAAGAACTTACAAATATACTTTGTTGAAATTCGTGCATCAACATTTACCTAAAAAAAGAAGAAGATCTTGTATTAATCATGTGTAATCCACAAAACAATTAATTACTCCTTCCATGTTTTTGAATTTCCTAAAACGTAATTTTCTATCTCAATAAAAATTGAACCACTAAAACACATCTAATCTAACATGTAAACTGATACCGTCCAAAATAGACGTAAAAAAAAGTTTCAAAAGAATTAGGTCATCCACCAATCACATATATCTCTGCAGGTTGTATAATCTTGAAAAAGAACAAAAAAGTAGATGAAGAAAAAGAATAGATAGGCAATAATAATACCTTATAAAGGTGATAATAATTCAAACAATTTGACCTTTTTATTACACCAAAGACTATACAAAATTTCTAGATTCAATTCTCTGGTCCAACTTTCCAACCTGACGACACAAAAATAAAGAAACTTCTCAACAGTCACAAAACAGCAACCTTTCCTTTTTGTATCCTTCTCCTTTGTCACCTCTCCTCTTACTTTTTATCAGTAAGGAAGTTTCCACCTTTGTTATACTTCCTCTGTTCCTCTTCTTTCATCTTCAAGCAAACCTCAAAACCAATCCTTTATTACCAATATTCTCAGTTTCTCACTTGGGTCTTCTTCTCCAACATCAAAACCCAAGAAAATGAGAAACTTTCGCAAAACCTCACTTTCTCTTCCTCTGTTTATCTTCTTCTTCCTCTATGAATCTTCCATAGCTGCAGATACACTCAGAAGAGGTGAATCTTTAAGAGACGGTCTAAATCACAAACCTTTAGTCTCTCCAAAAAAGACATTCGAACTCGGTTTCTTCAGTCCTGGAAGCTCCACGCGTCGTTATCTAGGGATTTGGTACGGGAACATTGAAGATAAAGCTGTGGTATGGGTAGCAAACAGAGCAAGTCCAATTTCAGACCAATCTGGAGTTCTTACGATAAGCAACGACGGGAATCTCGTGTTATTAGACGGGAGAAACGTCACAGTCTGGTCTTCAAACATCGAATCAAGCACTAACAACAACAACAATAACAACAGAGTCGTTTCTATACTTGATACTGGGAACTTTGTTTTGTCTGAAACCGACACAGATAGAGTTATTTGGGAGAGTTTCAATCACCCAACGGATACATTTTTACCTCAGATGAGAGTTCGTGTGAATCCTCAAACCGGAGATAATCACGCTTTTGTCTCATGGAGATCTGAGACTGATCCTTCTCCTGGTAATTACTCATTAGGGGTTGATCCTTCTGGAGCACCAGAGATTGTGCTTTGGAAAGGAAACAAGACGAGGAAATGGAGAAGCGGGCAATGGAACTCCGCGATTTTTACGGGGATTCCAAATATGTCTCTGTTAACGAATTATCTTTATGGGTTCAAGCTTTCTTCTCCTCCAGATGAAACAGGTAGCGTGTACTTCACGTATGTTCCTTCGGACTCGTCGGTGTTGCTTAGGTTTAAGGTTCTTTATAATGGTACTGAAGAGGAGTTGAGATGGAATGAGACTTTGAAGAAGTGGACTAAGTTTCAGTCTGAGCCAGATAGTGAGTGTGATCAGTATAATCGTTGTGGCAAGTTTGGTATTTGTGATATGAAGGGCTCTAATGGAATCTGTAGTTGTATTCATGGTTATGAGCAAGTTTCTGTAGGGAATTGGAGTAGAGGTTGTAGAAGAAGAACACCGTTGAAGTGTGAGAGGAACATTAGTGTTGGAGAGGATGAGTTCTTGACTCTGAAATCTGTGAAGTTGCCTGATTTTGAGATTCCTGCACATGATCTTGTTGATCCTGCGGATTGCAGAGAGAGGTGTCTGAGGAATTGTTCTTGCAATGCTTATTCTCTTGTTGGTGGTATCGGATGCATGATTTGGAACCAAGATTTAGTTGATCTACAGCAGTTTGAAGCTGGTGGATCTTCGCTTCATATCCGTCTTGCTGATTCCGAAGTAGGGGAGAACAAGAAAACAAAGATTGCGGTGATTGTAGCGGTTCTTGTTGGTGTGGTTCTGGTAGGAATCCTAGCTCTGCTTTTATGGAGATTCAAGAGAAAGAAAGGTACGAACTTTCGTTTTTTTCTTGATTCTTAGTTCGTAACCACAACATAAGATCTTGTTGATCACTTCCCTTTATTATCTGCAGATGTTTCAGGAGCATATTGTGTTAAGAACACATCGGTCGTTGTTGCTGATATAAACAAGAGCAAAGAAACCACTTCGGCGTTTTCAGGATCAGTGGACATAATGATTGAAGGAAAAGCTGTTAACACATCTGAGCTACCTGTCTTTTGTCTCAATGCTATAGCCGTAGCTACTAATGATTTCTGCAAAGATAATGAGCTCGGAAGAGGCGGATTCGGACCAGTCTACAAGGTTGGTTGATTACATTGGTTCTAGACAGAGTCTGTGTTTCATCTTTGTGATGTTTTTGTTGATGTTTGAGATTTTTTTTCAGGGTGTTCTTGAAGATGGACGTGAGATAGCTGTGAAGAGATTGTCTGGTAAATCTGGACAAGGAGTTGATGAATTCAAGAATGAGATTATTCTCATAGCGAAACTTCAACATCGGAATCTTGTGAGGTTACTTGGATGTTGCTTCGAGGGAGAAGAGAAAATGCTTGTTTATGAGTATATGCCTAACAAGAGCTTAGATTTCTTCCTCTTCGGTATGTTTCCTTCTAAAGATTGAAGAATAAGAATAAGTATTTTCTTTCATTCTTCTTATTCTTGTTCTTTTGAATGGACAGATGAAACGAAACAAGCGTTGATTGACTGGAAACTGCGGTTTTCGATAATTGAAGGGATTGCGAGAGGATTGCTTTATCTTCATAGAGATTCAAGATTGAGAATCATTCATAGAGATTTGAAGGTTAGCAATGTGTTGTTAGATGCAGAGATGAATCCAAAGATCTCAGATTTTGGTATGGCAAGAATCTTTGGTGGAAACCAAAATGAAGCTAACACGGTTCGCGTAGTTGGAACTTAGTAAGTAAAAACAGAGCAAAATGTTTCATTTGAATAACAAAAAAATCTGTGTAGAAAATCATGTTCTTAACAATTTACTTTTGGTATTTGAAAATGTAGCGGATACATGTCTCCAGAATACGCGATGGAAGGACTTTTCTCGGTGAAATCCGATGTTTACAGCTTCGGTGTCTTGTTGCTTGAGATTGTAAGTGGGAAGAGGAACACAAGTCTTCGATCTTCTGAACATGGAAGCCTCATTGGTTATGTAAGTTTCCAAAAAACTAAAGAGTACTAAAGACTGTTGTTCTCTCTAAATGAGCATTTGAAATTTTGGTTTGATTTATAATGGTGGGAACTGAAATGGTTGCAGGCTTGGTATTTGTATACTCATGGGAGATCAGAGGAGCTTGTGGATCCAAAGATCAGGGTTATGTGCAATAAGCGTGAGGCATTGAGGTGCATACACGTAGCGATGCTGTGTGTTCAAGATTCGGCTGCGGAGAGACCGAACATGGCTGCAGTTTTGCTCATGTTAGAGAGTGACACAGCGACGCTAGCTGCGCCTAGAGAGCCAACGTTTACTTCCAACAGAAGAAACTCTATTGATGTCAACTTTGGTCTTGATTCGAGCCAACAATACATTGTTTCTTCTAATGAGATCACTTCTACGGTTGTTCTTGGAAGATAAGATTCTTTTGTAAAGTCTTTTTTTTTTTTTTTACAATTGTTGTGAAAACGTATAGTTTTTTTTGGTTGGTTAGGATAATAGAATATTGGTTGTTGAAACTTGAAATTATGTTGATATAGTTAAACGTATGAATGGGTTTTTATTACAGTGTGATGTTGATATCCACATATCGAATAAAAAAAGAGGACTTGCGAAAACACAACAACCACAGTAATTTGTCTATATTTTGGAAAAACACAACACTTTGGGTCTGATTGGTTCCGGCTGTAGCTTTAGATTTTTGACTGTAGATTTTAGGCTATAGATGTTTTGGCTGTGACTGTAGATTTTAGTGCTGTAGTATTTTTGCTGTAGGATTTAAAATTTTGGAAAGTTGAAAATTATATGCTTTAGAAAAAAAGGCTTTCTACAGCCAAAAAAATTAATTATGGAAATATTTTGGCTGTGAGAAAAAAAAGGAAAGCAAAGCTTCTAAAGCTTGATTGGATCTATTTCAATGCTTTAGAAATTTTTTTGCTTTGTAAAGACTCTAAAGCACCAACCAATCATGGCCTATATTCGTTTCAAAAATATCCTATCAATGGAATAGTTACCATCTACTTAACATTTTTGAAGTACAAATTTGCTCTTTCCAATCGGGTCGGATTTTTTTGTGATTTTGACCCGGAAATCTTCAATCGGATCTTTCCTTATTTTTTGGTAAATTAAAAACGAAAATACATAATAAAATCTAAATTATATATATTTTCTCAACTAATTACTATATCTAAACTATTTATTTATGGTATATTCTTTACAATTTTTCTAGATTAGGAAATCAAATATAATAATTTAATGCTAATATAACAAATTTGAGCTAATTTTCCTAAAACCTCTCTACCTAATTTAAACATAAATATATGATTCTTATTTCACTTTTATTTGATCTTATATTTATATTATTTTGAATTATTATAAAATATATATAGTTAATAAATTTTAGTTTTTTTTTTTCTGCATATGTTATGATTCAAATTTTTTAAAACAGACATATATTACTCAATCGATGAAAAAAAAAGTATGTGTGTAATCTATATTAACATTTTTTAGAACAAATTGCACATTTAATCAAGTCGTTTTTTTTATTCTGACCTGAAATTGAGTCATTCAGATCTTTTCTTAATTTCTATAATTATCTAAATTGAGACAGTATACCACGGGTGAGATCCTAAAATTAACAAATCAAAATACAATTATTTAGTATTTTAAGATACAATTATAAATTTTTTTTATGGGTTGGTCCAAAAACACATACTAATTTAAAAATCTATATTATGGAAACCATTTGAAAGTAAACTTTTAAATTGACTCGAATTATATGTCTTTTAAATAAAAGTGTTATTAAAAAATAACAAAATGATGTTTAATTCCACATGACAGGAGTATATGGTGGGACGGGTTTAAGTCGATATTAATACGGGACAATATACCACGGGTGAAATTCTAGAATTAACAACTCTAAATTGAATTATACAATCTTAAACAGTAAACAAAACAAATACAACTTAAAATATTTATTTTTTATATACAACACATATGACCCGCGGTGTACAACAAAAAATATTATACACAACAAATTCATCAATTTATAAAAAGATAAAAAAAAATGAAATAATTAACCCGCGGTGTACCGCGGGTCATATCCTAGTTATAATTAATTGTTAACAAATAATTAGAAAAAATGAAAACAGATTGAATATCGAAAAGTATTTATCTGAGATTAATCCTAAAATAAATAAATAAATCATTTATATACCAAAGATGGTAGTTTTGAAAAGAATTAGGTTAGTGTAATTTTGAAATGAGGTTCATAATAATTGTTTCATTAAATATAGTTTAGTTGTTTCAAACTATTGAAGCAAACATCACAAGCCCAATATTATGGAGACAAACAAGCTCAAGCCCAATGTGATGCCCATTTGTGTTAGGATTTATTAGCAAAATATGATTCATATGTAAGAATCAATCTTTGGGAGTGCTGCTTGCGGTAACTCTCTTCTTTATCTTTTTTTTTTTTTTCTCTCTCTTCTTTATCTTTGTAGATCAATCAAACAACTATTTAATTTTGGTGACAATATAAATATTTTTCTATTTTACATTTTTTGCACAATAAAGCTTAAATGACCTATTTTGTTTCTTGGCTTATTTATCTATCTTAATAAGCTCATTTGAACATGAATTATCTAGACTCTAGTTTGGTTTCCCACAAACATCGTAGGATTATTGTATTTGATAAAAATGGGATTGATTATATGTATAGACTATAGTTATATATAATCAAACGAGGAACGAAGAATTATGAGGATGCTCAAAACTAAGACTTCTGAAGCGTTGACTTTTGTAAAAACATACTGTTTTTTTAGTGGAAGAGTATTTGGTCTTGCATATGAAATTATTAAATATATCATTAACCTAAAACCGTGTTAACATAGAGTTTCTTCTCCTCCAAGCTCCAAGGCCAACGATTTTATTCTAACTTACAAAATCGTCAAACAAAATGCATAGGACAACATTATTTTTGGTGATGAATGATTCAAATGTAGATTTATTATAAAATTGGTTGGAATGATGAATTATTTAGAGTTAGAGAAAACTCCGGAAAACGTGAAACGACCCCTTTCGTTTTTGTCTTCGGAGAATGCGGAAATAAGTTAAAGTAGGACTTGTTTGGTGAATACTAACATTGGGAAGGATACAAAAAAATAAATTGAGTTATTTATTACGAAAAAGAACACTGAAATTTATATAACTCTCGAAGCATACAAAGTATTACAAACGGTTGACTGATAATAAAATACGAAAAAGTAATATATTAAGAAATTTATAAAAAAATGGCGATCAATAATATCATTTTTTTGAAGAAAAATGATAAAATAATTGTGAATTTATGAAGTAAAAATAATTTGTGGAAAATGAAAGAAAGCCTGACAAAAAAAAAGGTTTGTTACCCAAAAAAAAAAAGAAGACTTTTTATTTGCTAGGTCAACTAATGAATTGGACTGTACATGCTACATACATAACTAGATATTTTCCAAATGCGAACAAGAAGACCAAGAAAAGAAAAAAGCAAGAGAATATATTATTGATAGAAATAAAATCGGTTACGTAAGGTTCACACATTTAAAACAAACATGTCCGATATCTCCAAAGGAAAAAATTCTCATAATTTTCTCAAGAAAGAGAGAAAAAAAAAAAAGAAAAAAACTTGTTTTAGAGACATGAGAGGTGTACCAAACTACCACCACTCTTACACCTTCTTGTTCTTCCTCTTCTACGTCTTAATTCTGTTCCCTGCTTTCTCTATCTCTGCCAACACTTTGTCGGCTACAGAATCTCTAACTATCTCAAGCAACAACACCATTGTGTCTCTTGGTAATGTCTTCGAGCTTGGTTTCTTCAAACCGGCTTCAAATTCTCGTTGGTATCTTGGGATTTGGTACAAGACAATCTCTAAGAGAACCTACGTATGGGTTGCAAACAGAGACACTCCTCTCTCTAGTTCCGTCGGAACTCTCAAAATCTCCGACAATAATCTCGTAGTTTTGGATCAGTCCGATACACAAGTTTGGTCGACGAATCTGACCGGAGGAGATGTGAGATCTCCGGTGGTGGCAGAGCTTCTTGATAATGGTAATTTTGTGCTTAGAGACTCCAAGAACAACAATCCAGATGGAGTTTTGTGGCAGAGTTTCGATTTTCCGACAGATACTTTACTTCCGGAGATGAAACTGGGTTGGGATCTCAAAACCGGGCTCAACAGATTCATTAGATCATGGAAATCTCCAGATGATCCATCAAGCGGCGATTTCTCGTTCAAACTCGAGACCGAAGGCTTCCCTGAGATTTTTCTATGGAACAGAGAATCACGGGTGTACCGGAGCGGTCCATGGAATGGAATCCGGTTTAGCGGTGTACCGGAGATGCAACCATTTGAATACATGGTTTTCAATTTCACAACGAGTAAAGAAGAAGTGACGTACTCATTTCGAGTCACTAAAAGCGACATTTACTCGAGGTTAAGCCTAAGCTCCACGGGATTGTTACAAAGATTCACTTGGATTGAGACAGCACAGAATTGGAACCAATTTTGGTACGCACCAAAAGACCAATGTGATGACTACAAAGAGTGTGGGATTTATGGTTATTGTGACTCGAACACATCACCGGTTTGTAATTGTATTAAAGGGTTTAAGCCAAAGAATCCGCAAGTGTGGGGGTTGAGAGACGGGTCAGATGGGTGTGTGCGAAAGACGGTGCTGAGCTGCGGTGGTGGAGATGGGTTTGTGCGGTTGAAGAAGATGAAATTGCCGGATACTACGACGGCTAGTGTAGACAGAGGAATTGGTGTTAAAGAATGTGAACAGAAATGTTTAAAAGATTGTAATTGCACGGCGTTTGCGAATACGGATATTCGTGGTGGCGGGTCGGGTTGTGTGACTTGGACCGGAGAGCTTTTTGATATCCGGAATTATGCCAAAGGAGGTCAAGATCTTTACGTTAGATTGGCTGCTACTGATCTCGGTTAGTTCCTTCTCCACTATCTATTAGACTATGGACATATGTTTGGTTTTTATTTTCCACATTTACTTTTGCTAAGTAACGGTTGATAGAATGATAGTGTAGAATGATTTGTCGTCTTCCCATCTAAATTTTTGATTATAATGCCACAAAACATGTTTAGTTTTGTTTTTGTAATCTTCAAGAAGTTTCAAAAAATGTAAACAGTTTTATACATACTCGAAACAAAAGAGACATCATAAAAGGTAAAATGCAAAAAATTGCCCAATCAAGTAATTGAGTAATTGTTGATGCACGAAATCACACTAGTACGGAAGTTTTGGATCTCAAAGGAAGTAAAGAGAATCTTCTTAATAGGACGAGCTTAAGTAACTTTATATCAACGAGCTACAGATGACGATCTAAGTACAAACGACGAGCTAGTATATGTTCGGATCGAATTCTTGCGTTGGGCGAGCTGAATGTAGTGCGGAGTGAAATCTTCGTTGCACGGAGCGAGCTGAAGACCTTGTAACGACCTAAGTGTACTCTCTGCGTGTCAGCGGAAATTGTGGATGGATGTGACAGGACTCCACATCCCCTATTTATAGTGAACAGTGTAGGGCATCCCGGGACGTATCTTGACGATTTTACCCCTCCGTGCGCCTACGTGGCATAGTGATGGCGGTGATTGCGACTGGGCCGGGCCGGACATCTTTCCTTGGGCCTTCTAGAAGGTTTCGTTTATACTTTCGGGCTTTTACTGGCAAATGGGCTGAAGGCCCATTTTCTCCCTTAACAGTTGCCCCCCAATCCCGGCCCACTATTTCGTGGGTCGGGATTGTTTCTGGGCTTTGATTGAAGCGTGAGAGGTCGCGGAATACGGATCGTCTGGTCGCTGAGTTCCGAGGCGCGCGTGGTAGAAACGCTCGCTTGTGAGTCGTCGGCTGGTGTTTTCGATGCGAAGAGATCGAAGCGTCGCGCGTGTCAGGATTTAGGGTAATGATTATGTCGCTTCGTAGACCTAATTATTACCCTTAATCGAACCGCCCCCCCTTCTCCTATAAATAGAGGGGCTTCCGCTGCTCTCTATTCATTTCTCTCCATCCGCGAAGGTATACTCTCTCTCTCTTCTCTCCCTTCTCTCTAGCTTTTAGCTCGTCATTTACTTGCTCTTTTCTAATTACGATGTCTTCCGGTATGAGTTTCGACTCTGTTTCCGACTACTTACGCTCCCGTACTTCCGATGGTTCTACGACCCGTTCGCTTAAGGCTGACCGGTTCCTGGCCGAGTCTCTAGATGACGAGACACGGGGCGACCCGACTTCGCCGTTTTCTTCTACGGCTGATTCTCGAGCGGCTGCCGCCGAACTCCGACGTCGCGACTCGTCTTCTCAGAGGGATGCCGTTGGAACGAGCTCGATGCGGACTGAGTTCGTCATCCCTCGTTTAGAAGACGAGGATGTTGGGGAGGTCAAGCCGGATGAACTGGGGCTATACGACGAGCCGGAGCTTATGCCTTATGGTGTGGCGGGACCGGCTCCTTTCGTGCCAGATTATTTTGGTCCGACTTTGACGACGTCGATCACTATGAGGGATACTCTTCTGGCGGTCGGCGCGTCATCTCTAATTGAGGCTCGAGTTCCAGATACTTTTGAGAGGCCATGGACCGCTCCGGAGGGTTTTATCTGTGTGTACGAGAAGTTCTTTACTGAGTGCGGCCTCTTCTTCCCGCTCCCGAAGTTTCTGCTCGAGTATGCGTCAAACCGCAAAATGGCCTTCTCGCAATTGTCGGTTGCAGCGATCCGGAATGGGATCGGTCTTCTTCGTCTTGGGCTTCGGTGCGGAGTGAAGGTCACTTGTGCCCATTACGAAGAGACGACCCAATTCAAAAGTTTTGGGAAGAAGAAGCCGGGCTTATTTTACGTTCAGTCTTCCGGGACTCCGAAGTTGGTTGAGGAGGCAAAGAGCAAAACCAATGCCTGGTCGGCGCATTACTTCTTTGTCAAGATATCGCGGGATTCCGTTGAGGATCCTCGACTTCCGAATTATACGGAGTGGAAACTTTCACCCGGTAGCGCGAGCCGGTCAATTTTTACCAACTACCGAGGTCGGCATCATTATTTTTACTAATTTTATTCTCTGCTTTTGCAGAACATTATCCGAAGTTTTTGAACCCGTATCCGGAGCAACTTCACGCGGATATTGTGAAGATTCGAGCAGTTGGACCATACGTCTGGCCTGTTACCAAAAAAATTTCTCGCCGTCGCCCGCGAAGATCAAATAAGCCTCGCCGCGCACCCGCTAGACGAATCCGTCCCTCCCAATTAGGTACTCTTTCGTATTCCGAACTCATTTTTCGGGACCGTTTTCCTTATTCCGGTTCGTTTCTTTGGTAGCGATGGGCAAGGTGGATCTTACTGTCATTCCCGATCTGTCGAAGAAATTTGATAAGAGACCGGCTCACGAACCTGAAAAGCCATCCAACTTAGAGGAGCAGCAGATCGAGGAAGCTCGTCGGAGGAGCCTCTTGGATCGAGGAGGGCGTCACGCCCATGCCGCAGGGAGTTCCAGGCCGCTGAGTCCCCGGTCTGAGAAAGAGAAGAAGAAGGAGGCAGCGGCGGCGCGCCTTGCTGCTCAGGCTACCGAGGCCCTTCAAGTACCCCCTCCTGCACTGGTTGGTTCGCAGGTGGCCGCTCCGATGACAACGGGACCTGGTACGCTGGTCGTTCCTTCGGACTTGACTCCTGTCGGTCGGAAGAGGGCGGCGAGTGCCGGAGAGGATCGTTCAACTCCTGGTGCGAAACGATCTCGGGTTGCTGACCATCGTTGGTCATATCGGTACGTCGAGCGGGATGTGCCCTTTGCGTCTAACGCGTTAGCCTGTGCGGAGCTCTTCCGCGAGGTCGGATATGGTCCGGGGACTTTTCCCTTGATCGAAGATCTCAAGGAGAGGGAGGCCTATATCGAGGCGGCTCGTCACTCCTGTGAGGTACGCGTAATGGTCCTTTTCTTTCAAGTGTTACATATTTGTTTGGGGTCTTATAAGAGCTCATATTTGTACTTAGGCGACTTCGGCGATGAACCGTTTGGTTCACTTGTATGAACGCCGACTTCGAAGATTGCCTGCTGATCATTCCTACTCTGGTGATTACGAGGCGGCCCTTGCCGTGGAGAGGGAGAAGTCCGAGCGCGTAGCTCAGGAGCTGGTGACGGCTAAGGACCAGATCGGACGTCTCCAGCGCGAGGTTGCCAAAGTTACTCATCACCGCACGGGCCTTACTGAAGATCGCGATCGTCTTATTGCTGAGGTGGAGAGCGTCAAGGGCCAGTATAATGACTTGGTCTCCTATGTTCGGGCTGAGAAGAAGAGACTCCGAGAGCGAAGGGAGGAGTACGGTCATTACCTTCGGAGTCGTGGCTTGGCTAAGCTAGCGCGGCTCGTTGATACTCGCTTGACCCGAATCAGGGCTCATGTCGACGATACGAGCGCTGTGCAGCCCAAGCTTCTAGAGTACAACCAGGCGTTAGGGAACGTTCGTCTACTGAGGGCGCTTGAGGAGAGCGGCGAGATCGTCATCAAGTCCCCGTCTGTAATGTCTCAGCTGGTAACTGCTGTTGCCGAGCTTGAGACTTGTGTTAGGGCTTTCAACATCACTGATCTCATGGATGGTGATTTTGACGTGCGCACTCTATTCGACGTTCCGCCTGTCACTCCTCCAAGTTTTCAGGCCTCGGATCCGAGTGAGCAGGAGGGAGATGGTGATCGAGGCGACGATCAGACGGTGGACCAGCCTGCTGGTGTAGCGTCTACCCTGCAGGCGGGGGTTATTCAGGATCAAGGGGTTGAGGTCGCTGCTGTTCAAGAGGGTCAACAGGAGGAAGAAATTGATATTGTCGGATGATGGGAGCGCGGCTCCTCTCTTTTAACCCAGCCGCTGCGTCGGTTTTATTATTGTAAAAACTTTTCTGCCGCTTATGTCGGCCTTTTGTTTTGTCTTGAACTCGTTCGCCGTTTATTCGGCTTTAATGGTTGCCACAGCTGATGGCTTTGTTTCAGATGATTTTTTATGTGTTTTTGATTTGCTCGATTGTCGTTTTGTTCGTGCGGGATCGAGTCTTAATCCTTGCAGGTTAAGGGTGTAATTAAGGTGCGAAGTTTGACTTCGGCTTTCGATTTTGCGAAGTTAGACTTCGGCTTTTGATTTTGCGAAGTTAGACTTCGGCTTTTGATTTTGCGAAGTTAGACTTCGGCTTTTGATTTATTAGATTGTTCGAGACGGACTCAAGACATGGTGAGGTGCGACGCGCGCTGATCGGCTTATCCTGTTTTAGTTTTGGTGATTCAGAAATGCAAGTTCGGCCTTGGCTTATGTTCTGTTTGTCAAAACGGTGCGAGTGCAGGGCTCGGCTTCCAAACCCTTAAGTGTAGGTTTTTTCCAAGAACGTTTTACCGATTTTGGCAGACTTAAGTAAGGGTGTGTGTTCTCGGTTGAACATATTCGATCGAGTGCCGGGCCAGGGCGTCGATGTACTTTTTCGACTCGTTTTCATACAGATATATAAAATATAAATTTTATTAATATTGCAGCTGCGCCCCGTAAACGGGGCTGCCTACGTACCCTCTGATCGGAGGGATCAAGCCGATCGTAGTTCGCTTTACATAGAGAGGCATCGATAAGGCCGAGCTACCTTTTTTTTTTTTTTTTTTTTTTTTTTAAGAGCATTAGGCTCGTTAGTAGTAGAAACGTTTAAGATGCATAGAGTTCCACGTGCGTGGTACTTCTGTGCCGTCCATTGTGAGCAGTTCGTAGTCTCCGGGCCACACGATTCTTGAGATTTGGTAAGGGCCTTCCCAATTGGCGCCTAGTTTTCATGCGTTGAGTTCGGCCGTATTTTCGAAGACCTTCCGGAGTACGAGATCGCCGACGTCGAAGTGTCGATTATGTACCTTCTTGTTGTAATATTTTGCCGCGGCACGCTGATAGTTTTCAATTCGGCAGAGAGCTGTGTTGCGCTTCTCTTCGAGGTCGTCAAGGCATTCGAGCATTCTCTGGTTGTTCAAATCAGGGTCTTTGACCATCAGGGATCGTCTGAGGCTGGTATAGCCGACTTCGGCGGGTGCCATTGCTTCCACTCCGTAGGCGAGTGCGAACGGGGTTTGTTCGGTTGCACTGCGGGGTGTCGTCCGATATGACCAGAGTACTCCGTCGAGTTCGTCCGCCCAGGTGCT